TAGTGAGAACCTGTCTCAAAAATGAAAAAACAAGAAGGGAGGGAAAGAGGGATGGAGGGAGGGAGGGAAGAAAGAAGGGAGGAAGGAAGAAAGGAAGGAAGGAAGGAAGGAAGGAAGGAAGGAAGGAAGGAAGGAAGGAAGGAAGGAAGGAAGGAAGGAAAGAAGGAAGGAAGGAGAGAGGAAACCTCGAGGACCCCCATTGCAGCCCAGGTGGGGCCCCTCGCCTCCTCTTCCTGGCTTCCTTGTGCTCAATGTCAAGTTCGAGCGATGTCCCGGGGGAAGCAAGGAGGGGACACGCACACAGCCAGCTTCCCTGGATGCCACTACACAGACTTCCCTTGTGGCTGTCATGGTCTTTGCATGAGAACAGGACATAGCTTGTACCCACCAATGTGCCAGGGGACAGGCTGGGCACTGGCAGGAGAAACACTACCCCAGCTGGCACGAGCCACCTCCTCTAATTCCTTCTCCCTGCTGGGCTACAAACCAAGTCCCTGTCACCACCCCTCTGCATTCCCTCCTGACTGCCCCAGGCCAAGGCCAAGCTGGCCTCCAGCGTCCCCCCCACCCCCGCAGGGACCTCACACCTCCCTGTCTCCACCTGCACATCCCAGGGAGAGTGGCTTAGTCCTGCTAAACCTTGGTCAAATTGGGATTAAGAAATTAAAAAGAAAGTGCTGTTCAGATTAAATATGATAATCCACTGTAGTGAGGGAGATGCTTTTTTTTGTTGGGGGGTTTGAACTCAGGACTTTGGGCTTGCTAGGCAGGTGGTCTACCCATCCCTTTTTGCTTTAGTTGTTTTTTCAGGTAGTGTCTTTTGATTTTTGCCTGGCAGGTTTGGACCACAATCCTCCTACCTATGCCTTCCACATAGCTGGGGCGGCAGGCATGCACCACCACACCAGGCTTATTGACTAAGATAGTGGTCTCAATAACTTTTTTGCCTAAGCTGACTTCAGACCTTAATCCTCCTGACCTCCACCTCCCGAGTAGCTAATACATACATTTATTTCTATGGAACTACTTTACAAGGTTCAAGCAAACCCTCTGGAAATGGAGATATTACAGCAGTAGGTATAACTTTTTAATCTCCTTCCTCTCTCTTTGTTTTGCAGTGTTAGGGTTTGAACCCAAGGCCTTGCACATACCAGACAAACACTCCACCATTGAACTACACCCCCAGCCCTGGAATCTCTCTTCTTTATAACATAAGTTAGCGGCCAAAAGCATCAGCCCTGCTACTAGACTACTCTCTAACTTGCCAGCTGTGCCACCTTGCAATAGTTACTTAATTGCTCTGGGTTTTGGTTTCGTCCTTTATCACTGGACGTAAAAACAGTACCTGCTCCATCCAGTTGCAAGGACTGACTTAATGAATGCTTGTGAAGTGCTTGGAGCAGTGACTGACTTGCAATAAGTGCTCGGTAAACGTTAGGTAGTGTTGCAAGAATTACTTCAATGACACACGTGCATACTGGATTCTGGGCTGGATTTTGTTGACTAGATGTCAGTCTCCACCACATCAGACACTGGAGCCCACAGGACATTAATGGGTCCATCTCCATGACCTTCTCTTCAAAGTCCCTCTCCTCAAATGTGTGCTGGACTGAATGACTTACTTCTGACCCACAGAATGGGGAGGAAGTCATGCTATGTGACATCTGAGGCTGGGTACAGAAAGACATGGCCACCTTGAAAGGGTGGCTTTTAGGAAAGCTAACTCTGATGTCTTGTAGACCGTTAAGAAGCCTGAGGAAGAAGGTGTCGTGGTGTGCATCTGTAATCCCAGCACTTGGGAGGCTGAGGCAGGAGGATCTTGAGTTCAAGTCTAGACTGGGCTACATAGCCAGATCAAAAAAAAAAAAAGATATTTCTTGATGTTTTTAGCCACTAGATTTTTGGGGTCATTTGTTATGGAGCAGTGACTGTTACACAGTCCCCCGAGGCATGAAGGAACTTCTCTGACAGATTCATCTCATCCCTTAGCCACCCCAGACTTGAGACACAAGTTGTCTCATTTCTCAGGTCCCTAAACCCAAAGAGGGCTCTGTGGTGGTCATTACAGCTGGTCACAAACCCCGACTCTGCCTACTTCTGGGCACGTGTGTGTGTGTGTGTGTGTGTGGTACTGAGGATTTGAACTCAGGGCCTACACTTTGAGCCACTCCATCAGCCCTTTTTTGTGAGTTTTTTTTTTTTTTGAGATAGGGTCTTGAGAACTATTTGCTCAAGCTGGCTTCAAACCTCAATCCTCCTGATTTCTGCCTCCTGAGTAGCTGGGATTACAGGTGTGAGCACCGGCGCTCGGCTGGGCACATGTTCTCACTCACAAATTTATGTGTGACCATGTGACTCAAGCGGGTCGAGGAGCAACTGTCCTTTGTAGGTTGTGTGGGATGAATTCCTTTTCTCCTCTGCCAGAGTCCAGACCAGCCAATGTCATTTTAAGCTACTGAGATATTGGGGCTGCTTGTCACAGCAGCACAGCCCAGGCCATCCTGACTGATGCAGATGCCTAACACCTCCCCTTAACACCACCAGACGCACATTCACATCCAAACGGATTGTTTCTCTTTCTTGCATCCTCCCTCCTCTCACCCCAACAACTCAGAGGCTCTCCTGGACCTTGACTTTAAGTGGATGAATTTATTTTGTTTTCAATGTTATCCACAGCATTGAGCAGTTGGTTTGTTTGCCTGCTTTTTTGTCTATTTTGCAATTTTGGGGTTCAAACGCAGAGCTTTGCATTTGCTAGGCAGGTATTGTACTGCCTGAGCCATGCCTCCAGCTCTTTTTGCTTGGGTTATTTTGGAGATAGGGTCCTGCTTTTTGCTCAGGCAGCCCTGGACCCCTGTCCTCCTGTTTATGCTTCCCACCATTAATGGCATGACAAGAGCACGTTACAATGCCCTGCTTTTTTCTGTTAAAACGAGGTCTCGAATTTTGGACTCCTGTCAATAAAATAGAAGTTTGACTCAAAAAAAAAAAAAAAACAAAAACAAAAAAAAAATGAGGTCTCGAAAACTTTCTTTTCTTTTTTTTTTCTGCCTATGCTGGCCTGGAACCACGATCCTCCCAATGTCAGTCTCCCAGGTAGCTTGGGATGACAGGAGTGAGTCACCAAACCCAGCTATTGGTTGAGATGTAGTCTCAAGAACCCCTTACCTAGCCAGGCATTGGTGGCCTCATGCCTGTAATCCTAGCTACTCAGGAGGCAGAGATCAGGAGGATTGAGGTTCAAAGCCAGCCTGGGCAAATAGTTCACAAGATCCTATCTCGAAAAAAACCCATCCCAAAAAAGGGGCTGATGGAATGACTCAAGGTGTAGACCCTGACTTCAAGCCCCAGTACCACAAAAAAAAGAGAAAAAAAACAAACCCTGCCTGGGTTGGCCTTGAACTGAGATCCTCCCAATGTCAGCTTCCCAAGTAGCTAGGATTACAAGCATGAGTCACTGTGTCTAGAAACAGTACTGAGTTTTGTGTGTCTTCACCAGGACCGATTCATGTCACCAGGTGGCCTATCTGGTGTATTCCTTCCAGCTGTTGCCCAGGGACACCCACAGGCACCTCCATCTCTGCAGTGCTGGCCACTCAGGGTGCTTGTGAACTCCCAGCACCATAGACAGCACTGTCATGCACATCTTCCCCCTCGGGCCAAGTGTGGGAACCTCTCCTGCCACTTTTACTGGAGCCTGAAATTGCTGGAGTGTGCAATCAGTAGATTCTTAACAATGGGTTCACCAAATCGCTCTTTAGCATGGCTGCCAAACCGGTCCTGTGCCCTGATTCTTCCCGCCTCACACCTGGACCTGCGGGTCCTGGGCTTAGAAGATGCCATTCCATTCTCTCAGCTTCTAATTCTGAGCATTCCTCCTTTTTTTTTGATAGCACTGGGGTTTGAACTCAGGGCCTCAGGGTGAGCCAATCCACCAGCACACAGCTCCTTGAGCCAATCCACCAGCACACAGCTCCTAATTCTTAGAGCATAGATCAAGCCCTTGGGAGATGGTGATGGGAAGAGGACAAGGATGTGGAAGTCAAGATCTCAGGCTCTGATCTCAAATCCAGGCCCCCATCGCTAATCCTGGGACACGCAGGGATTAACAGCTGCAAACCAAGGTCAGCTGTCTTCCCGCGGGAGACCAGGGAATTTCACTCGGGCGTGCGCGCCCTCTTGTGGTGCAAGGGTCCCATTACACCCTACGGGAAGCTGTTCCTTTAACCCCCAGCTAATGGATCACAGCTAATTCAATTCACACGGTGTGTATAGGGAAGCCCCTTGTGCCAAGCCCAGCGATGTCCCCTCAAAATCTAAGGGGAGAACTATAAGTGATTTCAAACTATCCACTAGCCGCATTAGAAAAGTAAAACATTATTGTAAGAATATATTTTGCCTGTGGTCATACTGTAATGCTACTCAGGAGGCAGAGATCAGAAGGAATGTGGTTCGAGGCCAGCCTGGAGAAATAGTTCTCAAGCTCCTATCTCAAAATACCCACCATAAGAAAAGGGCTGACGAAGTGGCTCAAGTGGTAGAGCGTCTGCTTAGCAAGGGTGAGACCCTGAGTTCAACCCTGAGTACTGCAAAAGGCGAAAAAAATAAAATTTAAGTTGAAATGAAAAATAAAACACGCCTGTAATTCCAGCACTCGGAGGCTGAGGCAGGAGGAGCTCGAGTTTTTGAAGCCAGACTGGTCTACATAGCCAGTTCAAGGCCAGCCTGGGCTACATAGGAACAACAGGTCTCAAAAAAGACATATATATATATATATATATATATATATATATACATACACATATGGGTGTTGGATCCAAGAATATCAGAGAAATGGATAAATTCCAAGAGGGCAGGGACTTCGCATTACTGACTCTCTCCCTGTCCCCTAAAGCCGTTCCCAGCCCACAGCTGGTGCGCTACGAACGCCTAAGGCCGCGGCACGCATGCGCCGGCCCGGCCCTGGCCCCGCCCTCCCCCGTGACGTCACAATGCCGGCCATGCCTCTGGCCTTGGCGCTGCTGCTGCTGCTGTGGGGCGCGGGCGGCCGCGGGGGTTGGGGCTGCCTGCAGTGCGACGTCACGGCGCAGCAGGCCCTGGGTGACCTGCGCTCCTCCCTCATTCCGGCCAGTTTCCACCTGGACGGGCTGCGGGCCCGCGCGCAGGCGCTGCTCCTGGGCATGGAGGGCTCGTTCTTCAAGGACTATGCTCTCAAAGCCTTTGTGGGGAAAGTGGGTGCGTGCTGGGGGCGTAGATGCCCGGAGACCACGCCCCTACAGGGGAGGGCGGGGCCAGGCCTGGAGGAGGGCAGGGAAGTGGTGGGGGGGGTGTCACTTGCTTTGAAAAGGACCCACTGGCATTTCCTTCCTCCCGCCCCCCGCCAGAGGTAGATCACCTGGAAAGTGTGGTGTCCTTTGTCAAGAACCAAACTCAGTACATAAAGGACAATTCTCTGACAGGTAGGACCGGCCAGAGAAAGCTTTTCCAGATTACCTTCCCTCCTACCTTTCCACGGTCCACCGCTTGTCCCCCTGGATAGAAAAATTTAAAGAGTGTCCAGCCTTAATTGTGTCACTCAGTCGGTTTATGGAGGTGGGCAACTGTTCTGATCTGCCCTTTCCAGAGGGAGAAAAGCTGAGCTCAGAAAGGTTAGGTGACCTGCCAAAGGTCACACAGGGATTTGCAGCTACTTCGATGCTTACAAATTAGTTTGTGGCGACCATGCGACCAGCCATCCTATACAGCCTGTGCCTCCTACCTTACTGTGCATGATTTTTTGGGTAATTCTAGAAATATTTCAAACATTTTGTCATTATTACATCTGTTTATGGTGATTAGTGATTTTTTAATTTATAGTGGTGCTAGGGATGGAACTCATGACCTTGTGCATAGTAGGCAAGCACTCCTCCGAGCTACATCCCTAGCCCTGCAATCACTTATCGTAATTGTTTGAGAGCATCATGAGATACACCCATTTATCTGGCAAATTTAATTGGTAAAAGTTGTGTGTATGCTTGTTCTACCAACTGGCTTCCCCTCCCAGTCACTCTACCTCTCCTATGGGCTCCTCAGGGCGCCCCTGTTCTCTGAGACAATCATATTGAGTTTAGGCTAGGTAATAACCCTACAGTGGCCTGAGGTTGTCAAACAAAAGAAAGAATCTCGCTTCTCTCCCCTTAATCAAAAACTGGATTAAGCTTAGTGAGGAAGGCATGTCAAAAGCCAAGTTAGGGGCAGTCACAGTGGTACACGTCTGTCACCCCAGGTACTCAGGAGGCAAAATCGGGAGGATCAAGTTTCAAGGCCAACCCAGGCAAAAAATTAGTGACACCCCAATTCAGTCAGTAAGCTGGGCATGGTGGAGCCTGCCTGTGATCCCAGCTACTTGGGAGGCTATAGGTAGGTGGGAGGATCAGGGTCTGAAGCCCTGGGCAAAAGCGAGACACCCTACTTGAAAAACGACTAAAGCAAAAAAGGGGGACTGTTGAGCCCTACTGCTCAGAAGAAAGATTCTTTCTAAAATACTACCTCCGTCTGCTAAGGTAGAAGAGACTGGTGAATTGGGAGATTTAAACAAGAATATTGAGAGTCTGGTTTAGGAGTCTGAGATGCCAGTTAGACATCAAAGTGGAGATCTTGGGGAGATATCACTATGTTGACATTGAGGTCTCCATCAGGAGCCAGGCATGCTGGCATCTGCCTGTAATCCCAGCTACTTGGGAGACAGAGGCAAGGGGATCATGAGTTCAAGGCCAGCTCAAGCAAAGGTAGCAAGACCCTGCCTCAAAAACAAAATGCAGGCCAGGCACAGTGGGTCACACCTGTAATACCAAATACTGTGGAGGCAGAGATCAGGAGGATGTTTGAAGCCAATCTGGGCAAAAAGTTATTGAGAACACATGTTAATCAATAAACCAGGCATGGTGGTACATACCTGTGATCCCAGCTACCCCAGAGATTATGCAGGAGTGGGGAATCTCTGACAGGCCAGCCCTGGGGAGAAACCTGAGACCCTATCTGAACAATAACCAAGGTAAAAAGAGATGGGCCATGACTCAAGTGGTAGAGTTCTTGCCTAACATGGTGAGGCCCTGGGTTCAAATCCCAGCACAGCAAAAAAAAAAAAAAAAGATTCAAGATCTTATACAAGTTGATTATCCCTTACTTAAAATACTTGGGGACTGGAGGTGTGGCTTAAGTGGCAGAGTGCCTGCTTTGCAAGCATGAAGTCCTGAATTCAAATTCCAGTCCTACAAAAAAAAATACTTGAAGTATTTCAGCTTTCAGCGTTTTTCAGATTTGGATTTTTTGCATAGACAACCAGTTGACCATCCCCAACCCAATCTGTGAAATCTAAAAGGCTCCAAATTTCTTTTTTTCGGATTTCAGATTTTCAGATAGGGATGCTGAGCCTGTATCTGCCCAGGGGACTGTGAGTGAGAGCTGGGCTTGGTTAATCCTGGCAAATGGATCGGGGATCTGGGGATCTGCTGGTGGGCTTGTGGGTGCCTCGGTCTGACAAGGACCTCATTCTCCCCTCAGATGTACCCCTACTGGAGGAACTGGTGAAGTTTCGGGAGAGCATAATCAAGGAGTTCAAGAAAGTTCTAAGATCCTATGAACTGAAAGGTACAGCCTCGTACTCCACCAAGCCCCCCCCACCCACCATGGGTCCCCTTCTGTATTTTTCCCCTGGGAGTCAGCCTCCATTTCTCCTTCTCCAGACCTGCCCCTCCTTCCCTGGTCCCTTCCCAATTACAGTCTCAAACCAGAGGGCCAACTTCACTCACCTCCTCTCTTTCCTCTTGCAGCCTGTGATCCCAAAGTCTGCCGTGAGTAATGGCCTCCTTCTACCCTCATCCACCTTTTTATCCTGTTCTCCCCCAAATTAAGCCCTGCTACCACACATACCCCATGAGGCAGTGTCCCTACTCCAAAGCCATGATACCCAGAGGGACTGTAACCTGCAAACAAGTAGCTGGGTCCTGTGCAAGTCAGGATAGGATAGGGCTTGGTGCATTGACAGGTAAGCCCCATACCTGGGTGGTTTGACACAATCAAGGTCTGTTTCTCACCTAAAGTCCAAGGAGAGTCTGGGCTCTCTTCCAAGTGGTGCCTCAAAGATGTCACCACACTCTAAGCTTGTAGAGAAGAAAGAGAACAGGAATCATACTTGAAGTTTTATGGCCAGGCCGGGAAGGGACACTTGTCACTCTTCTATTACTATTTTTCTCTTGGTGGCACACAGGATTGAATTCAGGGCTTGCAAGGCAGATATGTTACCACTTAAGCCACGCCCATAGCCCTCTTCTAAGCTTCCATTGGTTAAAGCTAGGTCACATGGTTGCAGCCCACTGCAAGGGCTACTGGGAAATGTAGTCTTCCTGTGTGCACAGGACAAAGTGGAGCCAGATGAGCGTGTAACATGCCTGTCTCCACCAGAAAGAGACTCCAAAATAGGAAAAGTGTAAAGTCGAAATTGACAGATGTCAACATCTACAAATGGACTCTTCGGCCATCTGGACTGTTGCAACGCAATTTAACTCTTCAATAATTATATAAAAAGTAGTTTTTAGCTGGTGGAGTGGCTCAAGTGGTAGAGTGTGAGGTCCCGAGTTCAGACCTCAGTACTACCCCCCCCCAAAAAAAAGTCGTTTTTATGTGAATTTCAGTGCCTTTTGCTCAAGTTACTCTGCCTGGCAGTGGTTTCCTCCAAAATTGACTAGGACAGGAGAACTAGTGTTCCTTTCCCCCTTTTCGCCTCTTGCCACTTCTCTGGATCTGCCCTCATCCTTCCTCTCCTTTTCCCCTTGTGTAGACTTGCTCAAAGAAGAAGTCTTGGACTGTTTACTTTGTAAGAAAGTCAGCCCCAACTGTATCAAAGAAAAGTACTGCTTTGGTAAGCTTCTGAAGCTAAGGGAAGCCACAGGACAGATGGGGGAGAGGTGAGGAGAGCCATGTCGTATACCTTGATCGGAGATGTCTCCCCTGGGGAGCAAAATGATCCCCCTGGGTTAGATGATAATTACAGGGCAACGTAAATGGTCTAATTCCAGAGAGCAGAAGGTACCCTAGTGAAAACAAGTGAACCACTTGCTAGGAAGTGGAGACAGTGGTGTGGTGACCTTAAAGACTGCATATGTGAAGAGCCGTTCTGAAGGGGTGCTATGTGAGAACTGAAGGAAACTTGACAGCGACAGGAACAGTGTGAATGGCAAAGGGAACAGTATGTGCAAAGATCCCACATGATTAAGCAGTGGGGGGCGGGCATTGTGGTCAGAGCAGAGTGAATGAAGAGAGTGAGTGAAAGATCTCATGGCGACCAGCTGAAATGGCTGCAAGTGGAGTTTAGGAGGATCTAAGCAGATGTGTTGTCCGCACCTTCTGTAGGCCATATGAGGAGCTGCAAGGGAGGAGATGCAGAGCAAGTGGTGATGGGTGTTGGACCCAGGTGGTGGATGAGGTCAAGTCAAGAGGTTTTTCTAAAAAAAGGAAAGAGCTGAGGGTAGGAGGAGTGGAAGATGCAGAATGCAACTTGTGAGGGTTGCCAGCAAAGATGCAGGTTGACAGGGTTGGTCTTATGTGGACCAAACTGGGCTCCTGTCTCGGCCTTCTGAGTGCACCACCACACCATGCTGTATGGCTGACTTTCATCTTGTACATTTCACACCAGCTCTGTCTCTTTTTGAATAGTATTTCTGTCTCTTTTCTTGAATGTGAATCAAACTTCCCAAGACATCCGTGCTGTCTCCCCACCCCAAGAGGACTGTCAACTCCATGAGGGTGGGATTGTGTGCCAGTACTGTTCCTTGTATCCCAAGTACTCAGAATGGTGCCTGAGACAAAACATGGGGCAGGGAGTACTGAGTAAATGGAGGGGCACACCCCAGGGAAGCAGGGACCAAGTGTGGAGAAGCAGAGAGAAGCTCCACCCTGCCTTCAGGTGAACGGGTGGGGTAAATGTGAGACTGAGGGGTGGTGACCGGGAGCTCAGTGCTGTCTTGCCACCCACCCAGTGGATGGGCAGACACGCATGGCCCTGAGGTACGAGGACAGTGGGTACCCGAAGCACCTGAAGCTGGTGGGCATCCTCTTAACCGTGTTTCTGGCTGTCTTTGTCTTCTTGGCCATCCTGATCTCGTGAGTCATCCCTGTCCCCTCTTACATCCCCATGTGTTCCATTGGGTTCCTCAAAAATGGCATCTCCCCAAATGAATCACTGTGTAGTTTGGGAGTCTCCTCCCTGATCACTTTAGGTCTGTCTGTCCTCCCCTTCCCTCCCCTTCCCTCTCTCTCTTTCTCTCTCTCTTTCTTCTTCTTCTCCTTCTCCTTCTCCCTCCCCCTCCCCCTCCCTCCCTCACTGAGCTACTGGGTTTTGAACTCAGGGCCTGGCACTTGCTAAGCAGGCACTCAATCCTGAGCCACACACCCAGCACTTTTTGCTTTAGTTTATCTTTTAGGTAAGGTCTCACTTTTTTTTTTAACTGGGGCTAGTTTCAGACCACAACCCTCGTACTTGTACCTCCCACATAGCTGGGATTACAGACATGAACAAGTAAGCCAGGCCCTCTTCTACCTCTTTGTGTCCTCCTTCCTTTTCTCCCTCTCTTTCCTTCCTTCCCTCCATCCTCTCTCCCTCTGCATTTTTCATTGGTTTCTCTCTCTCTGTCTCTCTCTCTCTCTCTCTCTCTCTCTCACTCTCTCATCTCTTCCCCTACCACCAATCACATTATCACTTCCCAAGTCTCTCACCAATCCTTCCCTCTGGGTCCCCTCTTCCATTAAAAAATACTAAATAATATATTTTGTGAATGTGTTGGCATAAAAACAAATACTGTGCAAGTTGAATTCATTGTTATACAATTCACCATAATCGCTGTCCTCAGATTTATTTATTTCCTTCTAGTTTGCTAAGAAATTACAATGAAAACATTTCTCAGGGCCCCAGGAACCAAGCCTGGGGGAGAAGTGGCGGTCACCTGTCCCTCTCCACCTCTGAGGGTTTCTCATTGTGTGTGTCTGCTTGGGCCCCTCAGTGCCTCTTTTCTCTATCTGGATGTCTGTGTGTCTCTCTGCCTCCTCTGATTACCCTGTGAGCCTCTTTTTCCTAAGACATCTGTTTCTTCATATTCAATGGGGACATCCCAGTGCCTCCCTTTCAGGAGTGGTGGGAGCAATGAACAGTGGTCACTCTTTTTGAGAGGAAGGGGGTGGGACTGTGGCTGAACTCACAGTTTCACACTTGCAAAGCAGGTGCTCTCCCACTTGAGCCACACCTCCAGTCCATTTCGTTCTGGTTATTTTGGAGATGGGGTCTCTCGAGAACTATTTGCCCAGGCTGGCCTCGAGCCTTCATCCTCCAGATCTCAGCCTTCTAAGTATCTAGGGGTGAATCACCAGCTCCTGGCTATCAGTGCTCACTCTTAACAGCACTTGCAATAGCTCTCACCTGCTGTCCTATTTTCTACCTCTCTTCTTTTTCTTTCTTCCTTTTTTTTTTTGCAGTACTGGGATTTGAACTCAGAGCCTTCACCTTGAGCCACTCCACCAGCCCTTTTCGGTGAAGGGTTTTTCTGAGATAGGATCTCGTGACCTTTTTGCTGGGCTGGCTTCGAACATTGATCCTCCTGATTTCTGCCTCCTGAGTAGCTAGGATGAGCCACCGACATCTGGCCCTCTACCTCCCTTCTATCTCTCACTCTCTTCCCATTTCTCTGCCTCCCTGTGTATTCATTTCCAGTGTTACTGCAACCAATGACCACAGTGAGTGACTTAAAGCAGCGGGAATTTATTCTCTGAGTTCTAGAGGCCAGAAGTCTAAGGTCAAGGGCTTTGTGGTGTTGTTTCTTCTGAAAGTACTGAGGGTAAATTCCGCCCATGCCTCTCTCTTGGCTGTTGGTGGCTGTTGTCAGTCTTCAGCATTCCTTAGCTCATGGTGTCCCTCAACATCTGCTTCTGCCTTCATGTGACCAGAGTCCTCACCCAGAGGCCTGACACTGGGGCCTCCAACATGTCAGGTTCAGCCACTTGTCCTAAAGAAAGCAAACCAAATTCACAGTAGATGCTGGATGCCAGTGTCTCAGGCCTGTAATCCTAGCTACTTAGGAGGCTGAGATCAGGAGGATCGTGGTTCAAGGGCAGCCTGGTAAAATAGCCAGAGCAAAATGGACTGGAGGTATGGTTCAAATGGTAAAGCACCTGCTTTGTGATCATGAAGCCCTGAGTTCAAAACCCAGTCTCACCAAAAACAAAACAAAGCTAATGGAGTGGAAAAAGCAAGAAGAGATTTTAATCAAAATGGCCATTTGTGGAAGACAGAACGTGAGTGTGCCCGCCCATCCTCAGGGTGCAGGCGTGAGCTTCAGGTTTAAGTAGAGAAGAATTGGAGCAGGGGAGAGGTCTGCGTAATTAAGCAGCCTTCGTCACAGTGTGGCCTGTCAGTCATTATCTCAGTCCTGATTCCACAAGGTGACCCCACAGAAGTTCTGTCACTTGGGAACGTCTGGTTCCCATGAGATGACTGCCCCTGCTAGGGGTGATCTTGTTATGGGGCGATCTGACTATGAGCCTCTGCTTTTGCTGGACTCCAGGGTAACTGCAGGCTTAGGACAGTGACTAGAGACTTGCAGGTGTGGTGTCTCTTGGGGTCTGGAGCAGGACATTGTAAAAGCCAATGGTGACATGCCTCAGTTATTCTGCACCTTTAGCCTCGTCCAGGGGTGGGACAGGTGAGTTATGGCAGGCTTTAGACAGACACTCCTGAGTGAGCAACACGCCTCCGTGCAGAGTGAAGCAGGGGTCTCACCCAAGTGAAGAAGACAAATAGGAAATGGAGGCAGGGCTGCCAGAGGCTCTGCTTTTTTTGTTTGTTTGTTTTGTGGTACTGGGGCTTGAACTCAGGACCTACACCTTGAGCCATGCCACCAGCCCTTTTTTGTGATGAGTTTTTTTGAGATAGGATCTCATGAACTATTTGCCTGTGGCTGTTTTCAAACTGCAATCCTCCTGATCTCACCTCCTGAGTAGCTGGGATTACAGGTGTGAGCCATGGATGCCTGTCCTGTCCTGCTTTTAGTGACCTTGTGGGCCCAGAGAGGGTAGTTTTCAGCAACAGCAGTTTCTAAGCACCTGTTATTTTCCCATGGCTTTTCCTCTGCGTCTGGGTGTCTGAGCCCTCTCTCTCTCTCTCTCTCTCTCTAATAATTACACCTGTCTTTGGACGTGGGGCCCAGCCTAAATCCAAGATGACTTCACCTCATATGAGTTTAATTACAGCTCCAAATAAGGTCACATTCATGGGTCCTGGGAGTCAGGACTTGGAAATATCTTGGGGGGGAGGACACAGCTCAGTCCTCTGCACCCTCCTTCTGTCTCTTCATTTTTGTCTCTTCTTCCTCTTTGAGTCTACCTCCCTTTGTTCCCACGTTCTACCCTCCCTCCCAATCCAACTTTTCACCCCTTTCATGTACCAGCATGGAAATCTGCCCTGCAACCCATGATGTCACTAGCTGAGCCAGATCTGGATGGTGATTGGAGGGGAGCTTGGGGGCGGGTCTCTTGCCCTGACAAGGCTCCAAAATTGCCTTCCTAACCTCCAGGCTTTTTCTCTCTGACCAGGGCTTGTACATACAGGCAGAACCGAAAACTGCTGCTGAAGTAGGGGGGTGGTTTGTAAGGGAAAAGGAAAAGAAATGTAATAAAATTTGAGACAAATTTCTCAATGTCTCTGTCTTCTGCGGACTCTCCCTCCAATTGATGTCCAGCAGGTTCTCTGAAGGCCAGGTGCTCCTCAGAGGTTAGGACCAGATATTATGCATCTGTAGACACAAGTTATCCTAACTACAGTGATTTTGACCTTCAAAAGGGCTGAATAACGTTTTGTGAGGGTTTATGGGACACCATTCCTCACTGGGGAGGAAACAGGTCCTAAAGGGGATGGTGTCATGGGACCCTCTGGGGCAGTTAAGCTAAAGAATGGTGGTCACGAAAAAAAAGAAAAAGAAAAAGAAAATAATAAAAAAAAAAAAGGAAAAAAGTTAAAAAGCAAAAAAAACAACAAAAAAAAGGTCAGTGGGGGAGGGTACCAGTCCCCTTCTCTATCTGAACTCTATTTTTTTTTTTTTGGCAGCTTTGGGGTTTGAACTCACTTGCTAGGCAGGTGCTCTACCATTTGAGCTATGCCCACAGTCCTTTTTTCTTTATTTTTCTGATAGGATCCAGCTTTTCCAGGGCCTCAGACTGTGATCTTCCTACCTCTACCTCCCAAGTAGCTGGAATTACAGGCATATACCACTGTGCTAGGCTTGTTGAGATGAAATTGCTAACTTTTTGCCAGGGCTGGCCTTCAACTTTGATCCTACAGACGTCCACTTCCCAAGTAGCTGGGATTACACATGTGTGTACCACACCTGGCCTGAACCCTAATTTTTTGTCTTCTTTGTACCTAAATAGATGGAAATACATTTTCATATAAATGGGACTCTTGCTACTCAATAAACCAAAGTAGGAAGCAAATACATTTGGACAACATGGAATCCTATTTCTGAATCTGCCCGCAAAAGCACTGCTAACTCAAGATACAGATAATGAGAGGTGTATGAGGGGATGGGTGGGGATCTGAGACAGACCAGGAGGATACAGGCCTCCTTAAGGATATTGGGCTGGGAGTTAAACACTGGTAAGGACACTAATTTCATGGTAGGTCTCTGTTGTTAGCACCTCTTAATTTTTTTTTTTTTTTGTGGTACTGGGGTTTGAACTCAAGGTCTACACCTTAAGCCACTCCACCAGCCATTTTTCGTGATGTGTTTTTTTGAGATAGGGTCTTGAGAACTATTTGCCCGGGCTGGCTTTGAACCACAATCTTCCTGATTTCTGCCTCCTGAGTAGCTAGGATCACAGGCAACTATTTCCTCTTAAATGACAGAAACTATCAAGCACAGGGCAGTTTGGCTGTTTGATTGACAGCTGTCAAACCCTCCCCCTGCACAGAAAGCCACAGCAAAAGGGGCTCCAAGTCTCGGAACCACGACTGGTATCTTCATGGGACTGGAGTCTGGCCTGACTGTGACCAACATTGTTGCCTCTCCTGAAAGTCTGTCGGAGATAAGCAACCGCAACTCCAGCATCTTCATTTTCGAGGGTCCCAAAAAGAGCTGTCAATCAAGCAGCCAGTTCTTCAAGCTGTGCTGCTGCACAGGGAGACCCTGATACAGCTGCCAACACCTGGAGGAGACTTCAAAGCAGCTGCAGACACCCCAGATTTCATTCCAGTCCTCACTGTAACTGTCATGGCTGCTGCTCCAACCATGGCTTTGCTTCAGGAGACTTTGCTTTGGCTATGACTGCTTCAGATGACCCTTAGATGACCCCTGGCCCACAGCCCCGCGGGACCCCATCACAGCTGTCTTTCTGGTCAGGGAGAAGCACCATTCCTGCCCAGGACAGCTAGTGAGCACGTTGACTAGCTACCTATATTTGCAAGGTCTGCCTCGCTCTCTTTGGAGCAGTCCAAGATAGCTCCCTCCTAAGCACTGCCCCCCAGGCTCCACTAAAACCTTACCCAGGTGTTTTGTTGCCTACTCTTGGTCTTCTTCATGGGTCCAGAGGACTTTGCTAGTAATACAAACAATAGACAACTCCTGGGACTGCCAGCCCCAGGCACATTCAGCAGCAATAGAGGCGGGGCCAAAGAAGCCCATAGATCAGCAAGGAACAGAACTGTGACAAGATGAGGCTGTGAAAGTGAAGGGCTAAGAAGATCCAAGATTATGGCGGGCTGCAGTCCCTAGCTGCTGGGAGGGTTGCAGAAGGCTACCAAGATTTACTAGTTCCCTCTGCCCAAGAGCTCTAAAAAGAGCTGCTGCTCCAGGGCCACTAGCACTTAGAGCCCAGACATCTAAGCCTCTGTCCTTCAAGGCCCAGAACTGTAAGCCTCTGGCCCTGAGATCCCAGAGCTGTGGGCTTCTGGCACCCGGAGATCAGAGTTGCTAACGCTAAGAGAACGACACCTTGCCTGTTCAGAGACCAAAAGCAGATGGCATTTGGCTGAGAAAAGGTGAATATTTAGCTGGAGATTTAGGACCCAGCACAATGCCTGGCTCAGAGCAGGCACTCGATATTTATTGACTAAATGAGTGTGTGCGGGGGGGGGGGGCAAAGCTACAAAATCTTTTTGATCTATACCCCGTGGGGCTTAAATGCCAGGGAAAGAAGTTTGGGATTCTCCCTAGAATCCGGAATTTCGACTTCCAATGCCTTATGGGTTTGGATAGTTAAAGTGAATAACTACATTCACAGGGATAGAAAACACTCATACATCCTATTATAGCAATGACGAAATAGTCCCAGCGTTTTCAGTACTTTAGAGTTTTCAACAGAACGCAAATTCATATTTGAATGTGAAATGTTTTCATAACCAGTGTTGGCAATTACTGTATTTTAAATATTGCAGATAAAACACGTCTTGCTGCCTCTGTGAGACGTGTGGGAAACTTTTGCAAGTGAATGTTGTTTGTAGATTTTATATTAGTGAGATATTAGCAAAGAAATTTTTACGTGTTGCTGAATTCTGCTGGACTACATTGCCCAGAACACTCTGCTGCTGCATGTCTGTTGCCATAGATACGACACTGTACTCTTCTTAAAGAGGGTATGTGCATGAGGCTCGTCTTCCGATTGGTCAAAATCTTGATCTCCTCGGTCCAGCCCACCCGTTGCCAAGATACCACATTTTACACAAGGGCCATAGAACGCGATTCGCATGCAGCAGTTTTCAATTGGCGCAAAGGCGCCAACCCCAGAAATAGAGCAGGCGCCGCGCAAAGGATTCTGGGAGTGGTAGTTTCCTACCACAGCATGCGCTGGCTCACTTCCCTACCAGCACTGGCCGAACGCGCGCATCTCGCCCAGTGCGTCCCTTTCCTTCCCGTAGTACCGAGGGAACCAGGCCCGAATGCCAGGGCCTTTTCACCTCTGGTCCCCTCTCCTTTTTCCCTCAACCCTGAGCGTCCGGAAGTAGAGACTCCATTCCGCCCCTCTGCGACTAACCCACCGATGCTGGTCACCATGGCGACAGCACGCCAGGTGCATATGACGTCACCGCGTACACGCCGGTCGGGGGCATGGCTCCGGAAAAAAATGAACAGATGCTTAACTTCAGTTTCTTTAGTTTTAAACCAGACTGCATCCCAAGGAAAGGTATGAGCTCGTGGAAGTCGCAAAGTAGTGACCCAAATAGTTTTTTTGTTTAAGTGACAGTGTTGCTGGGGTTTTTGTTTTTAATATCTTCCCTCTACAAATCCGGACGCTCCCTTAACTTCATGGGAATTTTCTGGGAGTAATGCACAATGCACAGATAATTAAGTTGTGCGTCAATTATAGTGTGATGAGCGCTCCCAGTGAACGCAGCCTGGGGCCGGGGAGACATATAGTTATTACAGAATTACAATGCAGTAATGATTACAGTGTCAGGGCTGGGATCCTGGGGTGTTCCTGTGGAAGCCCAGGGAGGGAGCTGCCACCTGCGGCTGGGCTTGGGTGGTAATGGGAGAAAGTTTCCTACTGGCGAGGCTGGAAGAGCTTGTTCTTGCAAGCAAATCCTACAAGACTTAGTGGAGGAAAGGCGAGTTGTTAATGGGGATCATTAATAACTTGTTTAATAATAGTGTGAGGGGAACAAATGACAGTGGTGACTCCATTTTGGATGAGGGAGACATTTTAGAAACAGACATCTGAAGGGAGAGGAGAAACAACAGGTTTCTTAGAGAAATCACAGGTCTCTTACCAAGATAACAGAACTCAGCCGCAAGATGTGGGTGGGGGCCCCAAGGCCAGGAGGAGCTGACCAGACCTTCCCGGGATGTTCTGCTCCATAAGGAGGACGGGCAGGTGGCCAGGTTCAGCGGGAAGGTGACTAGGTGCCAACCAATCACAAATGTAGTTTCAAGATAAACTAATTGGACCTAAGCCAGGCAGAATCTTGTGTCTCTCCGAGCCTCCAACTACACTGCGGCTTAGCTTTGTTGTCCTTTCAATAAACCATATCCTTGTTCTACTCTTAACTCCTGGTGAGGAGTCTTCAAACATCAATTTTCCCCAGACATGAGCTCGGGATAAATGATCCAGTATCAATTTTAAAGGGTGATTTGGAATGTGCAGAAAAGTCTGAAGTGAAATACCAATTCCCTGTTTAAGTCCACACCTCAGGCTCCCTAGTCATTCTTGCATGTTTCTTCCTGCTTGTTTTGTTGGTACTGGGGTTTGAACTCAGGGCTTTGCGCTTGGTTGCTTGGTTCCTACCACTTGAACCATCCTCCCAGCTTGGTTTTCATGTTTAATATATTCTCCCAAATATTTGAACCAAATGTAATTTTCTTTCATTGTAAGAAAATTACAGTGAAAGAAATTTTCATTGGGCTAATACAATGAGCAGTTTTCTTTGTGGTATACACATTGTATTTGTCATATGGTGCTGAGGAGGTGTAATTTAGAAAGTCACTCTTTAGTTTTTTCTTCTAAACTCCTGACACAGGTCTCCCACTCCATTTTCTCTGTTATGATGTTCTGAACCTTTCCATGCATATCCCTTCCTTCTTAGGGGGGAAATATTTGTTTGCTTGTCTTTTCTTTACACAGGGTCTTGCTATGTAGCCTAGACTGGCCTCCAACTTTCAATCCTCTGGGATTACAGAGGTGTGCCACCATGCTCAGCACTGAGAAAGTATTTTTTAACTTTTAAAATATTTTTTAATTTTTTGGCGGTGTTGGGTTTTGAACTCAGGGTAGTGTCTACCACTTGAGTAACACTTTCATCCAGCCCCACCCCCCCCTTTTTTGGTGGGAATGGGGTTTGAACTCAGGACTTTCAGCCAGCCTTATATAGTTCTTCAGTAAACTATCATGCTAAGACTTTCCTCACCAAGATTATGAAAAGCACAAGGGGAGAACATATACGGGAGGTACGGGGTTAGATGGAAAACCCAAAACACGAAAGCATTTGATGTCCACACTCCAGAGGAATTAATACAGAAACCTTAAATCGGCAGAGGTCAACACAAGAAGGGGATCAGGAACCAGTGTAAATATCAGTTAGAGATGAATCAACCTGGGTTGTAACACATTTGTACATGAAAACAATGCAAGGAATTTCTAGGTATAGCTGTCCTTATCTCAACTAGCAAAAATGCTATGTCTTTCTTATTATTGCTTATTTCTACTCTTCAACGAAACTGGAGAAAAGCACAGAACAGGTTCTTCCTGGAAGCAAGGGGGAAGGGGGGAGAGGGTAGAAGTGGGGGCAGGGGGGAGAAATGACCCAAACAATGTATGCACATGTCAATAAATGAATAAAAAAAATACTTAGGTGTACAAAATGAAAAAAAAATACCCTTCACACAAAAGGGCTGGTGGAGTGGCTCAAGGTGTAGGCCCTGAGTTCAAGCCAGATTACAAAGAAAAAAAAAAGATTATGAAAAAGTTCTACATTTTATTTCTTTTTACAATTAGAATTTTATTCCAGCCCAATTTTTAAATGGGTTATGGTATGAAGTAGAGACTCACTACCAGCAAACAGTATTATGCTTGCTTAGGGAAGGGAATTATTGGCCAATAGAATGAAAATGTTAACTTTCAGGAACAGATGGATCAAGCTGCTTACATGACCTGTCAGTAATCTCTCTTCTCCTTCTCCGAGCTCGGCTTCCTTTAGTTAGGTTCATTTTCTGGCAGGTTTCCCACATGGCAGTGAGGTGCCCACCAGCTGTTCCAGGTTTAATCAATTTGGGTACTGAGCAGAAAGCAAGTTCCTCACATCAACATTCCTTCAACTACTGACTCTGGCCACTTCTCACCCCTCGCTCCTCCCAGAGCCCCCTTTGCCTCCCCACTTCTCTTCCTACTTCTGTCTTTGCCTCCTCAGTGTCATCAGAACACAGCCATTGAGGCCTGCTGACACCTAGGGACCCAGGATGCCACACTTCTGCCCAAAGTCCCCCAGCTTGCAGGAAATGTCACAACCCTCAGATGCTGTCTGGGTCCTGAGCAGCCAGCCCCTGCCACCCGTCCCACCTGTCTCCTCTGGCTCATTCTGCTCCAGTGCATTTGGGCCCCTTGCTTCTTCAAGTGCACTGGGCTGTCTGATTCTTGTCCACCTGCTGGCTGCCCCCTCACCTATGGTCTCGTCACGCAGACATCCATACTGCCTCCTCGCTTTTGTAGGTTCCAGTCACCTATCTCTCTGCTATAGTTCAATGCATCCTCCCCACATTCACATCTTGAAAGCTAACCCCTGACATGGCAATTTAGATGTGAAGCTTTAGGGAGGCGGGAGACCTCATTGAGTGGACTCAGCACATCCATGAGATTCTGTATGAACCAGGAAATGGGCCCTGACCAGACACTGAGTCTGCCTTCAGACTTGCAGCCTTCAGAACTGTGAGCAATCCAATTGTTCATAAATGACCGAGTCTATGCTCATTTGTTGCAGTGCCTGACACTCCACAGTCCAGCCCTATTGTTTCATTTTTTTGGTTTGAACTCAGGGCTTTGCCCTTGCAAAGCAGGTGCTCTCCCACTTGAACCACACCTCCAGTCCATCTTGCTTTGGTTATTCCGGAGGTGAAGTCTTGGGAACTACTTGCCCAGGCTGGCCTCAAACTGTGGTCTTCCCAATCTTAGCTTCTAAGCAGCTAGGATTTGCTTTTCCTCCTTAGCACGTATCACATCATTGTCTCTCCGACTGGAACTTGTCACTGTGACCATCCCCTCCCCCCTGAGTGCCTGGCAGCCAGGGACTATGCCTGCCCTGCAGCTTGCCACCTGTGCAGCACCAGGATGAGAGAAGGAACCAAGGCTTTTGGGCCAAAACTTTAATCAGAGAAGCAGCCCCTATGGAGACATGGACCACAGCGCCACAGGCAAACACTGCCCTCTACTGGCGGCCGACGGAATTTCCAAGTGCCTCCAAGCTCTCCTAGTACTGTCAGACTCTGGCTGAGCTCACTTTGTGCTCCTGCCGAGCCACTCTGTACACACCCCCAACACATGCCTATCTGCAAACAGACACAGGCTCAGAGGGCAGGTCCCACAGCCATTTACAAAACAGAATGCTGGTCACTGTGGCACAGGCCAACCGCCAGCCTGTATTTTCCTGTGTCAACTACAACCCCATCCAGCACAACTGCAGGTGGTTCAGGGTTTAAACAACCTGACCGAAGGGCACATGCCCCCAAAGATGAGGGCATTAAACGTGTCAGTGTCCAACATCTTCATGAGATTCTGTTGTAGTCCCGCGCACGTGTTCCTGTGTCATTTAGTCCTCAGGGCACAAAAGTCTGCGCTGACTGAGTGCTCCAAAGGGGCTGCTCATGAGGTTCCTGAGGAGAGCATCAGCTGGCAGAAAAGGTTTAGCCAAGATGACCGAGAGCCACAGAAGCCTCCTCCCCCGGCTCACCAACACTGCTGGGCGCTCCCAGGATGTCCTGTGACATGAAGGGGTGTTTTAAAATTGCTCTTGCCAACTGACTGGTGATCCCCTGAAAATGGGGCCATTTGCTACCCTTATTCCAGAAGCTTCCAGGCAGGGACAAGCAAATGGGCATCCTGCCCCACAGCCTAGCACCGCACCCAGCAAGGGGCCAGCATGGATGAATGGCGGCCTCTGCAGTTTTTATTACCACCCCCACCCCCCGCCCCGGCGCCCCCCAGGCAGGGGGCTTTGTGTGGCAACGTTCCAGGCAGTTTTCTAACGGCCCCAGTAAAAAATCCACCCAGGAATCCACTGTCTGCAGTATCATTAACTGAACAAGTGTGGACCTCATACTGGATAAACACTGGCTCAAATGGAGGAAGGTAACTGTGATGGATGGCACGGGAATGGGTTGTGTGTGTCCCTCTGAGAGGACTGGGTCAGGAGTACAAAGTTTTAGCCATTTGAGGTTAGAAAAGGCCAGTTAAAAAAAAGGAGGCGGGGAGAGGGGGCTGAACAAAAACTTGGAAGAAAAGAAAAGTCATGCATAAGCCAGCACTGGAGACTTATACCTGTAATCCTAGCTACTTTAGATCAGAACAATCGAGGTTTGAAGCCAGCCTGGGCAAATAGTTTTCAAGACCCCATTTCCAAAATAGCCAGAGCAAAATGGACTGCAGGTGTGGCTCAAGTGGTAGGGCACCTGCTTTGCAAGTGAGAAGCCCTGAATTCAAATCCCCGTACTGTAAAACAAATGAACAAAAGCTGTGTATAATATATGGAACACTAACTTCACAAAACAGTTTACTAGTTCTTTTAACATAAAAAGGCGAGGGCTGGGGGTGTGGCTAAGAAGCAGAGTGCCTGCCTAGCCGGTGCAAAGCCCTGAGTTCAACTCCCAGTGCCACGTATCCTTTCTTATATTCTGACGTACATTCAACAGCTCATACTCAGTGAATGCTTTGGGCTGGGCATCAGTTCTAAGTGCTTCACACTGACTCACAAGTGCCCTGAGGTAGGTGACTGGTATGCCCATTTACACGAGGACAGAGCCCTGAGAGACTGTAAGTCACTTAGGGTGGCTAGGTGGCCGACTGGCTCCAGGGCCTACTTCTGGGTGTAAATTTTTCTGTTCTCCTTGTCTTAATGAAACTCATGTGTGAGGACTTTCTGCTCAATCTTTATTAAGAAGATTTATTTACTGGGAAGGGAGGAAGCTTGAGTGTGTTGGTTTCAACTTCTGTCTTGGGAACTGGTTCAGCTGTGTGGGGCTCTGCTGTCACCCAGTGGCTGTGGGCAGTACTGCTGCTGGGCCCTTTGGCATGTGACAGCCGCTGGTGTCTGATGAGGCTGGAGCAGCACTGAAAGACTTTCTGACACAGCTGACAGGAGTAAAATGGGCGCTCAGCGTGGATCCTCTGGTGCTGGCTGAGGTGTGCGCTGATGCTGAAGACTTTGCCACACACATCGCACATGTATGGCTTCTCACCAGTGTGGATCCTCTCGTGCTGCGTGAGGTTGGCTCTCTGGGTGAAGGCTTTGCCACAGATGCTGCACACGAAGGGCTTCTCCCCAGTGTGCACCCTCTGGTGCATGACAAGGCACGAGCTCTGGCTGAAAGCCTTCCCACAGTCCTGACACACGAAGGGCTTCTCCCCAGTGTGCACCCTCCGGTGCATGGCCAGGCACGAGCTCTGGCTGAAGGCCTTCCCGCAGTCCGGGCACCTGAAGGGCTTCTCCCCAGTGTGCACCCTCTGGTGCTTGGAGAGTGAGGAGCTCTGCAGGAACGTCTTGCCACACTCATGACACTCGAAGAGTTTCTTTGCAGCATGTGATCTTTGGTGCTGAAGGAGGTACTTCCTGTGCGTGAAGACCCTGTCACACTCAGGGCATTTAAAAGCACCCTCTCCAGAGTGGGTCAGCTGGTGCTTGCAGAGGTGCACGTTTTGGCTGAAGGTCTCAGTGCACTGGTCACATTTAAAGGGGCACTGGCTTGGGCGGGGCTGGTGCTCCAGGATGGAAGTGCTGGGCCGGGCTTGCCCAGGCTGGCCGCGTTCATAGTGGACTCTCTGATGACGGATGAGCTGTGTACTCTGGCTGAAGGCTTTCCCACACTGATGGCACTGGAAGGCCTTCACCCTGGTGTGAACCCTCTGGTGCTGCGCTAAGTACTTGCTGCGGGTAAAGGTTTTCCCACATTCACTGCAATTGAACTGTTTCTCAACCAGCCATGGAGGTTTCTCCTGCAAACCTCTCATGCTCAGGGTGAGCCACTGCTTTTCTCTGGTGTGAACGCTCAGGTGGCAACTCAGGGTGGACTTGCAGACAAAGCGCTCCCCACATTCCTGACACTCATACGGGGCTTCAATGGTGTGTGTTTTCTGGTGCTGCACTAGGTACTCTTTCTGGCCGAAGGTCTCCTTGCACTCGGTACAGCCGAAGAGCTTTTCTGCAATGTGGCTGAACTGATGCTTGAGCAGGCGTGAGGGGCGGTGGAAGCTCCTCACGCACTGCTGACATTGGTAGGGCTGGGAGCCCGCATGCACTCGCTGATGCTCACGGAGGTGAGAGCCACAGAGGAAGCTTTTCCCACACTGCCCACACTTGTGCGGCGTGCCTGCACCATGTGCCTTCTGGTGGATCCTCAGCGTGGAGGCGTGCATGAAGGCCTTCCCGCAGACTGTGCACTTGTAAGGTTTCTCTCCCGTGTGAATTGCCTGGTGTTTCAGCAGGGCTGAGCTCCACCTGAAGGTCTTCCCACACTCCCGACAAGTTTTTACAACATGGGTTTTCTGGTGTTGGAGGAAATGTTTCCTAAACTTGAAGGTGGCCTGGCACATGGTGCAGGCATAGCGTTTCTGGATGTGGGTCTTCTGGTGCCCAGTGAGATGGAAGGCCCGGGTGAAAGCCAGGCCACACATGTTGCATTTGTAGGATTTAACAATTCTCAGAGGTTTCTGACGCCGAGGTGGGGGGCGAGGAACTGACAGGTGGTCACTGCCTTGCTGTTTTCTCCCAGTGTGAATTTTCTGATGCCGCCGGAAGTTCTTCCTCCCACAGAAAACTTTCCCACACTTTGCACACACGTAGGGTGTGAAGCCTGAGTGTATCATAGGCCGCATGAGGAGGAAAACGCATTTGCTGAAGCCCCTCTGTCCTGGGCACGTGTGTGGCTCCTCCCTGGCATGGACAGCCCAGTGCTGGATGAGGCGGGAACTCCGACTGAAGTGTTCCCCACACTCGCTGCACTTATACAACCTCTCCTCCCCCTGGACACAGTCCTGCTCACTCTGGTCTGCGGAGTGGCCCAAGCCACTGGCACATCCCTGTGACTGCACCAGTGTGAGGCTCTTTCCAGGAATATCCTGTACCACGGAGACAGTGGCTGTTCCTGTGGGAAGGAGGGACGCAGGGCAGAGGCGGCTGGTTGCAGGACTCCTGCACTCTGTGGGGCTTTCCTTCGTGCTGGCAACATCAGGCTGCAGAAGATTCTCTGGATCTCCCAGCAAGGTATCTAACCAATTCTTGCCTATGCAGGTGTCAAAGCTGGAGTTCCAGAAGCTCTCCTCCGAGAGGGCCTCCAAGATTTCCTGGGAGAGTCCTTCCTCCAAGAGATCCTGTGGCAGACCGTAGTTCTGGGTCTCCACCTGAGACCCCCCGGCATCTGAAGGAGAGAGTACAAATGTCTCCTCTTCCCCAGGGGGAAAGGCCGAGCAGTGCACTAACATGAATGTGAGGGAGGAGGGGGATGGGTTTGAGCCCAGACTCTTCAGTGGATAAAGACAAAGGGGGCCCAAAGTGGTGCCCCATTTGGAACTTGTTAGGTCTCAACTTGACATCACTTACACCATTTTAAACTCTGCTTGACCCTAGAGCTGTTTAGCTCCTGTGCAAACACCCCCTCCCTCCAAGGGAAACATCTTGTTTCCCAGCATCTGTGCCAGAACAAGACCTAGCTCCTGACTACCCCCAGCAGCTCCTATTCTTACCAGCAGTCAGTGACTGAAATGTGCTGTTTCCTAGCACCTGTACAGGAACACAAGGCCTGGTTCCTTGACTACCCCTAGCAACGGACAGTGGACAAGCCACAATGGAAAAATGCCCCCACCCTTTACCAGGCCCTTCCTTTCCTATAAACCTCTAGTCTGTAAGCAGCAATGGGCTCCACCTCTCTTGCTGGAGACCCCCTGCGCAGGTTTTTTCTCCTCAATGAACCTGTGCTGACAGTGAGCCATCTCTTTGTCTCTCTCTGCGCTTTTCAATCTAAGAGAACTGCCGTAACAGAAAAAGAACCCACTCTCAGAAGGGTCCTGAGGGGAGCCGGGAATTTGCAGGCACTCAGCAGAAAAGGAACACTGTCACGTGACTGACGGCTTTCCCTAGAAAGTCTTCCTCACCAACATGGTCACCAAAGTTAGGTTCCTTATATTCTGAATCCTTGATATTAGAGAAGTCCCTCCGCCACGTATCCGTCCTTCAGTCAGAATCCAAGGGTTCACCGTCCCCTCCCCCTTCCCTTCCTTAACTCGGGTAACTACTTTCTTTTCTTTTTTTTTGGCAGTGCTGGGGGAAGGGGGGGGCTGAACTCAGCAGGAGGTCTACCACTTGAGCCATGCCCCCAGCCCTCTTTTTATTTTGCTGACCTATGCCTCCTGAGTAGCTGGGATTTCAGGCACAAGCCTGCCCAGCCTTTAGGGACTCCCTTCCTGTCTTTATCGTCGGCTTCCACCTGGCCCCAGTTCCTCATCACCTCCCATCTGTCCAGCCTTCCACGCTAGTCCTGAGGGCTGACTACCTCACTCCCCTTCCACATGCTCCAGTGCTTCTCGCCTGGACAAGAGACTTGCAAATGCATTGGCCCAGCATTCCCTGTGCTGGCCCACAGAACCCTTGCAGGCCCCTCAATCTACTCTCTCTATATAGCTGGTCCTTTGGGCTTAAATGCCCTTCCAGGATGACTATTCTGTGTCCTTTAGTACCTGACTTGAGTGTCACCTCCCGTGAGAGGCTTCCCTGACAACCCACGATGTCTTATGCTCGAGGGCCCTGCTCTGTGTTCTCTGATAACAACTGAGCATTGAGTATGGTCTGCTGCCTTTGTGAGTGGGTCTAACCGCTGACAAGGTAGGGACCCTCCTTTTGCTCATCAGCCAGTGCCAGTCGGGCCTGCTACACAGGAAGTCACAGGAAATGCTCCCAGACGGAACAGTTCCCACCTACAGAGCGGCTCCTCTTAAAGGGCGGACACCTCGAGTGCACTCTCAATGACTCCCACAGCCCCTCTAAGGTGGACACACCTGTCCATTTCCATAGCTACAGAGGCATCAAAGCAGACCTGCCTGGGGCTGACCCACCCTCTCTGGAATCCGTCCAAAATCTGACTTCACTGCCATCTCACACTGGCAGTCTCCACCTCACCATTCCTCCATCCTGCAGCAGCATTACGCTCTTCCAAGCCTGCTCCTCTGCCGTCTCACAGCTCCCCAGCTTCTGAGCACCTCAGACACTGCTCTGCATTTCACAGCCTCAGTGTGAAACTTGCAAACAAACGCCTTCCAAAACCACCTCTAGCCCTGTCCTGTCACGGTGCTACTGCCCTTGGCTCCTAAGGAGCTCTGGCTGCTTCTCACTGCACCTGTCACTCCCTGTGCCTGGAGTGCATCAACAGTGTCCAGCGGGGGAGGAGCTGGGATAAAGGAGGAAATAGCTACAGTCTACTCCCTAGGGAAGGGTACCCTTACTGCACAGAAAACATGAGTGATAGCAATGCACATTTGTACACAGCTGGGCATGGTGGTATACATGTGTAATCCCAGCTACTCAGGAGGTAGAGGCAGGGCCTCCTTTTTCTCCCATTAGGGACATTTCTATCAGGGCTGATACCACAGGACCCCTCACCATGCTCATGACACACTTAGGCCTTGGTTTGGCTTCCTCCCACATGTGCCCAGGCCAGGAAGGAAAAATGGGCCTGCAGAAAGGCCGGTAAGAGGCAGGCTAGGTGCACACACTCAGGAGGCCCAAGGCAGGAAAGTGGAGAGGCCAAGTGAGGGAGTCGAAGGCCTCCCATTGCTGAGTCTGGGAGGAAAGAAGACAGGATGGGAGAGGCAGCAGGATGGCCTTAGAGGACAAGTGGGCACACCAGTGACGTCCATCAGTGTGCTTATCCCTCCTGGAGTGAAGACATAGATACCAAAGGGTGGCAAGAAGACATGTGGGCAGACAGGCTGAGGTCTCAGGCAGGACCTGGGGCAGAGGTTCTGAGGATAGAGGGTGTACCAAGGTCCCCTCCCCTCCACTCACCAGGGCCTGTCGCTTCTAAGTTTCCTTCAACCATGGCCTCCAGCTCTTCCCCGCCACCTGGACAGGAGCTCTGGCTGGGTCTGGGGGGGTCTGCAGAGAGAATGGCACTGTCAACCACAGTGTGGAAAGCCAGATGGCTCAGGGGGAGTCCTCTATCTTCCCGACATCACACCACACGCAGCTTCTATGGGCAAGATGCTGCACTGGGCAGCTCTGGAGGTGCCTCTGAGAACTGTAAGGTTCCCAAACAGTCATTATACAGGGTGATCAGAGGTGTGACAGCTGGGACTGGGAGCACAAAGAACTTTGTGACAGCTCTTGATGAACAAACAGTCTTGTCAGGTGGACAAACACCCAGCCATTCACAATTCACTCATTCACCATGGGTCACACAGCTGAGGCCTCCAAGGGACAAGACCTTTTTTTTTTTTTTTTTTGCAGTACTGGGATTTGAACTCAGGGCACACCTTCAGCCTCTCCACCAGCCCTTTTCTATGACAGGATTTTTGAGATAGGGGCTCATGAACTATTTGCCCAGGCTGGCAAATACTCACTGTGCTTCTTTCTTACTATGGTTGCAATTTAAAAACTGAAGGGACACTGACACGGACCTCCCCTGAGCTGTTTCGTAGCACAGCTATTTCGTAGCACAGCTGCTGCAGCGGGAAAAACTGCCCAATGCAATGACATTCCCTCGGACAAGAGCTCCTGCTGCACATAATGTGATTTTTAGTTTAGTTTTTATATGTTATTTATCTTTTGGAATAAACTCCTCTGTTTCTTGCAAAAGGAATAACTAAGGAACTAGAGCAGGAGAAATGAGCTGACAGAGGGAGACGGTCATGGGGAGCTGGTGCCTGCTGCTTCCTCACGGTAAGGGGTTGCAGAGAAGAGCGTGGCTTGGCAGGCATGCCACCCTGCTGGTACAGTGAGTTTCAAGAGGGCTCTTTGTACCTCAAACTGCTAAGAGGGTCTCACTGGGCCTAAATGGTTTGTGCAAACAATATAGTTTACACTGAACACTGCTTTCCTTCTGAAAGTCTAAGATTTTGGTGTGGCAGGCAGATGAGGCCACATGACCAACACCCAGATAGAACCCGAGGCCCTGGATCTCTGAAGCTTTCCTGTGGACAATGTCTCACACATGTTGCACCTTATTGGGGGAATTAAATGTATCCCATGGAACTCCACTGAAAGAGCTTTCTAGAAGCCTGAGCCTGGCTTCCCTGGACTCTGCCCCATGTGCCCTATCCTTCTGATGACCATGACTAGTTCTGGTCTCTTCATTGCAGTAAATCACAGCTGTGAATATGACCACAGCCTGAGTGCTCTGAGTGCTCCTAGTGAATCACTGAACCCAGGGGTGCGCCTGGGGGCCTCGACACAGCTGGGAAGATGACTTCCCACTCTGAATTTCAGTTTCAGAATGATCAGCAATGGGTATAACCCATCCTCCTTGTGGCTGACTAGAAGAGCGCCAAGGACTCACCCAGCAGCACAGGACCAGGTTGTGACATAGCAGCTTCTGCTGCTCACAGGTAAATTCTAACCCAGGGGTTCCTCTGCCCCTCTGGGGAACATTCACAGCGTCTAGAGATTCTGGACAGTTCTGCTTGGGAGAAGTGGTGCTGCAAGTGTCTACTGGCTGCCACATCTGCCACAACACACACAGGACAACAACCTACAGCACAGCCGAGGCTCATCCAAGCCCACAGCACTTGTGCTAAGGCTGAGAAACCCTGGCCTTGTCCCCACCACTTTCCTACTTGTACTTATGGAGTCATTCTCCAGTAGACACCGTGGGGTTTGGGATTTGCTGTCCCTCTGTTCATACAGTGTCAGGGCCTCATTACACTGAACTGCAACGCTGCTAGAACACCCTGCCTCCCTTGCCTGCCCCATCTGCCATAACGCCATCAGATTCTAACTACAGTAAACCCACTTTGTAAGAGGATTTATCACACATGGTTTTGACCAAATGCAAGTGGTGCGCCAAAAGGCAAGGTAAAAGCTTATGTGGTAAATTTAAGTAACAAAATGAAACTCTGGGGTGTGCTGAAAGGCAGCATGTCTTTATTGGAAGTCAGGTGGCATGGCGGGCAGAATGAACGAGCATGCCCAGTACCTCGCTGAACGCTGTACACCCTGAGCATGCGTGGTTTCTCCTTCATGGCGGTCTCAGAACCATCTACCCACCAACACCAAGGGGCTGCCGGACTTACTTTATCATGGAATGTGAGAGTCATGGGGGCAGGGGTGCAACATGCTTTGCTCACTGGGGTGTCCCAACTACTTACTGAAGGGCCTCAATGAGTGGTGCAGGCCAGGTGCTGCAGGCAGAAACCACAGGCTGATGAAGAAGGGGACAACCAAAGCATTTCTGCACGTCTTGTAGTATTGTGCAAACACGAGGCTGGAAGAGTATGACTCTTGGCACACCAAGTTTCTCAGCACACTGAGCACACATGAAAGCAGAATGTTCTGTTTTGTCTACTTTCTCAGAAGCCTTAAGGGAGGGGCTTTAATAAGTAACATATAAATAGAGCTGTGTTTTTCCAAAATCATTTCTTGCTTTGCTCATACAGATACACATCCGTCATTGATTTTATCTTTATTACGCTGTGTGCTTTTCATGGTGAATAAATATGAGGAGAAACAGGCACTCGGGGCTGCGGTTCCAGAAACCCAGTCCTCTGGCTCCTATCCTATTCTCATTTCTGGTGGCCTGTTCTTTCTTGGCTCTGATCAGCAGCATTTGGCATAGTTGGCAGGATAAAAGAGGCAGAAAGACAGCTTCATCAGAAACCGAAAGGGATGCCTGCTTTGCAAATGTGAAGCCCTGAGTTCAAACCCCAGTCCCACCAACACAAAAAACAAAACAAGAAACCGAAAGGGAAAACGGCCGCTCGGAGGTAAGCGAAACTTTTGGAATTCTCAGAGTCAGAGTTATGGGCAATTCCCCTTCAATTCAGTCTCAATATATGACATTGCTTAAGGGACTGTTGAAGGGCTCAGGGGTAAAGGTTAAAGACAAATCTTTTCAGGAATTATTGCATCATTTTCATCGGCATTGCTATTGGTTTCATCCTGAGGGAAGAACTATATTGAATTATGAAGTGTGGAAAAAGGTGATGAGAGCTCTACGAAGGGCACAACAAAGAGGGGACATAATACCTGTTCATGTCTGGTCATTATGGTCTTTAATTTCTTCTGTATTAAAACCTATGAGCACAGATTCTGAAGAATCTAGACAAGTGGTCACTGATACAGAGAGTGACATGGGACATATTTCCCAACCTTGTGCTTCTGCTGATGAGTTTATTTCTCAACCTTTGCCTCCCCTGCCATCTCAGAAAAATGATGAAAAGTTATTTAAGCAGCTAAAGAACCCTAGGCAAAATAAGGAGTCTTCTCCTGGCCAATCAGCAGCATCTTCTGACCATGATTCCTCTCAGCATGAGTCAGGTTCAGGGTCCTCTTCAGATGAATCACTCATAATGGTTCAGAAGAGTCAATATCGTGCATTAATGGCTGAAGTAGAAAAATCAGCCCACAATATGGATAAATGTGATTTGTCCACTGGACTACCACCAACTTCAGGCTCTTCCACTACAGCGGTACTCTTTCGTACTGCTGGGCCCCACGTGGCTACGCCTCTCCTGCAAACTCTCTCCGTCTTCCTCTCTTACGTAAGTTCTTATTCCTGACCTGGCTCTCAATCTGCTTTCCCTTCACAGTCCAGAAATCCTCCTCCTGTGACCCATGCATGCGCATTGAGCAGGCAGGACATATTGTTACTAAGATTTTACTGTTCCACACTTATTATTTCTGTGCAGGCTCTGTTATCGGGTCATAACTCACAATCACACCATCTATCAAGTGTGATAATCAATTTACCTGCTTCAACCCACTTATTGCACTGTGGAGCAATGGTTAGAACTCAGGAGTGGCCACCTCGATGGGAACATTGTTATTCACACCCAGGTGTTCGCTCCTGAAAAACACAGCTCTATTTATGTTACTTATTAAAGCCCTTCTCTTAAGGCTTCCGAGAAAGTAGACAAAACAGAACATTCTGCTTTCATGTGTGCTCAGTGTGCTGAGAAACTTCTTGGTGTGCCAAGAGTCATATTCTTCCAGCCTCTCATGTTTGCACAATACTAGAAGACGTACAGAAATGTCTTTGATTGTCCCCTTCTTCATCAGCCTATGGTTTCAGCCTGCAGCATTTCCCCTTTTTCTTTTACTCTACAAATTTTGTAGCATAATGACATTGACCGCATGTTGGTGAGCTGTGATTATTCTTTGTGTTGTTGTTTTTCTCCAGACTATACATAAACAAATAAACAATATTATTAATATCACAATAATCAACAAGGTTCCTGGTGTCAGAAGTGGGACCCCAGAGTCAGGACAACACTCACCCAGCAAGAAGAGGTTCTGGTAGTTGTCCAGTGCTGTGTCCCAGAACAGGTCCTCCTGGCCCAGCCTCAGCTGCTCCCAATCCTCCAAAGTGAAATCCATGGCCACATCATTGAGGGTCTCAAATTCCTGAAATGCAATCACACTGAGGTTCCTCAGGGGCTGGGGTCAGGAGAAAACCAACAGCTCCCTCCAAGCATGTCGGCCCTTGGTGCACCGTGCCTTCAGCAAAAACCATCCTATGCTTAGTCTCCCTCCCACCCTTCTTTCTTTCTTTAGTGTTCAATATTTTAATGTGCAGATGATGGAAGATTTCAAGCAGGGTCACAAGTAGACAGATGCATGTAATCACCTCCCACGGACCAGCAACCAGGGTCACTCCTAACCTCACCAAATACCCACTCCATATCCAAACCCCAGTGTGCTACTTTGTCTGTTTTTTTGTTGTTGTTGTTGTTTTTGTTTTTTTTAGTACTGGGGTTTGAACTCAAGACCTCATGCTTGCTAGGCAGGTGCTCTACCATCTAAGCTACTCCACCAGGTCAGTTAGTTTGTCTGAACCATACCCCAAAGAGGCCGATGCCGTCCATTTGGCTGATGGAAGAAGACCTGTCAAAGTTTTAACCCCTAGTATCTCAGAAAAAACCTTATTTGAAAGTAGGGTGAATGAGTTAAGATGAAGTCAGTAGGAAAGGTCCTAATTCAATATGACCAGAGGCCTTAAGAAAAGGGAGAAATAGGAAGCCAGCCATGGTGGCATACACCTGTAATCCCAGCAGGAGGCTGAGGCAGGAGATCTTGAGTTTGAGGCTAGTCTGTGCTACACAGACAGATGCTGACTCAAAATATTTATAAATTAAAAAACAATAGAAAGCCAGGTTCCAGTTCATACCTGTAATCCTAGCTACTCAGGAGGTAGAGATCAGGAGGACTGCAGTTCAAAGCCAGCCCAGGCAAGTAGTTCCCTATCTCAAAAAAATCCTTTGCAAAAAAGGGCTGGTGGAGTGGCTCAAGGTGTAGGTCCTAAGTTCAAACCTCAGTACTGCAAAAAATAAAAAAATAAAAGTGGGTAGGGACTAGGAGACAGACACGCATGGAGGGAGACTCTGTGAAGACACAGGGAGCGTGCTGGGTGAAGCAGAGGCAGTGACTTGGTGATGCTTCTACAACCAAGGACCACAAAGGCAGCCAGCAAACCACTGGAGCTGCTGATGGCTCACACCTGTCATCCCAGCTACTGGGGAGGTGGAAACAGAAAGATGGTTGCAGTTTGAGGTTGGCCTGGGTAAAAGCACATCCCCTATCTGAAAAACCAAAACCAAACAACTAAAGCAAAAGGAGTGGGGGCATGTCTAAAGCAGCAGGGTGCTGGCCCAGCATGCCCCAGGCCCTGAGTTCAATCCCAGTACTGAAAAGAAATGAAGCTGAGAGGGCTGGCAGTACAGCTCAAGCAGTAGAGCACTTGGTTGGCAAGCATGAAACCCTGAGTTCAAACTCCCCTCCCCCACCAAAAAAAAAAAAAAAGAAAAGAAACAAAGGCACTGGTGGAGTGGCTCAAGTGGTAGAGTGCCTGCCTAGCAAGTATGAGGGCCTGAGTTCAAACTACAGTGCGCTGCCAAAAAAGCCCACTCTCAAAAGGAACCAACGGTGCCCACACTTTGATCTGGACTTCCAACCTCCACAAGTATAGTAACTTTCTGTTATTTAAGCCATACAACCCGTGGTACTGGCACATTAATGCTGTCAGCCATCCCAGTAACACAAGCTTTGGGAGGGCAGGGACCACATCAGCTGCCATCAGTTCCTCAGTGTACAGAAGCTTCCAGACCAAGGCCGGCACACAGGAAGCACATAATACCTACTGAGTAAGCAAGGAAGCAGCAGTCCTGGCAGCAGTTTTGGGACCTTGAAGGAGGAGTTCATCAGGGATGGATCCAGCACCAAGTGAGGCAGAGGAACGGGGACGATAAAGTGAGTCCAATCTCACTGGTGGATGGAGCCAGTATCATCTCTGGACTTGAGGTTACGTGACCCACACAGAGTTTCCCGACAAGTCAGTTGGAGTTTCTTTTCTTTTCTTTTTTTTTGGCAGTAGTAGGGATTGAACCCAGGACCTAGTGCTTACTAGGCAGATGTCCTACCACTTGAGCCATGGACTCAGCCCTTTGTTTGTTATTTGTTTGTTTTGAGACAGGGTCATACTAACTTTGCTCATGCTGGCCTCAAACTGGATATCCTCCTGCTCTGCTTCCAAGTACGTGGGACTACATGTGTGTACCACCACACTAGCTAGAAGCTGGAGTTTCTGTTACATACAGTTGAAATGGTTGCTGTCTATACCCTTTTGAGAGAGATGAACTGAAATGCTTCTGAGCAGGGGCCAAATCAGAGAGCCCTGAGGCCTTCCTTCCCCCTGCTCCCAGCCATGATGGACAGTTCCCTGGGACTGCAGTGGAGTGGCCAGAAAACAGGAGGAACTTGATCTATGGGGTGCTGGGGAGTCACAGAAAAGTTTCATTCAGGAGAGTGATAAGGTCACAACACATTCAATACACATTTCTCCTGGGTGCCAGACCCCACTGTGGGTGCTGGGAACATGGACAGGTCAGACCTGGTCCTTGGCCTTGAACTCACTGTCTGATGAACAGGCATTAGGAATGCCGATAGCAAGCCGGAGGAGGTACAGTTGTGACAGAGACAGGCATCTGGGTGGTTCGTGTGAGCCTGGGGCAGGAAGATCCAGGCAAGCTTCCTGGAGGGGAGGACATTAAAACTGGACCATGGGAGCAGACATTTACCAGATAGAAAAAGGCTGTCATTCATTCATTCAACAAACACCTTAAGAGAGTTGATGTGATGGGCCTGTGGTAGGCCCTGGCAACCCACAGAAGAATCCCAACCATTTCCTGTCCCAAAGGAGCATGTAATCTTGCAGAACTGACAACAGGGACAGGGATGACCACATCTAGGTGATCCACTAGGATCATTGAGGCTAGGTGTTCTGCCAGAGCAAGGGACAAGCAGACTCTGCTGGGGAAGGTGGGGACCAAGTGGAGTCTCCATAGGGAAGGGCAACAGGGTTCTCCAGCAGAGGGCAGAACGTGGGCCAAAGCAGGGAGCCTGGCAAGAAGAGTATGACACCTGGCTGCCTAGCCAAGAACTGCTTGTCTTGCAGAAGGTGCTAGGGAGGTAGGCAGAGCCCAAACGATGCTGGAACGGGCCAAGAAACCCACTTTATCCTGTAAGCCACAGGAGTTCCTGGGAGGGCACTGAGCAGGACAGTGACAGCATGAGAGCATTACCTTAAGAGGGTCACTTGGGAGCCACCTGAGCACAACACCGAGAACAGCTGGTTTTCCTTTAGGGTGGATCAGTTACGACAAGGGACCCTGGACTCACCTCGGCCATGGCTGCGTGTGCTCAGAGATCTCCCTTAGGCTCCTCCTCCTTCTATTCCACGTTCCTGGATGGCGGAGCTGCAGGAATGGAGCTGTGAGCACGTCTCCCTTCCTTCTATGCCTGACTCCCTGTCCATGCTGGTTGAGCCCCCCAAACGTCCAGAAGCAGGAGGACGAGTCCCAACATGAGTCCCCCTGAAGCAATCACAATGACAACTGGATTTACTAAAGCCACGCCAGCCACTGTCAGCACCTGCAAAGCAACTTCACATACACTCTTAGCAGTTACTGAATGTGTCTGGGAGATCTGGCAATGAATGTCGACCGCCTCATTGGGACCTGCAAGCCTACTCACTCCTGTGTATACAGTAGCAGTGATATACAGTAGGTGCTTTCAAAATACTCATTGACAGAAACAATGTATCCCTGTAACTGGACCAAGGGGACCATACTTCTGGGATTTCTGATTATCTTCTCTAGGATTTGAGCCAGGTGAACCAACCTTCAAAACTGTTATTTATTTATTTTTTTTGCAGTACTGGGGTTTGAACACAGGGCCTCACGCTTGCTAGGCACACACTCTACCACTTACACCACTCTGCCAGCCCCCAAGTGTTGTTATTTCTACAATAGAAATATTTCTGCAACTCAAAAAAAAAAAAAAAATCATGGCCCACAGTAACAAAGACAATATATAGTCAGGACACTGTATCTGTGGGTTCCACCTTTGTGGATCTTATCACCATATGATAAAAAATATAGAGAAAACAAAGATCACCCACCTGCAACTGTACTGAGCATGTACAGACATTTTTATTGTCATTATTCCTTAATATAGTATAGCAATCATAGAATTTCCTTTGCATTGGGCACTGTAAGTACTAAAAGTCATGTAGAGATGGTTTGAAGTATGCGGAAGGCCTGGGGGTGTAGCTCAGTGATGGAATGCAGCCAACATGTGCAAGGTCCTGGGTTCAGTCCCAAGCATTGCAAAAAATTAAAATAAAGTATACAGAAGTGCATCGGTTACATGTAAATACTAGGCCATTTTACATAACTCAAGCATCCTTGGATTTTGGTATCCTTGGGGTCCTCAAACCAACCCCCCACTGATACTGAAGGACCACTGTATATTGTGACTACTGATATGTGCATAACAAAACCAAAGCACCATGAAACAACACTTTTTGTTGTTGTTGGGACTGGGGTTTGAACTCAGGGCTTTGCACTCACAAAGCAGGTGCTCTACTGCTTGAGTTACACCTCCAGTCCATTTTGCTCTGGTTATTTTGGAGATGGGGTCTTGAGAATATTTTTCCAGGCTGGCCTCGAACCTCAATCCTCCAGATCTCAGCCTCCCAAGTAGCTAGGATGACAGGTGTGTGTCACTGGTGCCTGGCTAATACTTACTATGCTACCATGGAAAGCATCAGGCTGTTTTTTAATCTCTTCTACTTCATTTCAAAAATTCAATCACTGCCCACTGAGCTATTTTCATGATCCATAATATGGATCACACTGGGTAAGAGAATGTGCTAGAACTATAATGAACTCTAACATCTACTGAAGCACCATTCCTCACACAAAAGAGTAAGATGGGGAAATGTAATTTGCTTCACAAACTTTTTATTTGGCTCTCACAACACTGGCAGATAGCATATCTTAAAAGTAAAGTCTTTTAGTCCCACAGTTGAAAAAGGGGTACATTTCTGGCTGGCAGAGGGGTTCAAGTGGTAGAGCACCTGTCTAGCAAATGTGAGGCCCTGAGTTCAAACCCTAGTACCACACACACACACACAAAAGAATAAAATGGGTAAATTACATTTAAAAATGTTATCTCCCTTTTGTGAAACACTCTTAAGATTTGGTAACATTGTGTGCATTCCCACTGATGAGGTCACTGGAGCCCTTTTATTTTTATTTATGTTTCAGGACTGGGGTTTGAACTCAGGGCTTCATGCTTGCCTGCATGTACTCTACCACTTGAGCCACTCCACCAGTCCTTTTTTGTGTTGCATATTTTTGAGAAAGGGTCTCCTGGAACTATTTGCCCAGGACTGACTTCAAACCACCTGATGTCTGCCTCCTGAGTAGCTGGGATTACAGGTGTGAGCCACCAGTTCCCAGCTCACTGAGCCCTTTTGAAGTTCCCTCCCCTGCCTAGGTGGGCAAGTGCTCCTCAGTGCCCCCATTGCCCTAGCAGAATTCATGTTTGAGAGGCCTGCTGATCTTACCCTCTCAGTCCAGGTAGGGAAAAACTAGGGGGTGGGGCCTTCAGAGGTGAAGCCCCAGGTCATCAGCCTATCAGAATGACTTGAGTCAAACAATTAGGGAGCTGAAAGCTGGGACTCTTGCTTCTTCTTAGTGCGGGACCGTGGCCTCAGTTTCCATACGTCAAGGAGCAGGGCAAATGCAACGGATCTGCAATTCCTTCTTCAACTCCCAAAGCCAAGAAGCTCAGAAACCAGTACTTTATTCATACGTTGACAGCACCATCTTTACTCTCGTCAGTGTTAACAATGTATACACACCTTTCCTTGCAGAAATAGCTGATGACCAAGCAGTGCCCCAGATTCCACTGGGGTGTTGCCTAATTATAAAATACGCACCCTATTATCTTTCTAAAATTTGAAAAGTTCTGCTTTCTAAGATGATCCTGGGGCCAAGGGCTTCCAGGCAATCCAGGTTGGGATTTGCTACTGATTTTTTAAAAAAGGTCTGGTTTTCTGGGCCCCTTGGCTTCTGTTCGCCCTGCTCCTTTGGGGGAAACTGAGGCAGAGAGTGAGTGAAGGATCTGGCCATGATCCCGCACTGACACGGAGGATCAGGACTTCTGTCTTTGCTGCTGCAGAGAATAAAGGAAAAGACACGAGCCTTCTGGAGCAAAGAAAGCGTTCAAATACATGTTAAATATTTCCACCTCCTCAAAAATAAAAATCCTGTTATAACCTGAGATCCTGCTCGGATCTGCCTGCTTCAGGCAACTCACCCCTCTCCTCCAGCCTATTTCCTCACCCAAAACTAAAATAAAACAGAATCACCCTTCTCAGGGCTGCCCTTGAGGACTGCAAGCCACTTTAATAAGAGCCTGGTCTACAACAGGCCCGGAGCAAGGACTCAATCTCACACTAAACCGCCCGCCGCCCAAGGGGACGCGCCCTTGGCATTCCGTCACCCCTCAAGCAGGCGCGAGCCCGCAAGCCGCCCCGACTCTCAGCGACCTCAGCCACAGCGTCTTCATACCTCGGAAATGCAGACCGCCGGATTAAAACGCACTTCCCCAAGCTTCGCCAAAACTGAAGCCCAACTCCTCTCACGCGCGCCTCCTCATAGCAACTTCCGGACCCGAGCGACACAGTATGAGCTACTCTACCCAAGAGCCTTCACGCCAAGCAGCAGGACTCCATTTCCCAGAGGGCTGTGCGACAGCCTTCATGTGCCTTCCAATCGCCACCGGCTTCCTCATTCTTAAGAGGGCCCGGTGAGCACTCTGGGAAATAAAGTAGAAACGGAATCGCAACTACATAGTATCAGGATTTGATAATCGTTTTTACTCAGTTAAAGGGCCACCGTCTCCTGCCTTCCCGAAACTTTACATTTCTAAAGGAGACAACCAGAGAGTTTCCATGGAAACCCCTCGAGAAAGAGTTTGAAGATGCCTGAAAAAACCGGAAAGGGCGGAGCCGAAAAATGACAGACGTTCTGATGTCCTGTAGTTCATCTGGGTTGACTTGACATTGGTTTATATGCAGTGAAATCAAAAGCTCCAAAGAGGGTGGAATGAGGATGAGCGAAGAAAGACTAATCAACCCTACCTTCGCCCTCCCGCGTCAAAGGTCAGGAGTGCCGCGAGGGCGTCTGGGAAATAGAGTTCCCAAGTGGAACAGCCCGGGGGCGGGGGAAGCTAACAGCGCTTGCGCGACATTTTCGGTCCTCCTGGAGCAGGATGCGCGCGCAGCGCCTCCCGCCCTAGCGGAAGTTTCCGCGGGGCAACTGAGAAGGTGAGTGCTGGGCCCTGCGCCCTGATTCTAGTCTTTGGCTGCAAAAACTCAGGACCCCACCCCTTTCCTCAAGTACAGAGATCAGGGGAAGATAACGGAGCAGCGGGAAATTGCCGGCCCTCTTCTTCAACCACAGTTCGTCTGTGGTGTCTATGACGTCATCGCGACCCTTTGTGGGCGGTGGAGCCCCCACGAACCGGGACGTGCCCAAAGAGGCTTCTGGTCGCAGGGACTACCTGCCATCCTAGCTTGTTCCAAGCCTTCTTTGGGAGCTTTTGGTTGTGGGCGTGGCTTATGAGGGGGTGTTGACAGAGGTCCCTCCTGGCAGCTACGTCATCCTGATTTTTCTGTGGAGGGTGGGGCTGAAGGCATGTCACTGTCATCTAGGCCACTTGCGTTTAGAGCGGAGTCTGATCTGTAGTCCTTTTTGCAGCGCTCTACCTCGGAACCTAGGAGGAGCACGAAAGCCCTAAACTGGGCGGGGCGGGATGCGCCTGTAATCCCAGCTACTCGGGAGGCTGAGATCGGTAGAATCGCGGTTCGAGCACAGCCTGTGCGAAAACTCGAGCCCCTAACTGGGGAAAAAAAAAAAAAAACTAAATAAAAAAGGGCTGGAAGCAACACTCAAGACTCAAGTGGTGGCAACCTAGAGGCCCAGAGTTCAAGCCCCCATACTGCAAAAAATAAGACAAAATTCTCCTCAACTAGTATACATTTTAATGGTGATTGGAGGTACCAAAATGAAGGAGTAAATTATATAAGATTGACAGGCCCACAATACCTTATCTGCAACTCTAAAATGCAATAAGTTGTGAAAAAGTTCAAGTGGTAGAGCCTGCCTAGCAAGCCTGAGACCCTGAGTTCAAGCGCCAATACTGCCAAAAAAAAAGGTCTTTCTGCTTCATCTAAACTTACAGCCTCACTCCACTGCCCTCCCCCCCATACAAAAAGTTGTAGAAAAAGTCTTTTCTAGCTTGCAACTTTGTTGGTGATCCAATGTGACCTGGCTTTGAGTTCACTTGCTGGCAACATCCAATGTGAGCTTCCATGTGGCTGTTTTTCATCTTTAGAGATCTTGTTGGGGGGATGCCAGAGGCTCACGCCTGTAATCCTACCTACTCAGGAGGCAGGGATCAGGAGGGTCATGGTTCGAAGCCAGCCAGGGCAAAATAGATCTCAAGACCCTATCTTAGAAAAACCGAACACAAAAATGGGCTGGTAGAGTGACTCAAGTGGTAGAGTGCCTACCTAGGAAGTGTGAGACCCCTGAGTTCAACAAACTCTGATGCTGCCAAAAAAAAAATTTTTCCTGCACAATTTATATGCCAAATTGAATTATGGGAGCTGTCCCTTAATCCTGCTGGTCATTCATAGATAGATTTTACAAGCTGTGATTTTAGAACCTACATGTCAGTCCTCTCCACCTGGGCGCTCCTTGTGGCCAATCTGCCTAGGTGGCCTCTTAGCATGGACTGGGTCCCACCATGAGCATCCTGAGCAGGCTAGCCAGGTGCAAGTTATACCCTTTCTATGACCTAGCCTTGGAAGACAGCAGAGCATCACTTTTATCCATCCCTATTGGTCAGAGCAGTCACAAACCTCACTCAGACCCAGATGGGTGGCACCAGAGCTCCTTCCTCTTGGTAGAAGAGGTCCCAAAGAGCACACAGGACCAGAAATATTGCTGTGACTCTCTGGAAAATACAGATGCCAGCCAGGCACCAGTGGCTCACACCTGTAATCCTAGCTACTCAGGAGGCAGAGATCAGGAGGATTGCAATATCCACCACCATGCCCAGCTTTCACCAGCTCCTTAGCACCCCTTTTCTCCTAGGGTACTTTATTGTCCCCATATCGCTACTCAACAGTCACTTGCTCCTTTATTTATTAGCTTGCCCTCCACCACCAGAATGTGAGCTTCCTAGGATTAAAGGGCCGGCTTTGTTTCCTTTCCAATGACTGCAGAAACTAGGAGCTCAGGAGGTCATTAGTGGATGGATGGATGGATGGATGGATGGACAGATCTAGCACATGCTGGTTACTTGGCCATTACTGGGTAAACATTAACTGTGACCTTTCAGTTATTTGGGAAGTGAGCCCAAATCACCACGTCTACCTTTGTTCACTTGCAGACAGTTGTCAAGATGGAGTTTCCAGGCCTGTGAATCCAACGACCAGACCAGATCAGACTGAGTCTGTGAAGGTACATCCCCTGGCTTGTGCCCCTTAAGGCCTATTCCCCACTAATAGCCCACTCCTGCTGCCTTCTCTCTTGTTGCTGGCGAATTCACTCCCACAGGAGAATGGGTATGGCAGGGCTCACCTGGTAAGGTGCTTGCTCCAGCCTCATGGCCATGTTTCCAAGGACAGTGGCTCTTGGGGGAAAATATACTTAATGTGGAACCACTTAAAATCACCACAGATTTCCAGCCAGCCTTTTGTTTGCATACCAAGTCAAGTGGAAGCCAGGCATGGTGGCACAAGCCTATAATTCCAGTACTTGGGAGGGAGAGGCAGAAGGATTTCAAGTTTGGGGGCAGTGTGGGTTGCAGAAATACCTATCTCAAAAAACCAATAAAGGGCTGAGAACATGGCTCAAGTGGTAGAGCACCTGCCTTGGAAGTGCAAGGCCCTGAGTTCAAACCCCAGTACCATCAAAAAGAAGTAAAAGATGATTGTTTTTACAAGATAAGACAAATATGAGAAAAAAAAGATGTTTAAAAAACTTATGAATCAAAAAAAGAAGTCAAGTGATGTCTTGGTTTATTATTGGCTAGGCTGTGCTGTAGTAACAATCCACCCCCAAATCTCAGTGGCTTAACACAAACACAGGTTCTCTCTCACTGATACAAAGTCTGGGCAGCTCTCCAGATGTTGTGACTATAGTGTCAATACTTGGGCTTCATGCGTGTCAATCCCTGAAGGGAGAAGGGGGACGAGGCAGTGAGTTCTCTGCCTGAGCAAAAATGCTCCTCAGTACTTATACCTTTGAGGAAACAGAGAGTCTGTTTGAATCTTATCACTAGGACAGCCAGTCACTCAGATAGCCATGTAGAATTACAAACCTAGCTGGTGGCTCACACCTGTAATTGCAGCTATTTGGGAGGCTGAGCTAGAGAGGATGTAGGATCAAGGCCAGCCCGCAAAAACAGCTTGTGAGACCTCATCTCCAAAATAACCAGAGCAAAATGAACTGAGATGTGGCTCAAGCAGAAGAGCACCTGCTTTGCAAGTGCAAAGCAAACTCCAGTCCCACCAAAAACAAACAAAACCTCTTAGAAGATAAATGGCACTGAGCAATAGTCTTTGCAGCCCAGGTGTCTTCCATGACTCTGTTGTTTGAAGTAACAGGAGGGAAGTTTTATGCCAGAGAATGGTTTCTGCTCTTCTGTAACCTGGGAGAAAGAGGAACACTTTTCTCCCTCTCTGGATGAGGCTTCTTTCACTAGCTGTTTGGATGGCCTGTAGTTTTCAAGGGCAAGTTGTGGATTCTGTAAGTCAGCACCGAGGGGAAACAGAGACCATGAAGCTCCAAACTTACAATATGGAAAGAGAAAAGGGAAGAAAAACAGTACAAATGGAGCCCATTTGGATACTGAGCATAATATCAGAGTAATGCCAAAACATGAACAGCTTCCAGTGGGAGCTGGAGGTGTAGCTCAGTGGTAGAGTGTTTGCCCAGCATGCATGAGGCCCTGGCTTCCATCTCCAGCTCCATAAAAAAGAAAGAAAGGGGGCTAGTGGAATGACTCAAGTGGTAGAGCACCTGCTTAGCAAGTGTGAGGCCCTGAGTTCAAATCCCAGTACTGCCAAAAAAAAAAAAACTTATTTAGCTCACAGTTTGGAAGGTTTCAGTCCATGATTGAATGGTTCCAGTGCTTTGGGCTACTGTGAAGATGGCAGATGACAGGACAGTGATGAAGTGTGCATGGCAGAGCAAAACTGCTTACACTATGAGCCAGAAAGCAAAGAGGAAAAGGAAGAAGAGGGCATGGCCCCCATGACCTGAAGACCTCCCACTAGGCCCCGCCTCTGGAAAGTTCCACCTCTCCCAATAGCACCACCTTGTCAACCATGGAATAAGGTGAAATGGAGTTACCGGCACATTACTGTGACTTCTATTGTGATAGTCCACCTTTTAACACTTACCATACCGTAAGTGTTAGAATGTAAGACAAACAGACTCAATCTCTCTTTTCTCTGTCCTCTCTCCCTCTCCCTCTAATGAAAACATGTTCATTTCAAGTGCCTCTGCACCATCGCGCTGATTTTCTCTTCCTCACTTACCAACTAGCCTAAACCTACCATACCATCATTTGTCGTAGGTGCTGTGTCAACTTAGTTTTTTATTTTCAAAAGGTTATCAGGAAATATTTCAGTGACACACAGATCATAACAAATAATGTAATGAACACCCATTGTCCCACTGAATTAGTCAGGATAGGAATAGGACAGGTTGTGCTTGGCAACAAATTGATGCTGAAAGCTTGGTGGCTTCATACAACCTAAGCATCTTTGTCAATTGTGAGATAACCAGTGTGAAGCATACAGCCCTCCTTCATCGTATTGCCCCTTCCCTGGGATACACAAGGCCGTGTACCTATCTACCTGTGGATGAAGGGCAGGTGGGAGATGCCCTGGCTAGGAGGTGACTTCCGTCATCCCCACTGGCCAGGCTAATCGCGCGGCTTCCACCTAGCTGCAAGGGGCTGCGAAATGTAGAGGAGCGCGTGGATGTTTGTGGGCACTAGCTCTTCCACCTCGATCACATGCTCTAAGAAGTGAGCGTCACAAGCACAGTCACAGACCCTAGGCACGTCCCCTCCGTGCTTGTTACTACTGTTACTGTCATTTGAGGCAGGGTCTTGCTATCTAGCCCAGGCAGGCCTAGAATGCTCAATCCTCCTGCCTCTGCCTCCCAAGTGTTGGGATTACAGGCATGCTTATTCTGATAGGAGCAGTTCTCTGACACGACTCCTGTGGACTTCGAGGGGCCCGCAGGTTCTGGAGGATCTGTCACTTTACATTGTATATGTTCTGCTTTGTACCTGGATCATGAAGAGGAACAGGTGGCTAGAATCTCAGTATAATGGGTGGGAACCATTTCAGAATCGGTCACTTCAAGGAGTGTACGGTAGACCCTTGGCACCCACAGGTAGATGGCCTCAAGGAGACCAGCGCTGAAGAAAAACCACACGCTCAGGACGTGGAGAGCTCAGTGCTGTTCTGCAGGTGCTTGATACGTTTTCCCCACAGTGCCACACAACTTCCGATAAAGACAGCGCCTTTCAGCAAGCCTCAGATTTCACTTTATCACTCACTTTTCTCTTACTTTTGGTCACCATTTACTTTTAGGGAAGCAGATTTTCACAAAATGAAGAGCAGAGAAACACTCAGCAGATCACACAATGATTTAAACACAACTGACCTTAGCAGTCTTTTCCAACCCACAGACCTGGGCCAGAATTGAAAACTTTTTGTTCTTGAAATTTCTTTTCATTTAAAAAAATATTTTTTGATTATGCTTGTTCCAAATCGTGTAATAAATCCGTGCATAAAGCGGTCTTACTGTATTCAGGTTGTGATAAATTCTTCCCTCTCTGGAGCTCGTCACTGAGGGGAACTCTGGTGGCAGCTCACTGGGAACGGGTTCAGATGATCCTGCTCTTTCTTTTCTGTTTGCAGCATGATCTCCTTCTGTCCAGAATGTGGCAAAAGTATCGAGGCAGCGTTCAAGTTCTGCCCCTACTGTGGAAAACCTTTGCCCACAGAGGAGCACATAGAGTGCCCAAACTTTGTCAAACCACTTGTGTCATCCTTCCGAGGTAAGAACCAGGGCTTTAGCTGGACATGGTGGTACATGCCTGTGATCCCAGCACTCACAAGGTAGAGGCAGGAGCCTTGTGAGTTTCAGGCCTGCCTGGGCTATATAGCCAGACCTTGTCTCAAAAACAAAAAAGGAAAGAAGGAAGAATGAATGGAGGGAGGAGGTAAAGGAGGGAGGGAGGGAGAGAGGAAGGAAGGAAGGAAGGAAAGAAGTGTTATATACCAGTGTCGAGGGTCCTTGCCTTCACAGGCCAGGGAACTGGCTCATGAGGCAGCTAAATGATGATCTAAAGTCAGTGTATAAAAAGTGGGATTTATTAGAGAAAGGAAAGGCTAGAGAAGAGTAGCAGAGCCCAGAAACCGGTAGCTCGCTGCTCAGGTAAAGGCTGGGGTTTTTGTGAACGTTTTAACTCTGGGTTGGGGGGTTTTCTCATTGGCCATGGATTCATGGGTTTTCTCAGGTGAACTGGTCTGGTTTGCACCTTCACTGGGGGTGGGGAGGCAATCTTGGAAGCATTTTGCTCATCAGCCCTGTGGCAGATCTATCAGACCAACCCTGTATCTTTCTTTACAATGCAGAAATGCAGTTTACAACTCCCTCTCAGGGTGCAGGAATGATATTGCTCTCCAGGGGGGATGGGATACTCATCTGCCTCAGGTCTCCAGACCCAACAGAAGGGAAGGAGGGAGAGAGGAAGGAGGGGAGGAAGGAAGGGAGGGAGGGAGGGAGGAAGGGAGGAAGGGAGAAGGGAGGAAGGAAGGAAAGGCTTTTGTGAATATCCCTGCAGTGTGGCAAGGTACTTAAGTGCATATGCAGAGGCGACAGATGTTTTTGTCACAGTCTATGCGGCCTGGCCCTGACACTGGAGAAGCCCAAGGCTGGGGCCCAGGCAGTCCTGTTGATTCCAGACACTTGTCTGGAGCAAGTGTCCCAGGCATCAGGGCAGGAAATGAGGACATTGTGAGGTGAGCAGAGCCAGGTGTACTGAAGCACATATGTCTGGGGCAAGCATGCAGGCTGTTGATGGGTTGATACAGCGTGCATCTGTCTCCAGCCTGGGCTCCTCCCTTGAGCTCCACATCTGGATATGCAAGGCTGCCTGCTTGACATCTCCTGAAGTGAGATGAGAGCTGTGCAAGAGTTTTTACCAAGCCAGTGGCACCATATGATTTGCAATTTCTTCCAGGACTGGGGATTGAACTCAGAGTTGTAAGCTTGCTAGGCAGGCACTCTACCACTTGAGCCATGCCTCCAGTCCTTTTGCTTTTAGTTTTTCAGATAGGGTCTCTCACTAACTTTGCCCAGGCTGGCCAGAATTGAATCTTCATACCTCCACCTCTCACATATCTGGGACCACAGATGTGTGCCACCACACCCAGCTTGTTTTTTTGTTTTTTTGTGGTACTGAGATTTGAACTCAGGGCCTCACGCTTGCTAGTCAGGTGCGCTTACTACTTGAGCCATTGTGCCAGCCCCCAGCTTGTTTTTGAGATAAGGCCTTGCTAACTTTTTGCCCAGGTTGGCCTTAAATTGTTATCCTCCTATCTTTTCTTCCCAAGTAGCTCAGATTACAGGCATACAGCACCACACTCAGCCATGATCTGCATTTTGAAAAGACATCTCTGGCTGCTTTATGTGGAAAATGGCCTGGAGGTATGGGAACCAGTCGAGAGGTCATGCTAGTTATCCAGGGACCAATCCTGCTACCAGAGTTAGTGTCAACTAAAAGGAGATGGTTTTTGTTTTTAGCAACATGACAGACCTGATGGTAAATGGAAACTCCTTATAGCTACTCAGGAGGCAGAGACCAGGAGGATCACGGTTCAAAGCCAGCCCCTGAAAATAGCTTGTGAGACTCTATCTCAAAAATACCCATCACACAAAAAAGGACAGGTGGAGTGGCTCAAAGTGAAGGCCCTAAGTTCAAGCCCCAGTACCACAAAAAAAAAAAAAAAAACCAACTTCTTGTGGTTCAGCACACCCAAATATGTTGGAAAAATATAAGGAATGTCTTTTTAAATATGGGGCTGAGTAGTAGTGTCACCAAAGTCGGACAGCAGGCTCTTGGTGTCTCTGAAGAAAGAATTCAGGGATGGATGCACAGAGGAGTTTAACTGAGTGAGGTTTACTGAAGCAAAAGCAAAAGTACAGTCTCAAGATAGGAAGAGAGCGGGCAACCCAGCCCAGAGCTGAGCTCTGGGGTCTTACGTTAGTTTTATGTACATGATTGTGGAACTTTCTTAAGAAATGGGAGGGTCTTTCCAGGAAGCAGGGGACAGGAGTGACTTTACCTAATAAGGAACCCTCAGAACCAAGATGGCGATTCAAGGTGGGGGTGGTGCATGCATCAAACCACAACCTTCATGAGATGCAGATGAGGCCTCAGATAACCCTTAGGTTCAGGAAAGTCCTAGCTGGGGACCCTTAGCTGCTGTACCAAGATGTAGATGAACTGTAACACAAGGATGGTTTGTAAAGCAGGACGTTTGGCAAAATGTGCCAGGATGTGGTACTGCGCCTGTTTTTTCTTTTCTGTTTTTCTTCTTTTTTGGTGGCTCTGGGGTTTGAACGCAAGGCTTCATGCTCACTAGGTAGGCGCTCTTACTAGAGCCTACCACCAGCCCCGCACCTGTTCTTTAGAACTTTTTTTTTTTTTTTTTTTTTAGTGGTACTGGGGCTTGAACTCAGGGCCTTCATCTTGAGCCACTCCACCAGCCCTTTTTGTGTTAAGTATTTTTGAGATAGGGTTTCTTGAACTATTTGCCCGGGCTGACTTTGAACTGCAATCCTCCTCATCTCTGCCTCCTGAGTCACTAGGATTATAGGCATGAGCCACCTTGCCTGGCTAGATTCTTTTGTTTTATTGATCCCTTTCTGCCTGTCTACCCCATCTCAGTAGGAGAGTAAAAGAATTCCTTGGAAGTGTGAAATAACAAGAAAATTCAGGTCCGTGGGCCTAAGCAAGTGCTACAGGTTGTTCTTTGTCCTGGGGTTTTGCTGCTCATTGATGTCCTGGGGCCTGGTTTTACTGGGGTTCAGGAGACAAGATTTAGGCCTGAACAGCACTCAGCAAGTAAGCTGGAAACCTCCTCTTCAATCTGGGACTCCTCAGTGGGTGAACAGGATTCAAAACATCGCTCTACAGAGACCACTGGTGGAGACTTTGATCTGCCTCAGCCTTGCTTGTAGATGTGCATGTCTTTTCAGAAAAACCCTAACCAAGAACTCACTCTCACCTGTTGGAGCCACAGTTCATACTGATAGATGTGCCCTCCAAAATGCAGGTGGAACATTTAACTTAAAGTGGTGAATCCGGGTACCAGTTGCTCACATCTGTAATCCTAGCTACTCAGGAGGCAGAGATCAGGAGGATCTCAGTTTGAAGCCAGCCTGGGCAAACAGCTCGCTAGACCCTATCATGAAAAAAAACATCACAAAAAAGGGCTGGTGGAGTGCTTCAAGGTGTAGGCCCTAAGTTCAAACCCCAGTCAGTCAAAAAAAGAAAAAGACAGAACCTCAGAGAATTCCCACAGGCAAACTTCTAAAGAGCATGGGTCCCTGTCTTTGTTGTTTGACAGAGACATTGTTACCAACTTTGCCTCCAAACCTTCTCAGAATTGTGGAACCAATAACAAGACTGAGTGCTCATGGAGCAGCAAAGGAGATTTTGATTCTCGGTCAAGAATCAGAAGAGTAACCCAGCCTGGTGGTTCCCATCTGTAATCCCAGCATTCAGAGATTGAGGCAGGAGGATCGAGTGTTTGAGGCCAGCCTGGGCTACATAGAGAGACCCATCTCAAAAAACAGTGACAGACTATCAAATCAACTTCTCACCCTTTCAGGGATTGGAAGGTTACAGATATAGGGGGAAAGGAACAAGGCGGGGCTGTCAGCTAATGAAGGGAGGAACATTCATGTTTTCTCTGTCACTGTCATGGCACTGTATGCAGATGGGATCATAATGTAGTTAGAAGTTGTCTGGTGGTTGCTCTGGCAGCCATCTTAGGACCATCCATTTTCGGCCAGCCCACCTGAAGAGGGACTTCTGGCCTACAAGCATCCTACTTTCAGAGATAAACAAGATTAGGGTAGGCAAGAGGTTCAGCTAGGTCAAGTAGGAAGTTGGAAACCAGGTCAGGAAAGAAGCCAGCAAGAGTCACAGAAACCTCGAATAACAGAATCAGATCTGCAGAGAGCAGATCTTAGAGTTAACAGCTGCACATATTTACAAAATATGTTTAACATGTTTAAAGAAATAAAAGGAGAGCTAGGGCCACTGCTTGAGAGGTAGAGTGCCTACCTAGCAAGTGCAAGGCCCTGAGTTCAACCCCTAACATTGCCAAAAATAAAAGGGTAAATTGACACCAGGTGCTGGTGGCTCCTGCCTGTAATCCTTGCTCCTTAGGAGGCTGAGATCAAGAAGATTGCAGTTCAAGGCCAGCCCTGGCAAATAGTTCTTGAGACCCCATCTTCAAAATAACCAGAAGAAGAATGGATTGAAGGTGTGGCTCAAGTGATGGAGTGCAAAGCCCTGAATTCAAACCCCAGTCTTTCCTCCCTCCCTTCCTGTTTCCCCGGTAAAGGATAAGTTGACAGTGTCATGGAGGAACAAAAGTTAGTTGGAATTGACTAAATGTAAATATATTTATATATATATATTTAAATATATATGTAATTATTTTAATCAGAAGCTCAGCGTATGGTTTAAATAGTAAACTAGATGGAGCCAAAGAGAAAAGTAGTGAACTGGAAGATAGACTTGGAGAAATTACCTGGAAGAGAGCACAGAGTGACAGAACACAGAAGACATAAATGAGAGGTTAAGGCAGCACCCAGAAGGGCCTTCATGACTCCTGTCTGTTTGGTCTGTCTTTAGGTTCAAGAAGAGAGTCGACTTCCAGTTCTGAAACCTCTTCCAAAAAAGTGAAATGGTCACACACTGTCACTTCTCCCTCCTCATCCCTGCTCTCTGATGGTGACAGTTCTGAGCCAGAGTATGTCTTGAATTCTTCTGAGAGATCCAAAGGTAAGAGTTAAGGTTGATCTGGCTCTAGGCAGGGCAAAGACGGGTTCATCTGACAGTGCATAGGAAAAGCTGCCATAGCCCAGGCTGGAATGTTAGCCACTCCTGCCGGGACCCTCATCCCAGCGCCTATGCAGCCTCCAGTCTCCTGCTCCAGTCCAGCTCCACTGGACCCTGGGGGCCTTTCCATACCCCATGCTGCCTGGGTCTTTACAGCCCCGCTGCTCCTATCACCCACAGCCCAAGCTTTCAGCCTTGCATGTGGATGGCCTGGTTCTTAGCACATCTTGTGCACACAAGACTCACTTTGGGGGCTTTTCAATCTCTCCTTTTGTTTATTTGTTTGTTTGTTTGTTTGTTTGTTTGAGACAGGGTCTCACTATGTATCCCAGGCTGGCCTCCAACTCGAGAGACTCCTGCCTCAGCCTCCCGAATGCTGGGATGACAGGGATGCATCACCATGTCCAGCTTCAACCTCTGGTCTTTTCTCTGCCCTTACCTCCCTCTCTGCCCAGCTGCTGTCCCTTTTCTACTGCTCACAGGGACCCATTTCTCAAAACCTGCTCATAAGGACCATGGGTCCATGTCAAGGCCTCCTCAGTGCCCCCAGAGCCTCTATCCAGTCTCCATCTGGCCCCGGTGCCTGAGGTGGTCCTTATTTGCCCACATGTGTTACTCTAGGCTCCATGGCCCTTTCAGCCTTGCTTTCTGACCCAGGTGTCCTCAACGGCAGGGACTGAGCATGACCCATCTGTATTTTCCCAGTCAGTGCTAGGACATGGGGGCCTAGGCACACCTAGGACTGTGTGCCTGTTTCCTGCCCACTGAGCCAGGATTGGAAGTGCAGCCCCAGGACCACGTCCTCACTCCTTGTTATCCCCTGGGCCCCAAAGGCTTATTGCTGTGTGTTTTGCAGGAATGGTGGGCAGGAAATGGGTGACATTTATCTTTTCCTGTGTCTGTATATCTCCTACCACCCCGCCCTCCCCCATTCACCAGTTCCTGCAGGAACAGGCCTTCCTCGAATGCATTTCTAGGCCTCTTTATGTGTACTTAGCATGGGGCCAAGTCCTGTTTGCAAAGCAGGCACTCTACTGCTTAAACCACACCTCCAGTCCATTTTGCTCTGGTTACTTTGGAGATGGGGTCTTGTGAACTATTTACCTGGGCTGGCCTGGAGCTATAATCCTCCCAGTTACAGCTTCCCAAGTAGCTAGGATTACAGGCGTGAACCACTGGTGCGCAGCTTTGAGATGCTTTTGATTGAATGGAATGTCCTTTTCCCCCAGCAAACTTCTACTCATCCAACAAGACCCAATTCTAATGTCCTTTCCTCCAGGAATCCTCCCCTGACTTCTTCAAGAACAGTTTGTCTCTTTCTTCTCTGGCCCTAATAGCCCTCTGTACTGTCCTGTCTTAAATTCCACCTTGACTGGCGTGCCTAAGTTAGACTTCACCATCATACCTGGAGTTCCTTAGGGGAGGGTCCAAGTCTGATTCATGCCTGGGTGCCCTGCATCATCACCCAAAGGTCCTGACCCATGGAAGTCCCAGGAAGCTTTTGCTGAATGAACAAATAAAGATGCAAGCAGAATCATGGGTGCTATTTTCACCTCCAGATTCTGCCTTTTCTTTAGTGGTTCTATCCTCCTGCAGGGGCCTGGAACCAACCTCCTACCCCCAAAAGCAGCCCAAGCCCGAAGCCTACCAGGCAAAGCCCTCAGACGCTGAAGCGGAGCCGGGTGACCGCCTCCCTCGAGGCTTTGCCCACAGGGACGGAGCTTACAGACAAGAATGGGCAGCGCTGGAAGCTGGGGGCCCTCCAGACCAGGGACAGCCAGGTTATTCTCTATGAAGGTACACTTCATCCATGTGCACAGGGTCTGGGTGGGGCCTTTTCTGAGAATGGGATGGAAGCCTGCACCCTAACTACAGAGCGTCTCTGAGCGACTTTCTCTTAGACTCAGGACTGCGGCCTTCCTATGTGCAGAGTCCTGGCACGTAGCATTCATGAGGGCAGTGAGCTGGGTGGGAGTGACTGTGGGGGGAGGCTGCAGCTAGGCGGCCATGTGTGCCATGCAGAGCATGTGCCCCTCTGCAGTTCTACCCTCACTATCATGGACTGCAGGCCCAGTGGCCACGGGAAGATGACTGTCACGGCTAGCCCAGGACCCCACCCCAAAGTTGGGTCAGATGTGAGACCGATGATGTCCCCTACACCTCAAGAAGATATGCAAGGTTTTCATTGTTATTGTTTAGTTTTGGTTTTTCGGGGTTGGGGATTTAGCTCAGTGGAAGAGCGCTTGCCTGGCAAGCCCTGAGTTCAGTCCCTAGCACTGAAAAAAAAAAAGGAAAAAAAATAGTTTTGGTTTTTCAGAAAGGGTCTTACTACATAGCTCAGGCTGACCTTCAACTTGTAATCCTTCAGCCTCCCAAGTACTGGGATTACAGGTATGAGCCACCACACCTGGTATGCAAGGTTTACTGCTTAATTAAGGTCTCAGTGGAGAGCCGGTCAGGCCTCCAACCCACATCCAAAAATGCCTTGAGAAGCAAGGCATGGTGGCACATGCCTATAATCCTAGCACTTGGAAGGCTAAGGCAGGGGATTGTGAGCTGGAGGCCATCCTGGGTTGTATAGTGAGGTCCTATCTTTAAAAAAAACATTCCTAGTGGCTCATGCCTGTAACCCTAGCTACTTGGGAGGCTGAGATTGGGAGGATCCAGGTTTGAGGCCAGCCCAGGCAAATAGTTTGGGAGAGATCCCCATCTCCAAAATAACCAGAGCAAAATGAGCTGGAGGTGTGGTGCAAGTGGGAGAGCACCTGCTTTGCAAGTATAAATTCTCAAGCTCAAACCTGTCCTACCCCCATAAAAATTTTTTTGGCCAAGTGTAGTGGTGCAAGCCTGAACTCTCAGTTCCTCTGGAGGCAGAGATCGGGAGAATCAAAGTTTGAAACCACTGTGGGCAAGAATTTTGCAAGACCCCATCCCAATCAATAGGCAGGGTAGAGCTGGGCACCTGTAGCTCATGCCTTTAATCCTAGCTACTCAGGAAGCAGAGATCAGGAGGACCGAGTTTCGAAGCCAGCCTGGGCAAAGAGTTTGCAATACCCTATCTCGAAAAAACCTTCACAAAAATGGGCTGATGGAGTGGCTCAAGGTGTAGTCCTTGAGTTCAAGCCCCAGTACTGCAAAGAAAAGGCTGGCAGGGTGTGATGGCACGTTCCTGTGATCCCAGCCACACAGATGGCCACAGGTAGGAGGATCACAGTCTAAGACAGCCCTGGGCAAAAACAAGAGACCCTATCTGAAAAATAACTAAAGCAAAAAGGACTGGGGAGGCGTGACGAGAGTGCCTGCCTACCAAGCACAAGGCCCTGAGTTAAAACCTCAGTACCACCAGAATAAATAAAGCCTGAGAGGAGCATGGAAAGGAACCACCTGAGTTGTCATGGTGGCTGGGGGTGGCACTGGCTGAGGCTTCCCACATGGGGACCCACACCTCCCTCTAAAAGTTTGAATCTTCTACCAGCTCCAAAGGAGGGAGCACCCAGACTTTCCTACCTTGCCCAGATGTGGAATAGAAGGCAGGAGGGAGGGACAGGGTTTACAAGTTGTCAGTGGTTTTTGTCAGTTAGGAAATGCTGAGAACTCTCCCGAAATCCAGGTTCCCAGACATTGGAAGGACAGTCTCGGCTCTATAGAGTTAACTTCCCTGCCCAGCTGAATGTTTTCAGCGGAAGAAGAAAAAGACCTATTTGAAAAATAGGAAGTCTGGGCAGGGTGGTACACACTACTAATCCCAGCTACTCAGGAAGCAGAAGAAGGAGGATCATGAGTTCAAGGCCAGCCCAGGCAAAGTTAGCAGGACCCTGTCTCAAAACCAAAAGATAAATAAATGGAGCATAGGGATGTGGCTCAAGTGGTAAAACACTTTCCTGGCATGTAGAAGGCCCTTGGTTCCATCCTCAGTACTGCCAAAAAAAAAAAACAAAAAAGCAGGGAGCATGTGTTAAGCACAAGAGTGCACTTGCCTGTGGGAACTAAGGAGCTGCTTGTCATCACTGAGGTTTGAGGACCATGACCCTGACCTTCAGAGGTTATGATCTTGCTCACCTATTTCTGTCTCCACAGCCGAGCCTGTTTCTATCTTCCCCTGTGAGTCGAGGCCTGGGAAACCTAGATTCTCACTCAAACTGGTGAGTGGCCCCTGGCAAGGGACAGGGGAAGCTCAGAGGGGAGGGCTTGGGACTTTGCAAAATACCTTTGGTCTCTGAGCCCCTCTGCAAGCTGGGAGAACTCAGCCTGGAGCCAGGGAGCAGTGGCTCCCAGGCAGGTAGCCAGATCCAATTCCTGCTCTCAGGAAGATCCCAAGGGGGTGGAGTGGGGCCCAGCGATAAGTAGACCATGGAGATTGGGAGGCCTAAATGGCTGGCTGTACTAACATCAGGTCCAGTGCACCAAGTGCTTGCTCTGTGATTCACCTGCAGATGGGAGTAGATGAGGGAAACACAGAAGGACAAGAGGAGTGTGTATGGAACAGGAAGCCAGGCCTGCTAAGGATTAGTGGCACATGCTCATAGACTGCCTGCAAGTGACAGACACTGGGCTAAGAGTGTCACAGCACTGTGTCACTGAATTCTTTCAGCAAGCCTGTGTGACAAATAAGGAAATGGAGATTCAGTCACTGGACCAGGACAGACAGCATGCCAGTGGCCTGGCTCACTGCTGTATTCCTGATGCCAAGAACGATGCTCAGGACATAATAGAGGCTTTGTAGAAAGAAAGAATGGGGGAAGGAAAGGAAAGAAAAAGGGAAAAAGAGGGAAAAGGAAGGAATGAAGGGAGGGAGGGAAGAACTAGGTGTAGTGGTACAAGCTCATAATTCCAGCTGCTCAGAAGATGGAGGTTAGAGAATCTCAAGTTCAAGACCAGCCTAGACAAAATTAACAAGACTGTCTCAAAAACAAAAGGCATGGGCCATGACTCAAGTGGTAGAATGCTTGCCTAGCATGTGCAAAGTCCTGGGTTCCATCTCCAGTATAAATAAAAAAAACAAAAAAGAAGGAAGGGAAGGGGAAAAAAGGAAGGGAAAGAAAGGAAAAGAAAGGAGAGAGGATAGGAAAAAGGGAGGGGAGGGAAGGAGAGGAAAGAGGAGAGGAGAGGAAATAAAGAATAAAGAAAAAAGGTAGGAGCTGGGAGCCAGTGGCTCATGTCTGTAATCCCAGGTACTCAGGAGGCAGAAATAAGGAGGATTTCGGCTCAAAGCCAGCCCAGGCAAACAGTTCATGAGACCCTATCTCGAACAAACCCATCATAAAACAGGCTGGTGGAGTGGCTCAGGGTGTAGGCCCTGAGTTCAAAGAACTCTAAAAAGGAAGGAAGGAAGCAGGGAGAGAGGGAGGAAGAAAGTGAAAGGGAAAGGAAAAAAAAAAGGGAGGGAGGTTGGGAAAGAGGGAGAGGAGAGCTGGGAGATATGAACCTAACTGTATTTGATCCTGTGATCCTAAGAATCCAACTGCTCTAGTTTGTTTAATAAAAGTATTTGGTCTAACTTCTATAAAAAGCTCCAATTTTAACATTAATAATAGCTTAAGCAGGATATTTGATTGGTTTCTCTTTTAAAAGTCTGGGGCAGTGGTCCAGGGCTGATAACAATGGTCCTATAAACAAGAGACCTAGTTTTCTTGTCTCTTGTTACCCCAATATCCTGAAGTTATAACGTCTGTCTTTTGGGCTGAGATGGCTGCTCCAGCTCCCATTATCACATCTGCATTCCAGCCAACTGGAACAGAACAGGTCAGGGAGAGCCCATCCTAGTCTTTTAAGGGAACACCTGGAAGGTGCCCATATTTCTTTTGCTGATGTCCTCATTGGCCACAACCTGGTCTTACACTTATGCCTTGTTGTTAAGAAGGCTGGGAAATGTAGTTTTTGGCATATGGCTACATGTCTAGGGAAAACTTGTGGATCCTTTCATAAAAGAATGAAAAGGGCCGGAGGCTGGGAGCTCACACCTGTAATCCTAGCTACTCAGGAGGCAGAGATTAGGGGATCATGGTTCAAAGCCAGCCTGGGCAAATAGTTCATGAGACCCTATCTTGAAAAAACCAATCACAAAAAGGGCTGGCAGAGTGGCTCAAGGGTAAAGGCCCTGAGTTCAAGACCCAGTCCCACCAAAAAATAAAAATAAAAAAAATAAAACAAAGAAAAGGACTGCCTTAGCTGGCAGTCTCTGAGACATGCTCTTGTACAGCACCCTGAGGAATTTGGTCCTGATGCAGGGACCTGAAGAACCTGGTCGTCTCTGGCAGTAACCTGGAGTAATGGTGAAGGCTTGGGCCCTTGTGTTAGGGAGTTCAGCATGACAGCCTCTACCCTTCTGTTCTCACCAGGATGCCAAGGATGGGCGTCTGTTCAATGAGCAGAACTTCTTCCAGCGAGCTGCCAAGCGTCTGCAAGGTATTCCACAGGAAAATTGTCAGGGGATGGAGTTTGGGGCATCAACCTGCTCCCATCTGTGCCCACAGCCTGACTCCTGTCAGCATGGGGCCTCTGATGGATTGGCTTATACCGGCTCTTGAGAGTCAAGTGATAAAGTTTCAGGAATGTTGCAAGCTGGTTGTTATATATCACCATTGTTAAAAATTAAATTATATAAACTTACAATCAAATGAACACTCAAAAACTAGGTTGGGTATGGTGATTCATGTCTGTAATCTCAGCTGCTTGGGAGGCAGAGACAGGAGGATTATAGTTTAAGGCACAAAGTTAGTGAGACCTTATCTCAAAAAGCAAGCCAGGGGCTGGTGGAGTGACTCAAGGCATAGAGCACCTGCCTAGAAAGCATGAGGCCCTGAGTTCAAACCTCAGTACCACCAAAAAAAAAAAAGAACTAAACACACACACACACACACACAAAGAAAAATAAGCCAGGTGTGATGTGCACACCTATAATCCCAGCAGTAGGAAGATCATGATCTGGGGCCAGCTTGGGCAAAAATGCTAAACCCTATCTATAAAACAAACTAAAAGCAAACAGGGCTAGAGGCATGGCTCAAGTGATAGGACTCAAGCAAGCACAAGGCCTTGAGTTCAATTCCTAGAGCCACCCCCCCAAAAAATCATTTCCTAATTCTTCTTACATTCTTTATCTGTACTCTTCCAATTACTTACATCTGTGGCACCTGGACAATGAATACACCACACAGTGGCATGCAGCTGTGCCTCTCTCCAGCCCCACATCGGTCACATTGTTGATGGAGAATGGTTTGGGAGCAGGAGGATCTCTAACAAGGGCAGGGAGGGGCAGCGATCCTTGACTCAGCTCTCTAATGGCTCTCTATACCCAAGGCCTTTGGAATCTATGATGAAAATCCATCAAGGAAAAAGGAAATTCACAAGGTGGAAGGTCAGCAAAGATTTATGTAGCAAAGCAGGACAAAGTAGGGAGAATAAGAAAGGGAAAGACACCTCCTGCCTGATGTAGAGGAGTAGGAGCAAAAAGCTCAAAATGGCGGTCCTTGTCCCGGATGTATTTATACCCTCTGAGCTGGGAGATAACAGTTTGAACTCTTACCTATTCACATGGACAAACCATCTGGTATCCGTTAATCATTTCACTAGGTTCCAAATCATGGAGACAATGGGTTTAAGTGGTCACACCTTCTACTCTCAGGTAGTATCACTCATCTGAGGAGATTGTAACTCATTGAACATTTAAAAGAAGAGAATAGCCAGGCGCTGTGGCTCACGCCTATAATCCTAGCTACTCAAGAGGCAGAGCTCAGGAGGAACATGGTTCAAAGCCAGCCTGGGCAAATAGTTTGCAAGACCCCATCTTAAAAATCTATAAAAAAAAAAAAAAAAGGGCTGGTGAAGGGCTCAAGGTGAAGGCCCTGAGTTCAAATCCCAGTACTGCAAAAATAAATAATAAAAGAGTGAGCAATGGAGAGTGCATGCATGAAGTCTTCCAAAAAGATCAATTTAACTTTTATTGCTCTAGTGATTTGTTTTAGTCTTAGTTCCTGATTTTGGTGTGGTTTCGGAGGTTTCTCTGATTCTGACTTGTCCCTGTCACTTTCTCCTGTCTGTTCTGCCTCAGTGTCACATTAGTGGCTTGAAATTGTCCTGGCGGGATACATGCACACCACAAACATGGGCAAAACTACCAGTCAGGATGGGTTCTCCCTGGGGAGCCAGCTGTTAAGTGCGTGTGAGCACGTGTAACCACGGGTCCGTACTACCCCACTGAGATCCTGGAAGACAGCAGCAAATTCCAGTGGCACTGTGGATGGTTTAGACCTCTATTGATCTTATAAGCTATACATATGAATTCAGGGTTCCTCCGTAGATTTAGGGTAGGGCTTTGAACTCAGAGTCTCACCCTTGCTAGGCAGGTGCTCTATAACTTGAGCTTTTTTTTTTTAACTGGTACTGGGATTTGAATTCAGGGCCTTGCACTTACTAGGAAAGCACTCTACCACTTAAGCCATGCCTCCATCCCAAAATTGTTTTTGTTTTTGGTTTATTATTTTGGGGTAAAACAGTCTGAATTCAGGGCCTTGCATCTGCTAGGCAGGCACTCTACCTTTTGAGCCTGGCTCCTCCTCCAGATTTGTATGTGCTACCTCAAGTCAGTCATGTTCACCCCATCACCTGCAGACATGGATTATAGACATTCATGAGTCACCTGTGCCTGTCCCATCCCCTCTCTCTCTCACTGAAACCCACCCACAAAGATGTCTTCTCCAGCAAGGAGACTTGGACTGGTCTAGGTTCATGCTCTCTACTTAAATGGGATGTTGTTCCCATGGGCCTGGGACACAGTGGGCTCTAACCTTGAGCCCCTGCCTCCCATAGTGAGCAAGTGGAAGAAGCTGTACTCAACCCCCCTCCTGGCCATCCCCACCTGTGTCGGTTTTGGCGTTCACCAGGACAAATACAGGTGAGCCACTTTCCTTGCCAGCCCCTCGTGGGCCCTTCCTTCTGTCTCTGTCCTGTGTCTGGACTTGGCTGGGATCCTGGAGCCACCAACCAATTGCTTGTTTCCTTCCTTTCCCTGGGTTTGAGTCAGGCTAGTCTCACACTTAGTCTCTCCCAGTGCTGGGACCTTTCAGTCCCCATTCAGTCTTCCCTTGGTGGCCTGCATTTCTCCCTCTCCTCTGTGTCTCACTTCCTGGGATGCTCATGTCATAACCAGGGTCATAGGCCAGAGGCTCAACTCTCCAGTTTCCACATGTCAGGTCCAGCTGCTTCCCTAATATGCCAAATAAAGATGGTCATTAGGGCAGGGCAGGAGGGGTGCACATGCTGCTTCACCAGTCCCCGTCAAGGGGGCCAACGGTGCGGTCCAGCTGCTCATTGTCCCAGGATTGGTCAGGTGGGGCCCTAGGGGGACAGTTTCGACTCTTGTCACAAGGTATTTATCCATCATTCCTGTTGTTCTGGAAATCAAAGGAGGCTGCAGGAGGGAGTGGTTCAGAGCAAAGGAGACAGGTGCAGAGTGGAGGCAGAGATGCTGGGCTTTCATCCTGCCTTTAGTTCCCCTGGGACATTTGCTGGCCCAGGTGAAGAGTCAGTGCTTTTAGCAAAAGTAGTTTCTAAGTGCCTGTTATGATGTCTTCTAGGTTCTTGGTGTTCCCCAGCCTGGGGAGGAGCCTCCAGTCAGCCCTGGATGACAACCCGAAGCACGTGCTGTCAGAGAAGTGTGTGCTGCAGTTGGCCTGCCGGCTGGTGTGTACTAAAAACTGCTCAGCTCCCTTGGGGGTGCAGATCCTTGTTACTCAGCTTGCTGATTCACTAACACATCTAGCCCCCTTTCTCTCCATTGCGTGGAGGCCAGGATGCTGATGGGTAAAAAAGATGGCCTGCCCCAAAGTGAGGGGGTTAATGAGGCTCCCTGGTGGAGGAGGTTTCTAAGCCAAGATTCACAGGATGGTTGGCTGGGCGTGGTGGTCCATACGTATAATCCCAGCTATGTAGGAGACAGAAGTAGGAGGTCACAGTCTGAGACCAGCCTGGGCAAAAATGTGGGACCCTGCTTGAAAAGTAGCTAGAGCTGCGTTGGTAGACTGGGTCAAGTGGTAGATCACCTGCCTAAGCAAGTGTAAGGTTCTGAGTTCAAACTCCAAAGCTTCCCCTCATACTTAAAAAAGAAAGACTCACAGGGTGAATGGGAAATAGAAAGGTGCTGGGTGGAGTATGATGGGGGGTGTGTGAGAAGAAAACATTCCAGGCAAAGGATACATGGGTGCAGTGTGGGCAGAGACTTGCATGGGAGAATGTGAGGCCTCAGTACTCGTTCATTCGTTCACTCCTTCATTCATCCTCACGTCATGTCCATGCAGTGCTTGCTGGGTGCCAAATCTGCCCCAGTGCCGGGTTAGAGCAGGGAGCAGCACCATCCCTGTGTCTTGGAGTGCAAGGTCTGGTGGGAGAGGGTGCTGTTAAACAGTGGTGCAGGCCAGGTGTGGTGTTGCTCGCCTGGAGGCTGAATGAGTGTCTGCACTGGGGAGCATCCTGGGCTGTGGAGGCACAGGACTGTGCACATGGAAGAAATAGAATGTGAGGCTCAGTTAAGCCCTGCGGCCAAGGAGGGGCTTGGAATTTGATTGGGCTGGAGGTAATGCCTAGCAGATCAGTACAGGTAGTGATAAAGATTAACAAACTAAGGTAAGCTTCTTTTCCACTCCAGCAGAAGTGAGCAGAGCTCTGACGGACACAGGGGCAGTTACTTCTGCAGAGAGACATTAAGTAACCCTCCTCTCCCTCCTGAGCTCACAGCCGGCCAAGAGAGTGATGGGAGGTAGATGGAAAGCCAAAGATTAGCTTTCCTGAAGAATTTTATTTGACACAGGGTTTCATTATGTAGCCTAGGTTTGCCTAAACTCATGATCCTCCTACCTTCACCTCCATAGTGCTGGGATTACAGGTGTGGACCACCATGCCCCACTTACTGCTGAATTTCTTTAAAAGTCTAATTAGAGGTGTGTTTATGTTTGCTATCATGGTAGGCTTCCTAATGCTGCTCCCAGAATTAGGCAGGCTTAACCCACCCAGTCACAGACAATGCTGGACAACTTCCAAGTTAACAGTGAGAGTTCCTCACCTGGCTCTGTATCAGAGCCTCTTTCTGTTAGTCATGCCCTTCACATAGGTGCTTGCTTTTCTTCTTCCCCCAGCTGGATGCCCTGGAGTTCCTCCATGAAAACGAGTATGTTCATGGAAATCTGACAGCTGAGAATATCTTTGTGAATCCGGAGGATTTGAGCCAGGTGAGAGCGAGTCCCCTTGCATTACACACACACACGCACACATATGTACTCACACACTGGAGGGTCTCTGACTCAGGTCCCCATCTGTTTCCAAATCACCATTTATTTCACAGTGCATACTATAAACAAAAGATTGCTGTCCATCATAAATAAAGAGTTCTTGACTAAATAAGAAGCAACTTACTAGAAAAATAAGCAAAGAGTAGGAAAAGCAATACATAGAAAAAGAAATCCACAGGTTAGTTAAATATATGCAAAGACTCTCAGCCTACTTAATAATCACAAAGATGCAAATTAAAACACAATACTATTTTTCACTCTTTGGATGGATAGAATTAAGAATGATACTAAGCTGAATGCCAGTAACTCACACTTGTAATCCCAGCTACTTAGGAAGCTGATATCGAGATGATCCAAGTTTGAGGCCAGCCCAGGCAAGTAGCTCTGGAGATCCCATCTCCAACATAACCAGTGCAAAATGGACTGGAGATGTGTGTGGCTCAAGCGGTAGAGCTCATGCTTTCCAAGAGTGAAGCCCTGAGCTCAAACCTCAGACCCACCAAAAAAAAAAAAAGTTTAAAAAATGACATTATGTCATGCTGGTAGGGGTAGAAGGAAATAGGAATTGTTTGTGCACATTGAAAATCTGAATTGGGCAGCCTTTTCAGAAGTTAATTTGGAGACAGCAATCACAATTTAAATATGCCTCCTCTGTCTGTTCTATCAGTTCCTCTTGTAGGAATGTGTTTACCCATATACGCACAGGAATATTCAAAGGTAAGTGCACGAGATGTTTCCAACATTGCTGGTTATAACAGGAAAGGGAAACGCCATATATCCATACACGTGCATATGTGTGTACTCTTCCAGGAGAAAAGTGGTCAAATAGTATTTTAAAGTAAATTGTGAAGGTGGCAGAGTGGCTCAAGTGGTAAGAGCACCTGCCTAGCAAGCATGAGACCTTGAGTTCAAACCCCAGCACTGCCAAAAACAAACAAACAAAAAAAGTAAATTGTGGTTACTTTCTCAGTATAAATGACAAAAACCCAACTTCAAACACCTTAATCAGTAATAATAATAATAGGAGTGTGTGTGTGTGTAATTTATTAGTCCACAGAATGAAAATGTCTTCAGGCCTAGCTGTATGTAAGAACTCAAGTCCTTCTTTGGGAAGCTGGCTTTCCCATTTCTGGGCTCTTACTCTTCTGCACTGTTCATTATCAGGCAGACTTGTCCCTCTTGGTGACAAAATAGCCATCAGCAAATCAGACTTAGATTACCTAAGCTCAGCAGCTTCAAAATAAACAGGTGAGGTGAGCCCAGCCAAACTGAACTGCATGTAGTGAGGGGGGGAAGGGAGGTCCCAGAGGGAAGTCCCAGAACCATGTGTTAGGGTTCTTCAGAGAAACAGGACCAACATGATGAAGAGAGACAGAGACAGAGACAGACAGATTCAAAATGGTGCATAAGAAACTTTTACTATTAGTTAATTCTGGGCATTGGGTTTCTGGGGCTGGAGAAATACAGATGCCTGTTTGGTTTCTCTTCATTTCATACTTTCCATGGTGATTGGCACTTTAACTGTAAGCATAACTTAGTTTTAGAAAATGTCACTGTTGTGGTTTGGGCTCATGTGTTGGAGGCTTGGTATCCAGTGCAGCAGTGTTCACAGGCGGGGCTTTGGGGAAGTGACTGGATCATGGGGACTCTGACCTCAACAGTGAGTGAGTCCATTGATAGAGTCTTAATTTGGTGGCATTATTGGGAGGTGGCAGAAGCCAGGAGGTGGGACCTGGTTGAAGGAAGTGGGGCACTAGAGGCATGCCTCCCACCTCTACCCCTTTGAATTTTTGAGACAGTATCTAACCGTGTAGCCCAGACTAGCCTCAAACTCATGACTCTCCAGCCTGTCCCTCCCAAGTGCCAGGATTACAGGTTGCTCCACCACACCTGGTTTGGGGTACATGCCTTTGAATGGTGGATGTTGTCCCAGCTCCTTCTGTTTGCTCTTTCTGTTTCCTGGCTGCCAGGAGGTGAGGAGCACCTGGTCCTGCTACCATGATCTGCCTCACCTGGAAGTTCTGAAATCATTCACCAAAGTAAATCCTTCCCCTCTTAAGTTGTTTGTGCCACATATTTTGTTACAGCAACAAAAAATTGACAAACACGGTCATCTGTAATGGACGGGTTGTTTCACATGGCGTAAGAGTCTGTGCTCCTAACTTCCAATCTGTGTGGCTTCTGCCCATGTCCACAGGTGACCCTGGTGGGCTACGGCTTCGCCTTCCGCTATTGCCCAAGTGGCAGACATGTGGCCTACAAACAAGGCAGCAGGAGCCCACACGAGGGGGATCTGGAGTTCATTAGCATGGATGTGCACAGAGGATGTGGTAAGAGGGTGGGGCAGAGACTTGGGACTAGGAGACATGCTCCCCACAAGGGCAGGCCCGGGCACCCAGCCACAGGCGGAGGTGGCCACTCATAGAAGAGGGATATAGGGACGGAGTGCTACCAGCCACATAAGGGAGCTGAGGGGCCATGATTTGGCATCAGGACAGTAGGGTGGTGGACAATGAATGTGGAAGGGTATGTAATTCAGCCCCAATGACACGGAATTCCTGCACTCCAGAGCCTGGGACATGGGATCTGGCAAAGGCTTAGAAGATGAGGTGCCTTAGGGACACCCAGAAACAGTGGAGGAGACAGTGGGCTGTCCACATCTGGAGGATGACTGAGGTGTCTGGGCTATAATGTCCTCTGCATCCCCAGAGAGGATGGGATTGTTCAGGGGAAGCTTGCAAAGTGGTTAGACACTTGGGACAGATTCCTTGAGCCCCTCTTCCTCAAATCTCTTCAGTCATGGCCATCCCTCTGTCTGCCCTTGTCCTCCTACCAGTCCAAGCCTCCCTGGGGCAGAGATGGGGCTTATACCTCCAGCATTGGGTAGCAGGAGGTTGGTCCAGTCAGTGCTCAGCATTGGATGCTCACATGGAGTTGTCTAAATTACATGATGGGGAGGCTTAAGGAAAATAAAATAGCAGGACCTCCAGCAGCCCTTCTGAAGTTGAGCTCAGTCCCACCGCACTGACTCCTCTGTCTCCTTTGTAGCTAGGTAAGCCCACCCTGTAATTGTCCCCACTAAACTGTTCAGGGCTGGGGCCCAACCAGACTCCTGTTGGGGTGTTCAGATGTGAGGTGGGGCCTGGCCCATGGGCACAGAGCATTTACCGAATGAGTGCCTAAGTGAAGGATGGTAGATGAGGGAGTGGGCAAGTAAGGGGTGCAAGAATGGTGGAATAAGTAAGAGTGATGGGGTGAAGGAGAGTGAGATTGGGGTGAAAAGTGGACAAATGGATGAGACAGTCTACACAGAGAGGGTGAGCGTGAGTGTGCACAGTTGAGTGTGTGAAAGAGAGAGGAAGGAAAGGGTTTGACACATCAGAGTGTGGAGCAGCCAGACTAAACCACCACCTCTTTCCCCTCCTCAGCTCCCTCACGCCGCAGCGATCTCCAGACCTTGGGGTACTGTGTGCTGAAGTGGCTTTATGGGTCCCTGCCATGGACCATCTGCCTTCCCAACACTGAGGATATCATGAAGCAGAAACAGAAGTGAGTCTGGGGGTCAGCAGAACCCAACACTGGCCCAGCACCCTCAAGTGTGAGGGAGCAGGAAGGACAGGGAGGTGGTATCCCACAGAGCCAAGGGACTCTACAGCCTCAGCTATGGGCTCCACAGCCATGCCAGCTGGGGTCCAGCTCAGGCCCCACTGCTGCAGGAGTTAGGTGAGCAGCTTGACTTCTGTGAGCCTCAGTGTTCTCTTTTGTGAGATGCTATTCAGTTAGCATCCTCGTCACATGGAGTCAGACACACAGCACTTAGCTCCAGTCCTTATGTTTGTCGAGTGCAGAGAACCATGGCTCAGTTATTCACAGACATGCAGGTTAGGCCCAGCACCAGTGCCCATGCTACAAGGATCACTCCTTCACCTTGCATGTAAAACCTCCAGATCCTGCCAGGTGAGCTCTCAACGTTCAGCACCAAGGACAGCAAGCAGCCACCACTGGGGAAGGGCTGCACTGGTGCTGCGTTTTCAGCACCAGGGACAGCTCTAGAGGAAGTGTTGGGACTGCTTAAGCATCTAAGAGTCAAGAGGGTTGGGCTTAAGGGAAGTGCTGTGCTGTGCTGTTCAGCACCAAGAACAGCGCACAGGTCCTGGGGGACCAGAGGTCAGATTGAGGATCTGATGTAGATTTGGAGGGTGACAGTTACCTGAGTTGTCCACAGCTGGAAAGTGAAGGCCAAAGGGAGACTCATTCCTTGGAGCTGTCAGGAATTGCCAGCTGCCTCCAGGAGAGGATGAGGTTGTCTGAGAAAATTCGTGCAGCAGGACGAGGGTGAATTTCCCAGCAAGCAGCAGCTTGCCGTCCCTGTTATTGTTGAACATCACTCTTATTTTATTTTCCCCCTGTATGTCTTCCATCTCCCTTCATTCCACCTGGACAGCCACTCAGACACACTTAGTATATGTTCCACTGACATGTTTGTCCCTTTAAAACTGTGAGCGGTACTGCTGTATGCTTCAAATAAATGACACCCTGCTCCAGTGCTCATCTGTTCATGGCTCTTTTCACTCAGTGCCACATTTTCAGGGTCATTCACATCTTTGCACATCACTGAGCTCATTGTTTCTGACTTCTGCTTCTAAATCAGTTTTCAACAGATGCATCTGTCTCCTTGAATGATATATGGTGGTTCTGGGTGTTTAGTTTGCATAAATGGTGCTGCAGGAGCCGCCCCCATCCACAGGGGACACAGCGATGCCTGAAACTGTGGCTAATACCATGCGCTATATAGACTATGTTTACTTCTGTGTCTACATGTCTATGGTAAAGATTAGTTTATAAATTAGGCGTGGTATGGGATTAGCAACAATAACACTAATAAATAGAATGATTATTACAATGTATAATAAAACTTACCTGTGAGTGTGGAGTCACACTTGCTCTCGCTTTCCCTGTCACATCGTATCTTGTTTGTACTCACTTTTCGTCTTACTGACCACAGTAACTGAAACCACAGAAAGCAAAACCACAGCTATGGGTGTGACTCAAGTGCAAGGCCCTAAATTCAAACCCCAATATTGCTACACACACACACACCTGTTAGGTTTCCTGTTGCACATGCTCAGAGGAAGGGATATGTCCCCCTCATGGATGGTGACCTGCTCCGAGCTCTGACCTGCTCATGGCTAACATTTATCATACACTTCTCTGTGCCGGGCACTGTACCCATCACTTCCCCATGCCATCCTCAGAACAGCCTGAGGTGAGTGCGCTTATGATCTGAGACACAGAGAACCCAGGTCATCAGCCCAGGCTCCACAGTTACTCAGCAAAAGCACTGGGACTCCAGAGATGGCCCCTTTCATCTCAGTGCTGTTTCCCAAGTGTGGGAGGCTTATCCTGAGTGGGCTGGTGGCACCTGGACTTAGCCTCCCTTTTCTCAACAAATACTGAATACCTGTTCTGTTCTAGGCCTGGGGATTCAGAAGCAAGTAAGACAGAAGTCCCCACCTTCAGGAGCTCATGTCCTCTACTAAGAGATCAAGGGTGCAGCACACAGTGTTTCAGAGATCAGGCTGGTGGGGGCCACGAGACACTCAGTCCCCTGAGTGTCCACCATCAGGATGGCTGGACTATAGCTTTGTGTCCAGGGTGGGTTCACAGCAAGATGACAAGTGAATGGGCACCTGAGGGGGAGTGAGACTTTAAATAGCAAGGCACCAGTGTGCCCTTATCATCTCTCTTGTTTTTGTTTTTGGCAATACTGGGGCTTGAATTCAGGGACTTGCACTTGCTAGGCAGGTACTCTACCCCTTGAGCCACTCCATCGACCCTGTTTTGTGAGATAGCATCTTATGAACTATTTGCTCAACGCTGGTTTCAAACTGTGATCCTCCTGATCTCTGCTTCCTACGTATCTAGGATTACAGGCGTGGGGCTCTGGAGCCCAGCATCCCTTAGCATCTTAAAGAAAGGACAGAGACAGGCTGAATAAGACCCTCAGTTCCACAAGTAACCTCAGCCTCAGAACCTGCTAGAACACAAGGCCATTGCCCTGTGTTCTTGGAACTTGTTTTCACTGTTATGTTCTAGTTAGAACATACTGTGCTGGTTTCCCACTCACAGAAGGGGAAAGGTTTCTTTTGAAATGAAGCCAGGCAGTCACAGAAGTCGTAGCAAAGATGGAGTTAGCATGCAGCCTGGAGGCTAAAGCATTGTGTGTGGCTGCAGTCTGTGACATGCCCCTTTATGTGCTTCTGTGACGTTGTCAGGGACAGGCTAAGCTGCTGTCACAGGGAGACCCCAAAACACTGCAACTTAAGCAAGGTAGGAGGTGGTTTCTCTTTCAAGAATGTTGGACACCCTCAACCCCCTTCAACATGCATACATCTTTCTCTGGGAAGTAGAGATGAGAAGGATCTTTGTTTGAGGCCAGCCCAGGCAAAAGTGTGAGATCCTATTCTGAAAAATACTAAAAGCAAAGGACTGAGGATGTAGTTCAAGTGGTGAGTCCCTGCTTAGCAAGCAGGAGGCCCTGGGTTCAATCCTCAGCACCACACACACACACACACAAAGAACACTCAGATTAGCACCTTCCCTGTAGGTGAATATGCTGTGCTGCACAGAGAGGCTCTCGCTCACCACCATGGTGTAAATAAAATAGGTCACAGCAATCATTTTACTAGCAACATCAGTTCCTGCCCACAACGATAGAGGGCACCACTGAGCAGAGGTGATGTGATGTTGATGCTGTCCCAGTTCCACCATCCTGGTGGGGACCCGGTGTAGTAACCAAAAGGACCATGGGGGCGATGTTGTGACATGTTTTCTGGCACGCTACCATGTCCTCCTCCAGGACCATTCACTGGCGTATGTGGCTAAATAAGTATTTATTAATTTCTTATACATGATCGGATAGATAGACGAATGAATCAGTGAATGAATAAAGAAGAGAAGATAGAGTTTGATTCCCATAGGCTTTGCTGGGCAAAGCACAATGTTGAATGGGATTTGGCCCTGCTCAGACAGCTGCCCAGCTGAATAAGGAGCTCATGGAAACACATTGATGTTGTTTAACCAGAACTCTAATAACCCTGTCCTAATTGCTCGTAACCTGTCCTAATGCAGGCCAGAGGACCAACTCTGGGGCTTCCCACATGTCAGTTGCCTGCCACTTGCCCCAAAGAAAGCAAACAAGTGAGGGTGGAAAGGCAGGAAGGGCTTTCACTCTATACGGCCATTTGGGGAAGACAGAACGTGAGCGAGCCCGCCCATCCTCGGGGTGCAGGTGTGAACTTCAGGTTTAAGTAGAGAAGAATTGGGGCAGGGGAGAGGTCTTCGTAATTAAGCAGCCTTCATCACAGTGTGGCCTGTCAGTCATTATCTCAGTCCCAGTTCCACAAGGTGACCCCACAGAAGTCCTGTCACTTGGGGACATCTGGTTCCCATGAGATGACTGCCCCTGTTGGGGGTGATCTCATCATGGGACCATCTATGTGTGAGCCTCTGCTCTTGCTGGATTCCAGGGTGACTGTAAGTTTAGGACAGTAACTGGAGACTTGCAGGACCCTCTTGGGGTCTGGAAAGGACGTTATAAAAGCCAATAGTGATATGCCTCAATTACTCTGCACCTTTAGCCTTGAAGAGGGGTGGGGCAGGCCAGGTATCACAGGTTTTAGACAGACACCCCTGAGTAACATGCCCCCTTGCAGAGTGAAGCAGGAGTCTCACCCAAAGTAAGGAAACATACAAAATGAAGACAGAACCTATAATCTCAGCACTTGGAAGGCAGAGTAAGGAAGATCTTGAGTTCAAGGCCAGCCCAGGCAAAGTTAGCAAGACCCTGTTTCAAAAACAAAATACAAAAAAGAGGGCTGGGGCTCAAGTGGTAGAAGGAAGGGAGGGAGGAAGGGAGGGAAGGAAGGAGGAAGGAAGGATTGCTTCTCTTTTTTTGTTGTTGTTTTCCTTTTTAAGACAGGATCCCGCTATATAGCTCAGACTAGCCTTGAACTCACAATCCTCCTGCCTCAGCCTCCCATGTGCTGCAATTACAGGTGTACACTACCACACCTGGCTACAGTTGATCCTCATTTATTCAAACATTTCATATGTGAATCCCCCACTTGCTAAAAATATCTATAACCACAAAATAAATTCTCTCTCTCTCTCTCCCTCTTCCTCTCCCTCTCTCTTTGCAGTACTAGGGTTTGAAATCAGGTCCTCAAACCTGCTAGGCAGGCCCTCTATCACTTGAACCATGCCCCTAGCCCATAAAATCAATTCTTTTTTTTTTTTTTTTTTTTTTTTGGCAGCACTGGGGTTTGAACTCATGGTCTCACACTTGCTAGGCAGGTGCTCTACCACTTGAGCCACTCCACCTGCACAAAATCAATTCTTGAAATGCTTTTGTGGTCACTTCTAAACACAAACATGGCAGAAAAGAATTTGAGTCCCCTGACACTGGGCTGAGGGTGAAACTAGGCTACCTTCTACTTCCTTGTTCGGCTCCTATACTGCAATCAGTGCCCCTTTCACTAACTTAGTGATACATTTTCCCCATTTTTTTGCTCTGGCAGTGATGTCACTATCTGAAATGACCACACAGCATAATACTCACATGCTAGTTAAGGAGCCTAAGCACAAAAGTTGTCACAACCAGTGTTGAGAGCTTTGTGCAGTCATGAGGTCAAGTGCTGTTGCTATGAGTTTAATGCTAGTGAATCAACAATATTTAAGGTATCTTCCAAGCTGGGCATGGTGGTGTACACCTGTAATCTTAGCTTCTCAGGAAGTGGAGGCAGGAGGACTGAGGTTTGAAACAGCCCAACCCACACACACACACACACACACACACACACACACAAAATGACTGGCAGAGTGGCTCAAGTGGTAGAGCACCTACCCAGCAAGCATGAGGTTCTGAGTTCAAGCCCTAGCACTATTGCCAAAACAAAAAAGCTGGGTGCTGGTGGCTCACGCCTGTAATCCTAGCTACTCAGGAGGCAGAATCAGGAGGATCATGGTTCAAAGCCAGCCCAGGCAAATAGTACAAAAGACCCTATCTTGAAAAAACCCATTACAAAAAAGGATTGATGGAGTGGCTCAAGGTAAAGGCCCTGAGTTCAAGCCCCAGTACCACAAAAAAAAAAAAAAAGAAAAGCAGAAACAAAAAAGTAAGATGTCTCCCAACAGAAGCATATACCACGCAGTTGTGGGCTAAAGGCATAGTTCAGTGGTAGAGCAGGTGCTTAGCGTGTGCAAAACTCAAGATTTGATATTTGACCCCCAGCCAAAAAGAAAAAACAAGACAAAGAATGAGGTCATATATTGATTGTTTAATGAAAATGTTGTTACCAGAGGCTTAACCCTCAGAAGCCTGGTTCTGGATCCACTAATTGAGAATTCACAGTGCCTTTAAAGACCATAACTACTTAGATCACATGCCTAGCAGGCACAAAGCCCTGAGTTCAAACCACAGTACTGCCAAAAGAAAAAAAAAAAAAGACCATAAATGCCACCAATAACAAGAATCAACTGTGGACATGCACATGACCGCGCGCGCGCGCACACACACACACAGCATTTCATTTTTAAAAATTGCTCTCCTCCTCCCCCTGAAAGACCTTTTACATGTGCTTTGTCCCTTCAGGTATCTGGACAACCCTGAGCCCCTCGTGGGACTATGTGGTCGCTGGATCAGGCCCTCAGGTACAGCCTGAAGGGGAGAAGGGGACAGGTGGGGACTGGATGGGTCCAGGTGGCTTACAAATATCTTGGGCTCTCTCTCTCTCTCTCTTTCTCTCTCTCTCTCTCCTGTATCTTTTCAGGGTCTTGCTATGTAGCCAAGGGTGGCCTTCGACTTGCAGTCCTCTTGCCTTAGCCTCTTCAGTGCTGGGATTACAAGTGTAGGCCACCACACCTGGCCTTTTCTGCTCTTCTTATCAAATAACTCAGGCTAGTGCAGCCTCTGGCAGCTCCCCTGGGGCTGGTTCAAGTGGCTCCTCACTCTCCCACATGGTGTTGGCTTTGGCTTGTCACTGGTGGGGCTGACTCATCTCTGCTGTGCAGGGTCCTGCATCCCCCAGTGTGTGGATCTGGTTTCTGCTTGGGTGGTCTCAGGGCTGCTTTCCAAGAGGACACAAATTGGAGCTGCATGGTGGGGGAGTTCCCGGCCATCACTTCTGACACATTCTCTGAATCAAAACAAGGGACAAGACCAGCCCAGACTTAGGACATGACTACAGGTTCTAAGAGCATGGTCCAGCCCACCCAAGGCCGGCCATCTGAGCATAGGAGCAGCTGTGGAGGTGGCCTCTGCACCTGATGTCCACACTAGGTTGGCAGTTATTTTCCTATATATTTTGAAAACATAGATTTAAAAAAAAAACACGACAGGTGTGTTTTTTTACCTCTAATCCCAGCAGTCAAAAGGCCAAGGAAGAAAGATCTAAGTTTGAGGCCAGCCTGGGCCTCATACTGAGGCCTTGGCTCCCAAAAAACAACAAAGGAAAATAAATACATGAACACATAATTGTATTCTGCAAAACGAGTTTTTGTGTTGTTTTGTTGCACCGGGGTTTGAACTCAGGACTTTCTAGGCAGGTGCTCTACCACGTGAGCCACACCCCCATCCCTTTTATGCTTTAGTTATTTTTCAGATAGGATCTCACATTTTTGCCCAGGGCTGGCCTTGGACCATGACCCTCCTAACTCTGTCTCCTGAGTAGCTGGGATGACAAGACCGTGCACCACCACACCCAGCTTTTTTGTTGAGATGAAGTCTTGATAACTTTCTGTTTGAACTTGCTTTGAACCACAATCATCCTCATCTCCACCTCCTGCGTAGCTAGGATTAAAGGCATGAGCCACCACACCTGGTCAGAGTTTTGGTTTTATGAACAAAAAGCGGACTCACCTTAAGCCATCCTAGACAGTCTTCTTTTCTCACTTGACCTTGGGACTGGCCTTCCGTGTCCTTACACACACACCACAGCATCTTTTGACAGCTGTGCTGTATTGGTTGAGTTAAACCGTGGTTTGTAAAGTCAGTGTCTGTGATTGCACATTTAGGTTGTTTTTAGCTTAGTTTGTTCGTTTGGCAATGCCCTTCTGAACAGCTTCTGGCTCTTGAAGCTGAAGGCAGAAACAGACAAAAACAAACGGGTATTCCTCTGTGCACAGAGGAAGCACCCCTGGGCCCTGAGGTCCCTGCCCAGCCCCTCTGGGCACAGCCCTAAGCTCTGGGTTGAGGCCTCTGTCAGTCCTCTCTGTATTGGCCGTGTCTTCACAGAGACCCTGCAGGAGTACCTGAAGGTGGTGATGGCCCTCAAGTATGAGGAGAAACCGCCCTATGCCCTGCTGAGGATGAACCTCGAAGCCCTGCTGCAGGATCTGCGGGCATCAGCCTATGACCCCCTTGACCTCCAGATGGTGCCCTAGGTGGAATCCAGGTGGGGAGAATTTGTGCATCTTACCCCTCCCTCGCCCCGTTCCTGCCCTTGCCTGACCAAGGCTGCAAAGAAGCACTTTGTAGGTGTGGTTGGGTTTTCCCCAGAGCCAGCTCCTAGCTCCCAGCACATTCTGAATTTCTCCAGGGCTGTGAACTTTCCAAGCTCAAGAGGGAGGGCAAGTAACCACTAAACTTGGCTATAAGGGAAAGGTGATGGCTGGTCCTTGGTGACTAGAAAATTCTAAAGGGAGAGCTGTAGACATGACTGCATTTCAGGCTGTGAAAGAACCATGGAGGCATGCATTTCCTTCCCTACCCACCTTCTCTGTCCCCATGGCACTCATTCATCCCTCTCTCCCTCTGTCCCACCCCCCACCACATACACAGCTATACTCTGCTTTCTTTGGGGATGGATCCCTTTGTCCTTGCCATATACAAAAATTTGCTGCCTCTGTGCCCTGTGCCACCCCTGGCTCTTTTCCCTTCTCAGTATTTAACAGTTCTTCCTCATCAGGACATAACATCCACACTCTTGACAGCAGCACAATACAGGTGGCCCTCTGTAGCCCAGGTTTCTATATCTGTGGATTCAACCAACCATGGATCAAAAATGTCTTTAAAAATATTTCTAAAAATATTCTAGGGCTAGTGGAATAACCTAGCAAGCATGAGGTGGTGCAAACCCCAGTACTGTCAATATAATAATAATAATAATAAGCATTCTATCTATTCTGAGCACAGACAGACGTTTGCTCGTCATTATTCGATAAGCAGTGTGGTTGCTTAGCATTCACGTTGCATTAGGTTTCCTAAGTCCTCCAGACCCGATTTAAACTATGTGGGAGGGCTGGAGGTGTAGCTCAAGTCGTAGCCCACCTGCTTAGCAAGCACAAGACCTTGAGTTCAACCCAAAAATAAAAGTAAAGTATATGGAAATGTTCGTGGATTGGAAGAACTAATATTTTTTAAGTAGCTGTACTACCCAAAGCAATCTGCAAATGCAATGTAATTCCCATGAAAATACCTTCTTCATAGAACTAGAAAAGCAATGCTGACACTCATATAGAGGTAAAGAGACCCTGAAGAGCTGGACACCACTGGCTTACGCCTGTAATCCTAGCTACTCAGGAGGCAAGGATCAGGAGGATCAAAGTTTAAAGCCAGCCCAAGCAAATAGTTCGAGAGACCCTATCTCAAAAATACCCAACACAAAACAGGGCTGGCAGAGTGGCTCAAGCCTGCCTAGCAAGAATGAGGCCCTGATTCAAACCCCAGTATTACCAAAAAAAAAAAAAAAGAGAGAGCGAGAGAGAGAAAGCAATACAGGAGGTATGAAGATACGTGACATCCAGTCATCCTACAGAGCCCTAGTAACATGAACAGCATGGCACTGGCAAAAACCAGATAATAGATTAGTAGAAGGAAATAGAGAAGTCAGAAGTAAATCCATGTATCCTTAGATAACTTATTCTTGATAAAGATGCCCAAAACATACAATGGAGACAAGACAGCCCTTTCAACAAATGGCTGGGAAAACTGGATATCCACATGTAGAAGACTGAAACTAGACTCCTATGTCTCAGCTGTGCAAAATCAACTCAAAATGGATCAAAGGCTCCCAGCACTGGTGGCTCATACCTATAATCCCAGCTACTCAGGAGGCAGAGATCAGGAAGATGGAGGTTGGAAGCCAACCCAGACAAATTGTTCTTGAGACAAAAAAGGCAGAGTGGAGCCAGGCACCAGTGTCTCACACCTGGAATCCTAGATACTCAGGAGGCAGAGATCAGGAGGATCATGGTTCAAAGTCAGCTCAGGCAAATAGTTTCATGAGACCTGTCTCAACAAAACCCATCACAAAAAAGGGCTGATGGAGTGGCTGAAGATGTAGGCCTTGAATTCAAACCCCAGCACGGCAAAAAAAAAAAAAAAAGGGGGGGGTGGTGGGCAGAGTGGCTCAAGTGGTAGAGCATCTGCCTAGCAAGTGTAAGGCTCTGAGTTCAAACTCTAGTACAACCAAAAACAAAAAGGTAGGGAGGATGGTAGAACAGTACCCATTCTGTGTATGAAAGACACTACACCACCCATGGCTGGACACTTGCTCTTGTTTTTGTTTTACAAACATTTCCTTGAGAACCTGTGGGCACAGCCAAGCTGCTTGTTCATGTCCAGCAGTTTTCTTTCCCTTCCTTCCCTCCTTCCTTCCTCCTTCCCCATCTCTCCCCCCCTCCCCCTCCCTCCTCCCTCCCTCCCTCCTTCCTCCCATTTGAACTTACAGCCTTGTGCTTGCTAAGCACAGTTTTTCCCCCACCAGCCTTGGTCTAAGTTCATCCCACCTCTGCCTCCTGTGCATATGTATAACCACGGCCCAGCTTGTTTGTTGTGGGATCTTGCTAACTTTTCACCCAGGCCAACCTCTGGATCTTTGCCTCTCTAGTAGCTGGGATTACAGGCGTGAGTCACTGGGCCCTGGCCCTGAGTTATCAATCTGCAATGACAAGGAAACTGCTGTTCATCAAAGCTGTGATGTGAGACCAGGCAGTTTTGGGAGTGCTGAAAATAACTTCACACTTAACAGCTAGTGGCCGCTGAGTGAGGGCTGTGCCAGAGGAGGAGTTTCCTGGGCCCTGGTCGCTCATGTGATTGGCTGGAATCCAAGCTCAGTGTTTGTCTAACTCAGCCTCCCTCCAGCATTTGGCAGCATCTGGAGACCCTCACCTCTGCTTTAAGGCTGGCTTGGCTGACCACCCTTCTCCCCTGGCCCCAGTCAGTCCCCTGTGTGCCAGCCATATCATCCAGGGGAAGGAGTTTTGCCCCTACCATTTCCAAGGGCCTGGAGTGCTGTTCCCCCTCACTGTACCCACATGTTCCCTGGTGATTCTGAGGGCTTCTGCTGCATGGCCCCTCACCAAGAAGAGACAACAGCCCAGGATTTGCAGTGTCTCCATGCCCTCTCCTCTCAATTGTAAGCCTCCAGGATGCATGTCCTGCTCGTGGCTGTGTCCCCAGGTCCCAGTAGAGGCCTAGCATAAAGCAGGGGTACAAAGGTGTTCCCTGAATGAATTCAAGACACAAATAGTCATTTTTATTTTTATTTATTTATTTTTTTTATTGAACTCTTTTTTTTTTATTCATATTTGCATACAATGCTTGGGTCATTTCTCCCCCCTTCCCCCACCCCCTCCCTTATACCCCTGGCCCCTCCCTCTCCCGCCCACCCCCTTTCCTTGCTACCTGGCAGAAACTAATTTGCCCTTATCTCTAACTTTGTTGAAGAGAGAGTATCTAATAGTCATTTTTATTATTTTCCAGGACTTTCAACTTGCAGCTTGAAGTAGAGAAAAAAAAGTGAAGTAATGTGATTTGAGGCCTGCTTTTAATCAGATAATCTTCTAGAAAAATCCCTTGAATGTGTATTCCTAGCATTTCTTTACACCACACCCGTGAGCCTGTTGAATGCCAGGGGGCCAGAGTCGCCCTCCACATAATGTGAATCCCGTCCTTTCCCGTCGTCTCCAGCAGCCAGTGGGGTTGCGGGTGAAGAAGACCCCAGAGGTGGGCCGCTCAATAGGGCCCTCCTACCACTGGCTCCTCTATGATTTCGTAATAAATTGTTTTTCAGGTCTGCAAAAGTTCTTTTTGAAAAAGTTTAGCTCTTCTTTTTCCTATTCATCCATCCCTTCAACCTTTCATCAGTCATTGTCTTTCATTCCTTTCTTCTAACTTTTGCTGAGTGCAGTGGCACACACCTCCCAGCTGCGCAGGAGGCTGAGGTTGGAGAATCACTTGAACCAAAGGGTTCAAGACCAGCCTGAGCAATATAATGAGGCTCCATTTAAACAGACAATGAAACAAATACTTCTGAATGCACTTTTCAGTTTCATGAAGACATTTATCCGTCTATCTGGTCTTCCCTTGTCCATCCATCCACCCTCCAACCTCCAACCCTTTTAGCCATCCATCCACCATCCTTCCACCCCCTTCATCCATGCATTGTCCACCCATCTGTCCATCCCTTATCTTTCAATCTTTTTTTTTTTTCGAAGTACTGGGGCTTGAACTCAGGGCCTATACTTTGAGCCACTCCACCAGCCCTTTTTTCTGATGGTTTTTTTCAAGATGGGGTCTCACTAACTGTTTGTTCCAGCTGGCTTTGAACTGTGATCCTCCTGATCTCTGCCTCCTGAGTAGGTAAGATTATAGGCGTGAGCCACTGGTGCCCGGCTCCCTTCAGTCTTTTATCAGTCCATCCACTCATTCATTCCCCTGTGCAGGCTTTTTTTCACTTTGGTGGTACTGGGGTTTGAACTCAGGGACTTGGACTTGCTACACAGGTGCTCTACCAATTGAGCTTGCCCATGGGGCACCTATGCAGACTTTCATGCACACATCCAACTATCCATTCTTCACTTATCCATCCGTCCACCCACCCTCCCAGCTGCCCTTTCGTGCTTCTATTTAGCCATCCTTTCATCTTTCCATTCGTTTGCCACACATTCTTCCATTCCCTTCCTTTCTTCCTTACATTCACTCTTCTCTTTGCTCAACAAGTACCAGGTGTTTTATGGTAATCACTTTTTCATCACTATACCAGTGACAGAGCTAGGCTGCTTTATAAAGAAAAGAGGGTTATTTAGCTCACACTTCTGGAGGCTCCAGGGCATGACACCGTGTCACCTCATTCTGGTGAGCACATTCTAGTGGATGAATCCACAATGGTGGGAACATGCTGGAAAGGGCCAGATCACATCATTTTTTTAAAAAAAAGGAAACCACAGTCGGGCACCAATGGCTCACGGCTGTAATCGTAACTACTTGGGAGGATCAAAGTTTGAGGTCAACCCAGACAAATGGTTCTGAGACCCCATCTCCAAAAAAAAAAAAAAAACCAGAGCAAAGTGGCCTGGAGGTGTGGCTCAAGCGGTAGAACTCAACTCAAAGCCCCAAGTTCAAACGAAGTCCCACCAAAAAAAAAAGAAACCATAGGGGTCAAGGTCCGAGCTTTTTTTTTTTTTTTGTTTTTTTTTTTTTTTTTTTTTTTTTTTTTTCTTTTTTTTTTTTTTCTTTTTTTTTTTTCTTTCTTTTTTTTTTTTTTTTTTTTTTTTTTTTTTTTTTTTTTTTTTTTTTTTTTTTTTTTTTTTTTTTTTTTTTTTTTTTTTTTTTTTTTTTTTTTTTTTTTTTTTTTTTTTTTTTAATTCCTTTTTTTTATCCTGTTAATTTTTGGGTTTTTTTCTTTTTTTTTTTTTTTTTCTTTTTTTTTTTCTTTTTTTTTTTTCTTTTTTTTTTCTCCTAAATTTACTCATGTTGAAAGAACTAACTAAGGAGTCCACTAGAACCACCTCAATCCCTTCCCAGGGCCCAGGCCCACCTCCGATGACCTAAGACCTCACTTAGCATCAGCACAGAGGACCCTTAGGGACACTCAAGCCACATCCAAACTATCCCATGTCTGCAGGGCAGGGGCTCCACGCAGCCTAGAGCATGCAAGTGGGCGAGATGCATCCGTGCTTGAGCTGAGGACACTGTGAAAGGAGTGCTAATTAGGGCTGCAGTGTTACTCAAGTTGTAGAGCGCCTGCCTAGCAAGCATGAGGTCCTGAGTTCAAACCTTGGTACTGCCAAAAGGAGAGAGAGACAGCATTCAAATGAGACGGCCTCAGACTGTGATAAGCACTCTAATGACAAAAGCAGCAGAATGAAATTGTGCTGTTGGCACAAAAAAAGGCAGAGCTGGAGAGCATCATATTGAGTAAAATAAGCCAGGCCAGAAAGGCAAATCCTGGGCAGGTTAAGGAAAAGTAATGTAGACAGGTGATTTGATCAAATACACACATGTTGGAAACGTCACATGAAGCCCTTTGTACAATTTATGCTAGTAAAAAATTAAATTTGAGAATGAAAAGATAAGTCCTACATATTTTCTCTCATATGAGGAATCTAGATCTACTAAAAAAGAAAAAGAGGGTGTGAACATAAAAAGGCTGTGGGGAAGGGAAGAGAGCAGAGTGTGGTAGAAGGACATCGTATGTGCACTTGGACAAGTTCACAATGAAACCCTTTTCTCTGGTGGTGCTGGGGTTTGAACTCAGGGCCTCCACCAGCCCTTTTTGTTGAAGGATTTTTGGAGATAGGATCTCGCAAACTTTTTGCCTGGGCTGGCTTCAAACTCCAATCCTCCTGATCTTGGCCTCCTTAATAGCTGGGATTACAGGTGTGAGCCACGGTGCCTGGTTTCTTGGAAGGCCTTTACTTCTCCCTGGATTTTGAAGGGTAACCCTGCTGGCAATAACAATCTTGTTTAGCAGTTATTTTCTTTCCACATCCTCCTGGCCTTCCATATTTCTGCTGAGAAATTCTAAATCTGTTGTCTCATGGGTTTGCCTCTAAATCTTGACTTGGTGCTTCTCTCTTACAGATTTTAATAGTCTCTCTTTGCTTTGAACTTTTGGCACTTTAACTATCATACATTGTGGAGAGGTTCTTTACTGGTCATGTCTATTTGGGGTTCTAAATGCTTCCTGTACCTGCATGTCCGTGTCTCTTCCAAGACTTGGGCAATTTTCTGCTATTCATAGGTTTTCTGTGAGTTTAATTCAAATTGGATGTCATAGTATAACCTTACTGTTCCCTTTGTGGCTGTGATTAGTGAGTTTTGAAGTAATTCACCATACCAGAGTATAAAGGACCCCCACTTTCTTTGCAAGTCTTTCAAGAGTTGTGTCCATGCTGGGCACCAGTTGCCCACATCTGTAATCCTAGCTACTCGGGAGGCAGAGATCAGGAAGATTGAGGTTTGAAGCCATCCTGGGCAAAATAGCTGTCAAGACCCTATCTTGAAAAAAACTTTTCACAAAAAAGGACTGGTGGAGTGGTTCAAGGTGAAGGTCCTGAGTTCAAGCTCCAGTACCGAAACAACAACGACAAAAGAGTGGTGTTCTTCTGGCAATTCAGGCAGCTGTGGTGCAGACAGCAGAGGATGTGGGGTACAGCCTCTGTGATTACTTCTACAATGAGGGTAGAAGTCCTGCCAGGGTAGAGGTTTCTGTGGGCACTGTTGATGTGGGTTCTGTCACTTGAGAGCCGAGCCAGTCTGGTACTGGCTTTTCCAATCATGGTGAAGGGCATGAACCGTTACCGTCCAATTAGACACTGGTGCAGTTTCTGGCATGTCACTAGAGAGGCTCCCACAGGAACATAGCTCCCCTAGTGTGAGCTCACATCCATCCTGCCAGTGACATGCAGTCTGATGGTGTGGGATCACCATGCTGAGGACCCCCATAGGTGGTGTCCACAAGGTGTATGCTTTCTCTCTGCTGATAATCTGGAGGTGACTTCCAGCAGCAGGACATCAGACCCCACCTAGCTGTGCCCACTAGAGGACAGTTGTCAGCTGGGGGCTTTTGTCCCTCCTTTTTTTTTTTTCCAGGACTAGGGTTTGAACTCAGGGCTTTGCACTTGCAAAGCAGGCATTCCACTGCTTGAGCCACTCTTCCAGTCCATTTTGCTTTGGGCACTTTGGAGATAGGGTCTTGTCACCTATTTGTCCCCTATGGCTTTGAACCTTGATCCTCTTGAGCCATTGGCGACCACCCCCCTTCTATTCCTTAAGTTAAATAACCACCAAGTTCAAGATGGACTAGGTCAAGGCTTGAACTAGATGTAGTTCTGTCAGTGGAGCTAAGTGATGCAGCACCTACCCAACATGCCCGAGGTCCTGGGCTCAACCCCCAGTACCTCTCAAAAAAGAAAGAATCAAAGATTAAAAACAAAACAACAGAAAGAAAGAGGGGGATATAGAATAAACTAAAAAATTAAAAAAAATAAAAAGTGGGCTAGGTACCAATGGCTCACGCCTGTAATCCTAGCTACTCAGGAGGCAGAGATTGTGGTTCAAAGCCAGCCTGGCCAAATAGTTCAAGAGACCCTATCTTGAAAAATCCCATCACAAAAAAGGGCTGGTGGAGTGGCTCAAGGTGAAGGTCCTGAGTTCAAACCCCAGTACCGAAAAAAAAAAAAGTGGGCCTAATGGTGCACGGCTATAATCCTGGAGGCCACCCTGAGCCACACAGCGAATTCAAGGCCACATTGAGCTACAAATGAGACTCTCATGCTGGGGTGGGTGGGGACGTGGCTCACTGGTAGAACGCTTGCCTAGCAAAGGAAAGCTCTGAGTTCTATCCCCAGCACATACACACACAGAGAGAGGAGAGAGAGAAGAGAGAGAGAGAGACCCTCAGTGGGTGAAACTGTCTTGGGTCCAGAGACAGGGAAACGCCAAGGGTCTGACCCCCACAAACACACAGCAGTAAACTCAGGCCATATATAGCACTCTTCTCAAAATTGCTCCTGGGGCTAGAATATGCCGGAAGTGCCCCGAACTGCGAATCAGATCCCAAGCCTCTTACCTGCTTAGATTATGTGTGGCAAGGTGCTCAGCACCACCTAAGTGCAGCTCCCTGAGACCTTCCTTAGGCCACAAGGGGGCGCCCCTCCTCCCCGCCATGGTGCTGCTGTTTGTCTTTGTCCATTGCCCAAAATCACTGGGCTTCTCCAGGGCTCTCCTCTCCACTGTTCAATCCCAGCGCTCTCCCATGGCCGTCCTCCTCAAGAGCAGCTACACACCCGCTTTGTTTCTGTCGCATAAACAAAATAAAATGAGTGCTGAGCACCTCTAATCCACCATCTTGGATCTCCTTGTTCATTTTAGAACAACCCACTCTCTAGGGAGCTAATCTACTCCTATGGGATCAGCATTAATCCCTGCTGAGCGTAGGGCTAACCACCTCAATGTCACACTGCGGACCAAGCTGCCAACACATGAACCTCTGCGGGAAATACACCACACCAAACCCGTAGTAAAAATGCTCCTAAGATTCTTTTAGTTCTGGGGTTTGAACTTGAACTAGGGACCTCGTGCTTGTTAGATAGGCACACTACCACTTGAGCCACATCCTCAGCACCCAAAATTCTTTTTTTCTTTTTGTGGGACTGGGATTCTAACTTAGGGCTTCACACTCGTAAAGCAGGTGCTCTATCGCTTGAGCCATACGGTTAGTCCATTTTGCTCTGGTTATTTTTCTCTTTTTTTATTTGGCACTGGTTATTTTGGAGATAGGGTCTTCAGGACTATTTGCCTGAGCTGGCCTCAATCCTTGATCTTCCCAATCTCAGCCTCCAAGTAGCTAAGATTACAGGCATGAGCCACTGGTGCCCAGCCAAAATTGTTGACTTTTAAAATAATCCATAGAAATGATGGAGGGGATGAATTCAACCCTGATATATTGTGAGAACTTTGATAAATGTCACAATGTACTCCCAAGTACAACAGTTAAAAAATGATAATAAAATAATCCATGGAGTACAACCTATTTTATTTATGGTTTCCAGTAGTTGTTTAGCAATAGGATTATGCAAATTTTAAAAACAGCAAACAGGGCTGAGGGCATGGCCCCAGTAGTAGAGCACCTGCTTAGCAAGTGTGAGGCCCCAAGTTCAAATCCCAATGCTGCTAAAAAAAAAAGTGACAAGAACAGCAGTGCTGAGCCCTCCCTTGCTTAGAAGAATGTGTTGAGGTGCTAGAGAAAGACTGGTGGAAAATGTACCCCTTTAATCGTCAAGGCTCTCCTTCAGACATTTTTTAAGAGAAAGACATTCTCAAGTTTTTCAAACGCATAATTCTTGCAGCCTTGATACTTTTTTAATATAAATGTTGCTTAATACTCTAGCAGAATGGGAACAAGGCACATCAAATGTCCTGTTCAAAAGGGAACAAGCCGGTGCGGTGGCTCATGCCTGGAATCCTAGCTCCTCAGGAGGCAGAGATCAAGAGGATTGAGGTTCAAAGCCAGCCCAGCCAAACAGTCCACAAGACCCCATCTCGAAAACACCCATCACACAAAAAAAGGGCCCTACCTACCTACCTAGTACCAAAAAAAAAAGGAACAAGCAGGGCAGGGTGGCATACGCCTGGAAATACCAGCTATGCCAGAAGCAGACATGGGAGAGTCATGCATGGTTCAAGCCCAGTCCAGGCAAAAAAAAAAAAAAGTTAGCAAGACTCTTAAAAAAAAAAAAAATGCTGGTTTTAGCAGTGCACACCTGCAATTCCAACTACTCCTGAGGTAGAAGCAGAAGGATCCAGGTCCACGGCCCGTCCCTGAAAAAAGAAAGCAACCTACCTGAAAAAGAAGGCAGAAAGAGCTTGGAGGCATGGCTCAGGAGTTCCTGCCTAGTCCTAACTTCAAACACCCGGTACCTCAAAAGAGGAACAGCCATTGAGGAACTGGGAAGCCAGTTTTGACTGCACAAGTGGGTTTAAAGAGTACTCATCAGCATTATCAATTTATGGCAGGACATACTGCCAGTGCTGACAGCGGTGGCTTTTCACTCATGAATATTCTGGGGGGGGGAGGGGGAGAAGTAGTTGGATGTGACCAGCAAAAAAACCGCAGGACGATGTGAACGGAACAGGCACTGCAATTCTCTAGACGCAAAACCTGCAAAAAGAGAAGCCTGGAGAGAAGGAACAGGAACTGGAGAAGGAGCCTTTAATTAAACACACCAGGAAGGGCGGCGCGCCGCGCGCAGGTTCAGGACGCCGTGGGGAGGCTGAGGCTGGCTGGGGCTGTGCAGGAGGCCGGGGCGAGGTGGCGCCCGGCGTCGGCCCCCAGCAGGGGGAGCCCTGCTTGGCACCCCGATTGACCCGGGAGAAGGGGAGGTGACAGGGGCTCCGCGTGCTTCATTTATGATCGCCACTCCTTTCGGACCCCACAACAGCCTACTGTTAGGACTGCTCGGTGCCTGGCAAAGCGGAGGACAGCGAGCGGTGACTCTGGCTCTTAGTGGGCGACGGGCACCACGGCAGCAAGAGGGGGACGGCTCCGTCCCCTAAGCTACTTCAGCATCTCGTTGCCTCGGAGAATGGCTGACACAGGACCGGTCCCTGGCGTCTCCCGGGACTCCCGTCACTTGCGGATCTTGAGCTCCGCGTACTCGGTGGCGTGGCGTCCTCGGGGTCCTGGGCCTCGCGCGGCCTCAGTCCGCGGAAACTGAGCGAGGCGTAATGGAGCTCGAGCTCCTCCACCGCGGGGGGCGGGGCCCGTGCCGGGGGCGGGGCCTCCGGGGGGCTGTCTGACCCGGATGTATTCCGATGGCCTTGCTGGGGAGAGGAGGGGGGAAGAGGATAATGGGAACTGGGCGGGAGCTTGGCCCATCCCTAGCAAACCTGGAAACTGCACGGAGTCCTTGGTCCGTTCTTTTCCGCACTTTTCCCTCGCTCATTCGCATTCATCTACATTCAACAAGTACTTGACAGTTGATAATGCCAGGCTCCTAAAATCTCCATAAGAACCATCAGGGAGACACAGTATCCCCATTTACCAGATGAAGAAACTGAGGCTTTGGTCACTACCCTCAAACCACACATATCTCATTAGTGGTCAGAACCAGATTTATGTCCAGGCCTCTCTCGGACTTCAGCCCCCAGCTGCCCTGTGGAAAAGCCCCCAGCGCTGGTCCCTGGATACTCAGTGGGGGACAGAGCAGACACCATCACTGACCTCAGGTGCCTTGCCATGTACAAGGACAAACAGGCACTAGAGTGGTAGTCAGTGAAGTTACTATCTAATAGGAGATTGTGAAAGGATGCACAAGAATGGATTTGGGCAGAGCGCCAAGCCATGTCCACCTCCCTGGACCACTCTCAGGGTCCTATCAGCCTTTCAGAGGTCAGGCATGCAGATATAACTATGAACTTGTGCTGTGAGTCCAAGAAACACAGGCTTAGTCGGCAGTGCAGGATTCATGTTGCCCAAAGAAAGGGTTGACCTTGGGTGCTGGGCTGCTAAGTGGGAATGTCTGATTTATTTCCTGCCAAGTAGTAGGCTCCTTGTCCCCTGGGACCCACAGACCAGGCCAGTGGTCCCATGCTTTAATGAATGTGGTTTCTAGTGGCTTCATTGGGCCACGTGGCATCTATTTAAATTTGAGAGGAGCTGGAGACTGAGTGACAAGGGCCAGTCACATGGGGGCTGGATGTCAGTGTGACCAACACCACAGACCCTGAGGCTGGGATGGGTCCCCAGTTGGCAGCCTGTCCTATGTGTTGTCACACATGGTTGCTGGGAGGATTGAGTACTGTCTCACTGTCCCAGGGAACCCACAGGAAGAGGACAGCTGGAGGCCTCCCTACACATACACCCTAGGTCTCCTAGACCCTGCCCCCTGCTTTGTGTCTCTGCCCTTGGCTGATCTGTGTCTGCATCCTCCCACTGTGACAAACTGGATCCAAGAGGACCACTGAGTCAGTTAACAAGTTAGATAACCTGGCAGTGGCCTTAGGGAGCCCCAAACTTAAAATTGGTGTGATGGTAAGAGTGGTCTTGGGGCCTCCAGATTTGTAGCAGAGTAAGGATTTGGGGGAGATGTCTCTGTCATATTGTGTTCTGGAGGAGAGACAGGAAGAAAGGAAGGAGGTTGAGATCCAGGGAAAATGGGGAGATGGCAGTGGGAGAGGCTGAGGGGAGCTGAGCCCAGGCAGGGGTGGATGGAGCTGGGGACCTTGGCCATGGAGGTGTAGAAGTAGCTGGACTGGGGGAGATTCCTGCCTACTGGGCAGGGAGGCTGCAGCCATGGGAGTCCAGCAGCAAATCCTACTGGGCTATCACAAGTCTCTACATCATCACAAGCACTGCAGCCATGGCCATCAGGAAGGTGACCAGGCAGGGTCTTGGTGGTCCTGACTTACCATGCAGATGGGACCTGGAACACAGGCAGCCTTCCTAGCCGCTGCAGACCTGGCAGCATCCATCATGTGGGCCTGTCTACGGGACTTCATCCTGAGGGAGGAGGCCAGGACCTTTCAGCCCCTGCTTTGCTCAATGGCACAGTACTGCTGTGCCCTGCTTAAAAGATGTAAGAAGCCCAAAAGAGCCTGGGGAGTGGAGGGTCAGTCTTCCCAGATACCTCACAATGAGATCGGGGACCCTTCCTGGTGCCTGGTATTGGGGTTGGGCCCAGGACTCAATGTTCACAACCTCTGCCCTTACCAGAGCCTCCAGCTGGGTGTGGGTGGGATTTTAGGAGCCAACCACTGACCATCCACACCCACAGTTTCTCTCCGCTCTTAGGGATGACCCTCACCTGAAGAAGATGAGACCAGCACAGAAACACAGCAGAGTGGCTACACCAGCTCCCCCCATGACCAGTAGCAGGGGGCTTGTCCCCAGCTCGGCCTTCCCTAAAGAGCAGTGGGATTGTGGGTGACAGCCCTCCTATCCCCAGGACCCTCGTTGCCCTTCTCCCACAAAACTCTCTTTCCTCTTCCTTCCCAGGCAAACTAAAGAAGTCTCTGGCTGCCCACCCTACTCAGCCTCGGCCCATCTCACCCACCTTTGGCCCCTCATCTTCCCCTATAGCCACCTCCTTCCTCCTAAGCCTGGCCCCCCCAGGGTCTCTGACCTGGCAGCAGCAGGACAGTGGCTCTCTGGACCCTGTGGACATTCCGGGCCTCACAGCTGAGCCTGAGGCCAGAGCTGACCCCCCCGTGGAGGATCAGGGAGCTGTTGGCCCAGGTCCCCGCTGAGCTGGAGGTGACCATGAAGGAGGCATTGCTGCTGTCACCATCCAGCAAAGCCTCCCCCATCCACCAGCGCAGGGAGGGGGGTGGCCAGGCTCGGGAGGAGCAGCTGCAGGTCAGACCCTCAGCCCCCCAGGAGCAGAAAGGGCCCAGCAGTTGGGGTGGGTCTGTGGGGAGGAAAGAGAGGATCAGCAGGTGTCCCCTTGTCCCAGGCCCCAGGTGTCCCCTCATCCACTCACAGTGCACAGAGAGGCTCAGAGAGAAATGCTGGGTGCCCAGCAGGTTCTGCGCCTGGCAGGTGAGGTCTCCTTCATGCTCTTCCTGGACCACGGGCAGCTCCAGGACCCCCGGGTCTGAGGACCTGGAGAGGCTCAGGGTCTTTGTCCCCTGGACCCAGCTTAGCCTGGCTGGAGGGTTGCTGTGGGTGACACAGACCAGGCGCAGGCTTTGGCCTTGCAGGACAGGGAGGGATGAGCCATTTCTGAGGATTTCCAGCTCTAGGGAAGGGAAGAGAGAGAATCAACACACAGCTCCATCACCTGGACCCCAACAGGGATTGTGAGTCCCTGCTTGCTCTGTCCCCTTCCTACCTGTCCTGTTTGCTTGGGAGACTGTGACTGTCAGCTCCTCTGGAGGATCTGTGATGGAGACAGAGGACCAACTCTAGACAGGCCGCTGAATCTGGTGGAAGGCTGAGGTGGTGGGAGGGGACAAATCTCTCACTGGGTCCCCAATCCAAACCATCCAACAGGCTAGGCAGGTTAGAAGCCTGGTCCCTGGAGCCTGGGGTTGGTTCCCTGTCCCCTTGTAGCTCTGGAACCCTGTAGTGTCCCCTGTCCCCTTCCCCTGCTCCACTCCTGGAACCGGGGCTCGGTCCCACTCACACTGCACAGAGAGGTCCAGGGTGCGGTCCTGGGAGCCCAGCCTGTTCTCTGCTCGGCAGGTGTAGTGCCCCGCATCCCCAGGCTTCACCCCAGGCAGCTCCAGCCCCAGGGTTCTGGAGCCTGTGGGATGGGACCTAGAGAGGACTCGGTTCTCCAGGGCCCAGCTCAGTGTGACGGGTGGCTGGCCCTCAGCTGTGCACAGCAGCTGCAGGACCTGGCCTTTCTGGGCTTCCAGAAATGTAACGTTTCCTTGGGACTCTAGGACTAGGAACAGAGAGAGAGAGAGAGACCGACAAAGTAGCTTCTATATTGTTCTATATTGTTCTATATAACTCTTGTACTGTACAATTCATTTACGCACCATTTTAAAATGCACTTTCAATGGCTTTTGTGCAGTCACCGAGCCCTGCGTCTGCCACCACAGTTTTAGAATATTCCCATACCCCACACAAAAAGCCCTTCCCCCCAGCCAAGCCCCCAACAGAGACCGGGACCCCGATCTAGACAGGCCAGTCCTTCCAGCTCCAGCCTGAGCCACCACTCCACTTGTCTCTGTCTATCTGCCTACTCAGGACATTGTGTAGTCACTCACTGTGGAGTCCTCTGTGTTGGCTTTTTGTACTCAGCGATGCTTCCCACTCTCAGAACTTGGTTCTTTTTTTTTTTCTTTTAATCTTTTTGGCAGTACTAGGATTTGAACTCAGGGCATCACATTTACTAGGCAGATGCTCTACCAGTTGAGCTACATCCAGCAATTTTTGCTTTAGGGAATTTTCAAATAGGGTCTATGCTGGTCCAGCCTGGATTTCAGTCCTCCTATTTACACTTCTTGGGGGTCTCGTGAACTTTCTGCTCAGGCTGGCCTCCATCCTCCCAATCTCTGCCTCCCAAGCAGCTAGGATTAGAGACATGAGCCACTTCGCCTGGCTAACTTGGTTCTTTTTTAGGGCTGAATTATATTCCATTGGGTCAATCTGTCACATTTCGTGCATCCACTCATCCACAGATGAGAGTACCTTGGTTGTCTAATGACAACTCAGGCGTTTAGGCCAGCCCAGGCTATCTAGCAAGTGCAAGGCTAAGCTTGAGAAAACTTACCAAAATAAAAAGTCTTAGCTGGGCACGAGTGGCTCACACCTGTAATCCTTGCTACTCAGGAGGCAACAATCAGGAGGATCACAGTTCAAAGCCAGTCCAGGCAAAATAGTTCATGAGACCCTATCTCTAAAAACCCTTCACAAAAATATGGCTGGTGGAGTGGCTCAAGGTGAAGGCCCTGAGTTCAAGCCCCAATACTGCAAATAAATAAATAAAATAAATAAATAACCAGAGCAAAATGGACCGGAGGTGTGACTCAAGCGGTAGAGTGTCCTCAAAGCCCTGAATTCAAACAGCAGTCCAAATACATAAATAAAATCTAAAATTAGAAAAAAAAAAAAAAAGGGGGCAGGGGAGCTGGGCACTGGTGGCTCTCGCCTATAATCCTAGCTACTCAGAAGCCAGAGATCAGGAGGATCATGGTTCAAAGCCAGCCTGGGCAAATAGTTCCCAAGGCCCTATCTTGAAAAAAAAACATCACACACACACAAAGGATAGGTGGAATAGCTCAAGTGGTAGAGCGTCTTCCTAGCAAGCATGAGGCCCTGAGTTCAAACCCCAGTGCCACTAAAAAAAAACCTTTAAAAAGGACTATGGCTCAGTGGTAAGCTCACATACTCAAAGCCCTGGGTTCAATCCCTACTGCCAAAAAAAAATTTCTGGAGTGAGTTTCAAGTAGTATGGCACTCACCTAACATGAGTGAGACCCTGGGTCCCCCCACCCAGTAAAATAAATAAATAAATATAAAAAGAGGAAGCCACTGTGCAAGTCCACTTAGAGGAAACATCTAGAAGGGGCTCATCCACAGGGACAGAAGGCAGAGGCACAGCTGCCAGGGCTGGAGAGGGGGCAACAGGACCTGAGAGCTGAAGGTACAGGACTCTCCCTGGAGAGTGACCGGTATTTTCTGAAACCAGACAGAGGTGCCGGTGGCACCACACTGTAACCCATGTGGTTGCTCTAGAATAGTTAATTCTATGTTCAGTCATATTCACCTCAATCTAAATAAATCAGGAAAGAGTCAGACAGTAACCTGTGCTCCTGTTCTTTTTTTTTTTTTTTTTTGGCAGTACTGGGGATTTGAACTCAGGGCTTCATGCTTGATAGGCAGGTGCTCTACCACGTGAGTCGCTCCATGAGCCCTCAAGTTCCTATTCTGTTTGCACAGACCTTTGAAGAAAAGCATGGAATGAGTTCTGTCACAAGCACACAAAAAAAGGTGTGTTGGTTCCTGCCTGTAATCCCAGCTACTAAGGAATTGGAGGTAGGAGAATCAAGAGTTTGAGATCAAGTGAGGCAAAGTTAATGAGACTCTGTCTCAAAAATAAACTAAAGAAAATAACTCAAGTGGTAGAGTGTCTGCTTAGCAAGCATGAAGCCATGAGTTCCTTGCCCAGCACCAGAAAAAAAAAAAAAAGGAAGGGGGAAAAAAAAGGAAACTATCACATATATTTGAAAGATTCAGATATATTTGGTAAAACTCTAATAAAATAAAGGTATGGTGAGAGATGTGAAGAGCTAGTGTACCCCGGGCAAGGCAGAGGGACAATTGTGAGGGGCACTGGGGGCCTCCAGGGGTCTGTGTCCTTCTCCTTCCAGCAGCTGAGGGACAGGGCATTTGTTCTGTGACCATCCCTTCTCAGTGCATGTGTGTGGGACAAAACAGTTCTCCCAAAGGAACATGCCCTCCCCGACATGTCCCGCCTTGGTCCTCTCCAGCCATCTCCTAGACAGCCCTGTTTTGTTAGCAGATACCTGCTCTGGTCCACCCAGGAGGGACGTCCTGCCTACCTGTGCCACCTGATCCAGGGACACTGATGTTGATGTGCTGAGGAGCATCTGGACAGAGAGATGCGGTGAGGCCTGGATGCACAGCTGGCCCGTTCTCCTCGCCACCACCCCAGGATTAACACAGAAAAAACAGGAAATGGCTCAGATGTGACCCATGCCCACCCTTCAGGCTGTGTGGCCCCATGTCCTCCAGGATGGAGATCCTGTTCCCTCTGTCCTCTCAGTGCCAGCTCTGACAGACTACCGTGGGCTGGGGGCTTAGCAGCACCAGAAACTGTATCTCAGACTCTGAGGATGGAAGGCTCTGGTGAGGGCCTGAATACTGCTTCTCAGGTGGCGCCTTCTGTCTGTACCATCAAGAGGTAGAGGGGACAGGGGTCACCCTGAGGCCTCTTTTATAAGGAAACTATCCTGTTCAGGTGGGCTCCATGCCCAAGGCCTCGATACCTCCCAACACCATCCTCTTGGGGGAGGGGATTTCAACATGAGAATGCAGGAAACACAAATATCAGACCACAGCACCCCCTCTTTTGCCCCCCCCATGGATCCCAGTGTCAGGGCCTGGCACTCACAGGACACATTGAGCTGGACAGTCCTCTCTGTGGACACACCAATCTTGGGCAAGGTCACCCGACAGGTGAGGTAGGTGCCGTGGTCCTGTGGGAGGGGAGTGACCTTGATCTCTGAGGTGGTGTAAGCCTCCAAGTCCAATCCCAGTGACCTCAGGGAAGCCCCAGTCCAGGAGAAGGTGGGGGACAGGTCTCCCTTGCAGGCCCCTGGCATGGAGCACTTCAGGAGGCTGAGGCGGCCAGACTCCAAGGGCTCCAGGATGTGGATGTCTGGGAGCTGTGTCAGTCCTAGAGAGGACAAAGGAAGACACCACACCTTAGAGGGGACACACTGAGCCTCTGAGACAGACATTTTGACCCTGAAACGCCCACACTCCACTGGAAGAGAGGCCCCTTCCTGTCCCTGAGGACCCTCCCCTCCCATGGCAGCTTTCCTCTCCTGGGGACAATTCCTTACCTGTGATGGTCAAATTGAGCAGGGAACTTTTGGAAGCAAGTTTCTCAGATTCTCTCTCCAGTCGAAAAAAATAACGTCCACTGTTCTCCTTCCGAGGCTCTGAGATGCCCAGGGAGCAGTCATTAGCCCTGGGGTCCCCAACAAGTTGGAAAGGAGATTTGGTCACGTCAGCCTCCCTATCTGGATCATTTGTGGCCACAAGTTCTTCCTGTTTATTAACATTCTTCTTTTTCCAGTACCAGTAGCCATACGCAGGTGCAGAGTGGTTCCAAACGCTCCGGGAGTACAGGATGACGCAGGGCACTAGGGCACACAGACCCTCCTGGATCATCACTGCCTCCTGCACCTGAATGTGGAGCCTCGGATGCTTCTGTGGGGACTTTGAGGGCTGCAAAGGCTCAGTTACAGCCCCTGCCCTCACCTGGCGCCCCCACCCACCATCCCACTCCCCTGCCCCCAGCAGGGCCAGCAGCAGGCCCAGCAGCTGCATCTCAGGACTTGAGGGCCCGGCCAGTGCTGGGACCTGGGCACTGGGTCTGCCCCCTAGGAAGGACACTATGACTGGATGCAGGGGGAGGGGCAGTGGGCACCACAGAAGAGGAACCACAGGAGACACTCATGTCCTGACAGGGCCCTCTCAGACTTCTGCTTTTACACATTGTAAGTGTGGGGCAGAAGGACCTTGAGGGATTTGTCCCAACCAGGAAGGAGCAACCCCGGGCCAGCCTCGGGGTGGGCAGTCCTGGGAGTGAAGCTCAAAGTGAACACAGGTGAGCTACGACCATGGCGAGGTGATGGGGCTCCATTCATTCACTCATTCAGTCATTCATTTATTCACTCAATCATTCACTCATCTGTTCTTCCATCCAACCAAGCACCCTCCCATCCATTCATTCACTCATTCTTCTACCCATCATCCATTCATCCATTCATGCACTCATTCACTAATTCATCCATTCACCCATCCATCCACTCATTCATCCATTCACCCATCCATCCACTCATTCATCCATTCATTCACTAATTCATCCATTCATTCATTCATTCACTTATCCATTCATCCATCCATCCATCCACTCATTCATTCATCCACCCATCCACTCACTCATTCATCCATCCACCTATTCATTAATTCATTCACTCACCCATTCATCCATTCTTCCATCCAACCAAACATCCATCCATCCATTCATTCACTTATTCACTCATCCATCCATCCATCCATCCATTCATTCACTAGTTCATCTATTTATTCATTCATCCATCTATCCATCCACTCACTCATTCATCCATCCACCTATTCATTAAATCATTCATTTATCCATTCGTCCATTCTTCCATCCATCCACTCACTCGCTCACTCATCCACCCACCCACCCATCCATTCATCCACTCACTCATTCACTCATCTACCCACCCACCCATCCACCCACCCACCCATCCATCCATCCATCCATCCATCCATCCATCTATCCATCGCCTGCATCCATGTACTGTATGCAGCAGCTGGAATCAAATAGGAGAAACTGAGCCACAAACTGCTGCCACACAGGGCTCACCCTCCTGTGACCCCAACCCTCCACCACACCCCCACCCAGACTCCTAGCTGGCACTGGCTCCCTTGCCAGTCAGCAGGTGCTCTATCACTTGAGCCACACCCAGAGTCCTAAAGCTTTAGTAATTTTTCAGACACAGTCTCATGTTTTTTCCCAAAGGCTGGCCTCAGACCTCCATCCTATGGATGCCTCCTGTGTGGCTTGGATTACAAGTGTGCCACCACATCAGTATATTTGTTGAGATGGGTCTCAATGACATCTCTGCCTCTGTTGACCTCAGACTTTGATTCTTCTGGTTCTCCCAAATCTCTGCCTCCTGGGTGTGGGTACAGATGTATACCACCACACCCAGCGCTCCTTTGGTTTTTGTCCACGGTTTTTCATGATTAGACTGGGGTTGTAGGTTTGGTGGAACCATAGAGGGAAGTAAGCTTCTCACTTTCTCACACCACAGGCATGGGACTTATCACCCTTGATGTTGACCTTGATCACTGGCTTATGTCAGATTTCTCCACTGTCAACTTACTCTTCCCTCCTTTGTGTTGGGTCCTTTTTATTTGTGGTGGCACTGGGGTTTGAACTCAGATCCTCATGTTTACTAGGCGGGCACTCTATCACTTCAGCCACTCCACCAGCCCTCTTTTGTGATAGGTTTTTTCGAGATAGGGTCTTGTGAACTATTTGCCCAGGCTGCTTGGAACTGCAATTCTCCTGATCTCTGCCTCCCCAGTAGCTAGGATTACAGGAGTGAGCTACCAGCAACTGGCTGTTGGGTCCTCTTTGGAAGGAAGTCACCATGCACAGCCCACGTAAGGAGTGGGCAGTCATATTCCGCCTCCCTGGGGATGAGCTACTCACATAATTTATTTGGAAAACATCTCATGGCATGTTGGTCTCTTTTTTCTTACAGAATTAAAAACAGGGTTGTCCAAGAAAGCCTCATTGGGGAGGGTGATGCTCAAAGGAGGCTTGGAGGGTATAAGGGGTCAGCCCTGCCCAGAGCTGAGGGAGTTGAAACAGAGACAGCTCAAAGGAAGTGTGGGCATCCAAGCGCAGAGTGTGCAGAGACTGGTGAGCTCTGAGCACTGTAGAGGTTCAATGTCAGGGCCCTCCTTTAGGCCCTGGGGAATGGCACAAGAGGCTCAGGAGAAGGTCAAGGCCATGACACTGTTGTCAGGGAGAGAACAGGTGGGCTCTGGTGAATGCTAGGAGCTCCCAGACTAGATGGTACTCTCTGGGTTTGTCCCTTATGTCTGCAGGAAGCCACCCGTATAGCAGGGATGGCACAAGGTCCCCAAATGTTCCATTGGGAGTCCACCTGCTGGTCCCGAAGGCCAACGGCACCCCGAGGGTGGAGTGGGATAGGCTGAGCTGAAGTTGGAGAATGTATAGGCGACCCTGTGTCAGTTCCACCCAGCTGGATGGATGGGATTTACCAGTGCAGGATCACAGCCTCACCTGCAAGATGTCTCTCTCTAAATACACTTACCCCTGAATCTCTCTCATTCTCTCTCTAGATAGATAGATAGATAGATAGATCCTACTTCACTAGCATCCCCCCCCCACTCTTTTGTGAGGGGTTGTTTCAAGATCAGGTCTCATGAACTATGTGCCTGGGCTGGTTTCCAACCATGATCCCCCTGATCTCTGCCTCCTGAGTGGCTGGGATTAGGTGTGAGACAACGAAGCCTGTCTTAACCTTTTTAAGATGGGGTTGGGATGTAGGTCAGTGGTAAAGTGCTTGCCTAGCATGCTTGAGGCCCTAGGTTCAATCCTTAGCACACACAAAAAAAGAAATAAAATAAAAAATATGAGCCAGGACCAGGAGCCTGACTCAAGTGGTGGAACACTTGAGGCAAGCCTGAGGCAATGAATTCAAATCCCAGTGCTACCAAAAAAAATGTGAGCTAGGCAAGGAGTCTCTTGCCTGTAATCCCACCTACTCAGGAGGTAGAGATCAGGAAGAGTGAGATTCTAGGTCAGCCTTGGTAAAAAGCTAGTGAGACCCCATCTCAACCAATAAAAGTTGGGTGTAGTGGTACACACCAGTCATCCCAGCTATGAGGGAAGTGTAAGAAGGAGGATGCCAGTTCAGGCTGGCCCTGGGCAAAAATGTAAGACTCTGAGAAATACTAAAGCAAAATGGGCTTGGTAAGTGGGGCAAGTGGTGAAGTGCTTGCCTAGCAAGTACAAGGCCCTGAATTCAATGCCTCCCAACAAAGTGTAAATATACAGACAAGAGACAGACACTGTGGTGAGTGCCTGTACTCCCAGATACATGGCAAGGTGATGCTGATGGCTTGAGCCTAGGAGGTCAAGGCCAGCCTGGACAACAGAGAAAAATTTTGTCTCAGGAAGAAAGGAAGGAACAAAAGAAGGAAGGGAGGGAGGAGAGGAGGGAGGGAGGGACCCATGGATCGGGACTCCACACTTGCTTTGTAACCATGCAACATCTCAGGCTTGCACTTTCACACACTCTCACACAGCACAGAACATCCACCACCTCTCTGAACCTGAAAGACAGGGTTTCACCCCCAAAAATGCGGTTACTAGGGTGCCTTTGAGAGTTGATCAGACTCCTCTTCTGCCTCCTGAGGCAGGCCTGAATGTGAACCCAGGTTCTTACCAGTCTGATGAGCAGGGCTCCCAGGTTTGTTCCCAAGCCTTTCCAGGTTCCTTTGTGCAACCGGAACTCTCCTCCTTGGCTTGCCAGGAGAACAGCTCCCTCCTCCGGATCAACACAGTTTGGTGGTGTTTGGCAGGGTGGTCCTTCCAGTGGGGCCAGGGACACTGAGCTGGTAACAAGGAGGTGAAAAAACCACCCTGCAAATCCCAGATGAGCCCCCAGAAATGTTTCAGGAGGGCTCAGACAGAGACAGAGAGGGCACCAAAGCTTTCTGGAAGCAAGTTTATTAAGCAAGTCAGCAGTGACTCAGTGGACTCCAGTCCAAAGGCTGAGCCCTGAGAACAAAGGGGATTTTCTTAAATACCATTTACAGCAGGTTACAGAAATGGGGGGATGGTTACAGCTTGTCCCATACATAATCATATGTCATTTCATTGGCTGCTCTAACCTCTGGGGCGAGGTGACCCTTCTGTGGCCTCTAGGTAACATTCCCCAACTCTGGTTTTCCTCTGTTTCACTGTAGCCCTCATTAATCTCCCTCCCCCTCCCTGGCTTCCTGCCACAGAAGGAAGAAGAAAGACAGCTAAGAGGCTGGGGTGGGGCCAGTAGACTATGGAAAAGCCTTGTCAAAGGGTTTGGACCTCAGTTAAGTAAGTATTATTGATCTATTTACTACATTTCAAAACAGCTAAAAGAACAGGGTGCTGGTGGCTGTCACCTGTAATCCCAACTACTGAGGAGGCAGGCATTGAGGAGGATCGTGTTCCAAGCCAGCCCAGGCAAATAGTTCATGAGACCCTATCTCAAAAAAACCCAGCACAAAAAAAGGGCTGGTGGAGTGGCTCAACGTGTGGGCCCTGAGTTCAAGCCCCGGTACCCTCCCAAAATGGCTAAAAGAATAGATTTGAAATGTTCCCACTCTCAAAATAATAGTTAAGTATGTGGGGTGATCGATACATTAATTAACTGGATTTAATTCTTCCACAACTTGTAAAAGTCAAATAAGTTGTGGTGAAACAAACATAACATAGAATTTTCCATTTTAATCATTGTTGGTTTATGGGCGTGTGTGTGTGTGTGTGTGTGTGTGTGTGTGTGTGTGTGTGTGTGTGTGTGTGTGTGTGTGTGTGTGTGTGTGTTGAGACAGGATCTCGCTATGAAGACCAGGCTAGCCTGGAACTCGAGATCCTCTTCTTCCACCTCCCAAGTTCTGGGATTACAGGCGTGTG